AGGGAGACGAATATCCTGGCTCTCGTAGTGAACGCCGTCCGTCGATGATGCGGGACTTTTCGACCGAGGCTCTTCGTCGACAATGAAAGCACCTTTGACGTTGATCTTGACAGCTCCAGGGTTGGTGATAGCTCGTTCAAGCCGGCCAGTTCGCTCTGTGAGTGAATTGGTCACACGCCTAGGTGCGACCGCATCCGGGCCGACCGAATTGGAGTTTGGGGAGGACATGGACATGGTGAAGTCTCAACAACTGTGAGAAAGGGGAGTGGTTACAAGCTCAGTGTCCTTATCCGCAGAAGCTTAAAGAACACTGGAGCCATTTCGGAGTAAAGGGACGCCGTGATAACCACTACAGCGTATATCTCCTTCTGCCCGCTTTAGGTGGTTGAGGAGTGGAACCAAAGCGTTAGTAGTACTACTCGATGGGGCGGAGCCGCGGAGCATCCCAATCTTCGGTGGGTGCAACTGCCACCGAGCTCCATATGGGTATTGTCGGAGAGTTGCTGAATTGGAAATGACATTTTTGGCCGATCATACGGAGTAGTGATGGATCCGTTAAGGATGTGGTCATCTGCTTCCGCTACTAGTTAAATGACGTCTATCACTGATTGGTCCTGTTTTCGAAGGCCTGAGGCATCAACCTGTCTACCTACATTCCTGGCTTCTCGGATTGCACATGGAACTACCACGCCCAATCTAAGTCGGGATACCTCAGTTGATCATAAGCAGCGTGGAAATTGTTCTCGGATTCGATGAGAATTTGACCTGCTTAACGTGCTGACTAGAATACTGTTTCTAGTCGGTCCAATTTTGTTGAAGCAATTGATGGCAGCATCATGTAACTATATATTCTTCCCAGGATATATCGGACAAAGCAGAGATCATAGTCCGTTCAACTTACCAGGAGCGTTCGTACGAGATTCCTTGTCTGTTATATCCAGGCCCAAGATAAGTCAAAAAATATGTGCAGTGAAGATATTTGGAGCAGCGGAACGACGGAGAGTAACGCCAATTGCTCCTCCTCCCAGGACTGAACAACGCATTTGGTTTGCTTCCCCGTTTGCTGGAATACTAGCACACGCAGACCAGTCATAGGATAAGCTCTACGCCTACGAGGAATACAGGCTGGGTTCTCCTGGAGGCTATCGTATTGAACTGCAGATCGAAATACTGTTGAGAAGAGCCAAAGACATGCCAACCCGCATGTAAACGAAACAGAAGGCTACCTGCATATCAAATGCAGGTTGACAACATTTGGCAAGATCATCAGTCGTCCGATTTGATTATCTATTCTCATCCATCCTTCTGCTGTCCTGAGTTCTTCTACGTATCGTACCGGTTGTCACTGTAGCGCAAAAGACTTTTGGAAGCATCAACCAGCTATGGTGGCTATGAGAGCCATAATGAGCCTTCTATTCCTCTATTTCCCTATATTCACAGTAGTCCAGGATCACGTATGGCGAGTTGGGCTTCCAATCTTTGAATGATGTAGAGCTCACTGCGTTAACTATATTCCTAACTGATACATTGCTTTCTACAACTTCCTTTGCCGCCTCCAGCTGCTCCAGATCATACACTCTAGTAGTAGCTTTCTCTTCTTTCAGCTAGAAATGCAGACAATCGCATTCAAACAGACACAGAGCAACTGACAGAAGAAAGACCCGCATCACCAGGCCCATCAGGTTGAGTGACGGGTCCGCTTAGTCGGCGACTCTGCTCTCTACTATCCGGTAGCATCTGTAGCTTGTGTTTGTTTTGATTTCTTCCATCTCCCATCCTTCTCTGAGAGAAATTTTATCTCCTTCTTTCCTCCTCATCTATCCTCTGTGAACAAGCTCATACAGTGCTCTACTCTCTGCGTGTGGATCGTCATCAGTCTCCTGATCGTCTTCTACCAGTACATAAGTGGTTTCTGCTAGGTGAGATTCCTCCTCTGCTTTGTTGCGCTCAACCGTCCTCTCTCTCTTCATATCTCCCTTATCATCACGCTGTATCATCATTTTCTACTCAGCGTGCATTGCTTCTCTTTCCCTGTGGCCAAGTCCTCTTATCATATCTCGAGCAAGCATTGAGTCATTGGCCTCTTTGGTTGTGTTTTATAGGGATTTGCTGACACCTTTACGCGTTCTAGGCGCCCACACGCCTTCTGAGTTCTAAGTATCGATCCGCTTGTCAGAATGGATAGATTCGATGTCACGGACATGAGCAATGCGCTCAAGGAAGTGACCGACGACAAGATAAACAAAAACGTCGAAGCTTCCAATCTCGCTCGCGAGAAGGGATGGGTTCCACCCGAGCAGTACGACTACGCCAAGTACAACTCTGGTCCTGCTGAGAAGCCGGAAGAGGTCACTGAACAAAGTGAAATCCCGGAGTGGGCTGCCAAAGCTGCTAAGTATGAATGGAACGATGAGTTTGGTGATGTCGGTCCTCCCAACAAAGAACTCGAGGATATGTTGTTCCGTAACGAGTTCACCAACCGTGCTGGCCTCAAAATTGGCAAGTAAGTGAATATCCTTCTTCAATCAATGAGGAGTTTCCAGCTGACCCTGCGAAGTCTACAGAAGATCGATGTTATCGCTGAAAGTAGAGAGCGTCCCAACCCAGTCAAGAACGTAAGTTGTTGCCATCCCTATGCTTTATCCGTACTCAGTATTTGACGACTTCAAGTTTGACGACGCTGGTCTCCATCCTATCATGCGCGAGAACATTCGTCTATGCAACTATGAGGTCCCAACGCCTATCCAGGCCTACGCCATTCCTGCTGTTCTTACCGGTCATGATCTGATTGCCATTGCCCAGACGGGTGAGTATGAGAGCTAATACCCCTCGTCTAACGCGATTGAATAACAAAATCAACGAGTTAGGTTCTGGTAAAACGGCCGCTTTTCTGATTCCCGTGCTTTCCCAGCTTATGGGCAAGGCAAAAAAGCTAGCAGCCCCCCGTCCTAACTTGGCCAACGGCTTTGATCCTTCGGTCGATGCTGTTCGTGCCGAGCCCCTGGTGCTTATCGTTGCTCCAACCAGGGAACTATCCACTCAGATTTTTGACGAGGCTCGTCGTCTATGCTATCGCTCTATGTTGCGCCCCTGTGTCGTTTACGGTGGCGCTCCCGTGCGTGAGCAGCGTGAGGAGCTCCAGAGGGGCTGTGACATTCTCATCGGTACTCCTGGCAGACTGCTGGACTTTATGGATAAGCCTCACGTCCTTTCCCTTCGCCGGGTCAAGTAAGTATATCCTCTTAATCATTTACTTACAAACTAATTATTTTTGTAAGGTATACCATCATCGATGAAGCCGATGAGCTTCTTCTCTCCGACTGGGAATCCGACTTTACCAAAATCATGTCTGGCGGAGGTACGAAAATCACTGTTTGTCCCTTTCTGTAATGTTATGCTGACTGCCAGAAGACGTGAACGAGGATGCAGACCATCGTTACATGATGTTCTCTGCAACCTTCAACCGCGAATGTCGTCGTTTGGCCCGCAAATTCCTTGCGGAAGACCATGTTCGTATCCGCATTGGACGTCCCGGCAGCACCCACATAAACGTCGATCAGACCGTAAGCAAATTAAAGGCCCAAACCGAGACAGAAGCATTACTGAAAATGTATTTAGATCATCTATGCCGAGGATCACCTTAAAAAGCAATGCCTCTATGACCTTTTGCTGGCAATGCCGCCATCGAGGACCTTGATTTTTGTCAACACGAAAAGCCAGGCTGATTTCCTGGATGACTTTTTATACAACATGGGTCTTCCGAGCACCTCTATCCATTCCGATCGGACTCAGCGCGAACGTGAGGATGCTCTGTGAGCTCACTTCTCTCCAAGGAAGCGAAGCTAGTGCTAATCCGTCAAACAGGCGTTCCTTCCGTAGTGCTAGATGCCCTATCATGGTGGCCACTGGCGTCTCGGCTCGTGGACTTGATATCAAGAACGTTATGCACGTCGTCAATTTTGATTTGCCGAGTGCCACCCATGGTGGCATCACCGAGTACATTCATCGTATTGGTGAGCATATCAGTTACATACACTATCTTGGGCTGTCAGCTAAGGGTCCACAGGACGTACTGCACGCATTGGCAATGAAGGCCTTGCTACCTCCTTCTACAATGACAGAAACTCCGATATTGCCCCCGACCTGGTGAAGATCTTGATTGAAACCGGCCAAAAAGTCCCCGATTTCCTTGAGCCCTACAAGCCTGCCGATGAGATGGTGAAGTTCGACGACGATACAGATGATGAGGCTGCCGATGGGGACGACAACGCAAACACCAACAACGATAATGCTGGAACTGGCTGGGGTGGCATTTCCATGCAATCCACCAACGACGATGCCCCTGTCTCTACCGGCTGGGAGTGATTTGAGCAAGAGGTCCACCCTTTCTTGGCCCTCTCTGTCTCTTGATGGAGCTGTCGCGCGGTTGATCTTGCGCTTGATGGATGACTGAGACTGGGTAGGAGTCTCTCTGGCCGAATCACTGTCCCTTGACGCTTTAACCAGGCAAAGGGATGGCTGACGCCGCTCGATCTCATACCTTCAGTGCGGAGCAGGGTTCTCTGTACTGTAAGCTACATGACTCTTGCTTTCCCTAGTATGGTGCCTATTGCTGGCAGGCTGTCTTTTTGGACCTTGGCCGTGCCTCGGAAGTCCAGTGAAGCTTATTGATGGATTATCTTCCAACTCTGACCTCTGGGGGTACGATGATAAATCTGTTTAGATTTTCGCAAGATCTTCGAGGAGTCTAGGGACCATCAAAGGATAGCTAGCTAGTATCTTGTTCGAACAGACATATGCTGATGAATAATGACTTGACTTATTTTGCTATTTGTGATTCAATCTGTGTAGATTGGCTCCATATACCGTATGGTTCCTCCAGCGAGGAAGGGAGCGCAGCTCCCTTTCTGGGGCATAAGGTTGTCGGTTCTTTCCTTTCTCGTAGATGCACACCAACAAGACGCAGTCATTGCGATCCTCCTAATCTTCTCTCCCATCCTCCACAGTCCTAGGATATCATACTTCTTATCCCGAGCGCCTGTTCGGACTCAGGAACTTCGAGCATCATTATCCTTTGAGAAGCGCTCAGTACCTTTAATCCCGGAACATCATCTTCAATGGCCGCGATGGATCTGCAGGGCCATCTCAAATGGACCGGGCTGATAAGCATATTCTCCCTAATCAGTCTGGTTATTGCCAGTCTATCGATCACATCTACAGAGAACACAAACATTCCTCCATGCCAGCAGCATGCCGAACTGCAGTCGAACGACAACACCCGCAACACCAGGAAAGTGTCTCTGCTTAACGGACTAGACCACCAACCACCGCTCGTCATAGATACTTTCAACGACGCATGGCGGAACAATCTCGGATTCTGGCACGGTGCGGGAGAAGGTCTACCTATTGAGCATGGCGACGATTACGTGCGATTCTTTCCAACAGATCCCGACCACAACTATCACACTCAGCTAGCGGCAGCGGAATGCTTCAGTTTCCTTCCCTACAGCGACCAGTACCTTCATATTGTGTTTTCGGGAACAAACAAGTTCAGCATCTCGCTCAACCAGAACAATGAGGACTGTGACCCTTATCGGAAACCATACCCCGAGACGTGGGATTCAGTGGAGGCGGCCAGGTATACCAGTGGCAATGAGATATACGTGCCTCTTTCACATTTCCACATTGATCAATCCAGAGTCTTGTCGGTATCCTTCAATGGATTCTACTCCAAGGAAAGCTTGACATTATACAAGGTGGAAATTGTGCCGGAGCTCCCAATGGGTCTTCGAGTGCCAAACAGGCTAGCCAATGGTAGGATGGTTCTTAGATGCACAAGGCCCAATTCCTTTGCTTTCGGCATAGACGATGGGCAACCACGCTTCGCCCAAGAGGTCATGGATATCCTGGAGAAGGAGAACATTCTGGTGACCTTTTTCGTTGTCGGAGCGGGACTCCGGAATGAGGAGACCAATTTCACACAAGTGTACCGGGAAATGCTAAGGAGAGGCCATCAAATTGCCCTGCACTCGAATACACATCGAAAGTGAGCTCCCTTGCAAAACCTGTTTACCAGCGCTGACAACGGTGGAAGGATGGAAGGTTTGGAAGCCATCGAAGACATCGACGACGAAATCATCAGGAATATCCGAGCATTCGGGAGTTTCCTGGGAGTTGAGTGTAGGTGACCCTGTACGAAGCTTTGGCCTAATATGTCAACTAAGCTTTCAGCAGCTCGCTACTTCCGGCCACCATTTGGAACCATTGGCTCCAGAACCCGACAACGGCTTGCAGTGTATACCTCCGATCCTCAGATTGTCAACTGGAGTGTGGACATTGAGGACTGGCTCTGGGGTGATACCGAAACTCCGGAGAGACAGCTGGAGGCTTTCTATCGAGATGTGAGGCGCGGGGGCAACCTGGCTGTGATGCATTACCTAAAGCCGAGCACGGTCAAGTATTTCCCACAGGTTATTCGCTTTGTCAAGGCAATGAACTTGACCATTATGCGGATCGACCAGTGCCTTGAGGACCCTAGCAGTCCACCACTGATGGTCGGTTGACCGCGAGATCCAGCCCTTAGTGGTCTGCTGCTCGTAATGATTTGGGTAAGGCATGCGGGCACACGTCATGTTTTCGGACACAAACCGACTTTGAAATAGAGATTGTATACAGCTGCGAATGAGGAAATGGAACGAAGAATCGATTCAATCGACAGTATGCCTGTTAATGGAAATAGTATAGTATAACCTGTTGAACCCAATGCTTTACCACCGGAGACGCCTGCCCAATGTATAATCTGACGCTGTGCAAGATAGCAAAGATAAGAGCAAGCACGAGAAGCTAGAGAAATACAGACTCTAGTGATACAGGGATATTCAAGATGATAGGCTCAGCCTTTACCGTCTCATCGCCACGTTGTCGGTGTCATAGACCGAAATCCGGCTTCGGACATGAAGGCGCCGACTCCATCATTCTCTCGATCCGCTTCATAACCCAGCCCGATCGCACGGCGGTGTTCTCCACGCCAAGCCTAGGCGTCTTGCCGGTGAAACAGGAGCCCGCGCGAAGTGCGAATTGGACACAGGTGGAATCATTGAGACAGATAGACTGGCATTCTTGGAATGTGTTGACGGAGGCGTGTTCCTCGCCGGAGAGATTATCCCAACCGTCGCGGACGTTGGAGAGTTCGGGGTAAATGAGCTCTTTGAAGACGTCTGAGTGTAGAAGGAGGCGTTTGTGCGACTAGGGAAGCCGTTAATCATTTGTTCATCTGTATTGAGTACTGCAAGGGCGAGGAGTGTTCTTACCTTCCATCGTCGCTGCTCGAACTCCCACAGGTTTCGGATGTCCTGTGGGGAGAGGTGATGGAACGCGACGGCGGGGAAGCACCAAGGCTGGCGGTAGAAGCCCGCTGTGAAGGGATCGAGCTCACCGATGTTCGAGTTTTGCAGGATAGGCCAAGAATACGTTAGTGGGACGCCGGCGTCCAGCAGGACCTTGCCGAGGACGCAGTCGCCGGCCCAGTGCTCGTCGGTGAACATGTCGAGCTCGACGCTGCGGGCGGAGTACTCGTCCGCCGCGAGCTGCAGGGCAGGCCGGGAGATGATGAAGCCAGACCCGCCGTGCGCGAAGATGACGTCCGCGATCTGGGTCTCGGTGCCGATGTAGAGCGGCTTCTGGGGGTCGTAGTTCGACAGCCATTCCAGCAGCGTGGGCCAGGCGAAGTAGGTGTCGGCCTCCATGAAGACGTACCACTTTGCGTCATTCTTGTAGCGCAGTGTCTCCCGGACCATGGGGAGGAATTTCCACTTGTCCAGTTTCCAGCCTGGGTTGTTGGGTTTCCCGATGGCTGAGTTGGCCTCGTCGGCGAAATCCTGCGTTCCCAGACCCTTTCTGCCGAGCTTCTGCAACCGGTTGTAGAGGTCGAAGTCGGGAACTGTACGTTTCACTTCGGGGTCCATGTTGCGGAAGGCATCGTGTATGCGCACGCCGGCGATTTCTTCCTCGAAGTCGGAGAAGATCACGTAGTTGGGGATGCAGCGCAGGGTCGTCTCGAAGTGCACGGGGACTTTGTCTAGGGCTTCGGTCACGCCGGTCTTCATAACGACCAGGACATCTTCGATGCCGGGAAGAAGAGGACAGTCGGAATGAGCGTCCGGCTTCTGTTTTGGTTGTTGTTGCTGCTGTAAGTTGCTGCGAACGGTCGACAACGGTCGCGGGAGGTTCGGCCGGATCGAAATGAAGTGGTATATAAGGAACAGCCCGAGCACCGCAGAGATCAGGGTGATGCGCCGGCGGTAACGGAGCGGGATGAGCATTCTCGTGAGTGCAACCGAAGCTGAGATGGTTGGAGGAGGATAAGTTGTAGCCTCGTTGCGGAGGAGATTCAGCTGAGACGGGGGAAGGGCGAAACGAAGAGCGCTATGAAGACCGAGCGTTCAACTTGACGAGGACACTGTTGATCATCGTCGGTCTTGCCTAGTCTTTCCTCATATCTTCTCTCGATTTCAGACCTTAGTCTGAGTGATCAATATTGTCGGATCCGTCGCCGGAGTGTAGGGAGCAGACGGAAGGAAGAAAAGGGACGAGGCGGAACTGGTGACGGCACTCGCACGTTTTCAAGCAGCAGCTTCAGACGGTACCTAGGTTGAGAAGATGAAAAACAACGTAGTAGCGAGGACGATCAGCCCACAGATAGTAAGGAGATCTAAGCAACCGTCAATGACGCGTATGTGTTGCGTTTCCGCCTGCTGAAACCCCTGGGAAAAGCTGTGGGGTCAGCGTTAGTTGTTTAAGGATGCTTTATTATCTGCCACGCTGTAAAACTGTCACAAGGCTTGATTTAGGAACAGCCAGTCATTTTATCTCTCTTCTTCATTACATCCCACAAACAGCCCTGTTGTGCTCCCCTATTATAAATGTACCGTGAACCGTCGCCCGGACAGTCTGTGGAATGTTGACTCGAAAAGCCAAAGCAACCAGAGCTAATTGCCAAATCTATCGATTGTATGGGACGATGGGGCAGATCGTCGACGCCAAGAATTTGACATGGAGTGACTACTCAGTTAAGGAGCAATGGTATCAGATTATGAAGTCGACATTGACATTAACATTTGATCGGGAGGATATCTATGGACTATAAATTGTTTTTGTTGTGGTGACATCTTCAGGTATCATGGCTGTTGCTTTGCCTGCTGTTTGGCGATCATGTCCGAGTGCAGCTTCACCAACTCAGGGATGATCAGACTCTCAATCTCCACTCCATCCGCAGTGTTAACAATTGCTGGTTTGTGCTCATTGTCCTCTCGGGCTTTCCCACTGGGACGGTTCACCGACTCGCTCGCTTTCCTTGCCTCTGCCAGGCCCACCTGATCTTCCGCACCAGAGATGCTCTTGCTACGCCTCGACTTGGGAACCCGAATCCAGCGCTCGTAGGGGGATCTGGCGTTACAAAGACGACCTCCCATTTGCGTGTGGAGAGAAGGTTGCCAATAACGAGATGGTGTGAGTACCGCTTCAGCGCCGTCTGCGCCTTATAGACAAGCAGATTGGGATCCGTTTCCAGCTTGAAGGAGACAACCATACTTCCGTCAGGCGCCCAGCCGTCCACCAGTCGATATAGGAACTTGGGCACCGGGTCCAGACCTATCACGAGTTTCTTGCTGTTTCCTGCCTGGGCTTCGAGCCCACCTGTGTATATTTCCGATCCCGCGACCGAATTGGAATTGTCCAGGTGTGCGGGAAGCTCAGAGGACTGGATCTTGTGTTCTGCCATCCGCTCTCGCGGAATGAAGAAGTCGCTGACAGCCGCGGCTAGGTAGAATAATGCATTGGATCCCAGCGGTCTCATCAACTTGGCCAGCATTCGCAACTCGAACAAGTACTCTGAAACCGTGGTAAATGGTAGAAGCAACAACAAGTTGTTTTGTTTAGCATAGCGGTATTTCCGCAAAACGTCCCGCATCTGATCCTGGTATTCATTGCGCACCACTATAGGACCATGATCTCGATTGGCAGATTCTGACGAGGTGGATGGGGATGCCTCATCCATAAAGTCCAAGAAGCAGTTCGTCGAGTGGCTATAGTGCCGTGAATATGGTAGCAGACTGAATTGCCGGTGAAGGAAAATCACCGCGTAGCCTTCTTGGAGAAAATACTCGGCGGAAGTTGCACCTCTGGTTCCAGCCGAGAAGTTGTCTATAAATCGCACCGTCTGGTTTTCAAGCGGCACAGTTGTGCCTCCGGACGTAACCAGGACCAGCCGCCTGTTCGCTTCGGTGTGATATTCGATGAAAGCTCTGGCAAGGGCTTCATGTTTTGGGAGGTTCTTCGGAGGCGGGTAGTTGTTGAAATAGACAGACTCTTGCTCTGCAGGCGTCATTTCCTCTGTTGTTGCTGCCGCCATCGTCAATGGGCTTGTCTGCGAAACTGCTCCAATTCTCTTAATGGTTATAGATCGCACGGCACTCTATAGCTAAGAAATCAATCCCGGCTAAGCAGTGCAAAGCAGATCAATTTAACTTCAATTAAGACCCCTAAGACCTCGAGTACGATTCCGGGCTGATGTTGACTGAGAGCGCTCAACTCGGTACGATGACTCGCAAAGAAGCAATACGGTTGGGCGGAATTAATAAAAAGGAATCAGGAAACAGCCTGAAATTCTCGAAGGTACCTGTTATCGGCGCTGCATGGATGGGAGTCTGTTCCTCAACCACCAGAGAAATCAGTTAGCTTGAGCGGGTGACCCCAACAGGATACCCCTCCATTCATCCGACATCAAGTGATCAGTACTGTACCTGGTAGACTTCCAATCCTGTCGCCGAAACTTGTTATGTGCCAATTTTTAAAACCCTATGACCCGAGCTTCGGAGGACTATAGGTCAGAAATATGACCTGTTTATTTGCCGGTACTGCAGAACACGGAGATAAGTTGTCGGCTTCTCAGCTGCTTGCGCCGAGGCTGATGATGAGGGCTTCGGTTTCTCTTGTCACCGCCTTTGAAGCACCTCCAACTGACGTCAGCTGGTTGGGCATTCACGTGATAGCTCTCAAAACATTCGAGCAATCAAGATAGGTAGAGTTGGTAGAAGTGTTTCAATTCATGATGGGTATCAAGTCAGCGTCTAGCGCACATAATGCGGAGCTGGATACAGGCTCATTCATCTATTGTATTCCAACCCGGGTCGACAACATACAATGTCCGACCTGGAGCACTCCGTCTACAGATAGCGGCTTCGTAGCGCTTGACTGATAGTACTCATGCGGCTTGCCATTCCTCCGTGTTGCATGTTACTCATTAGAGCCTCTTCAAGTGCTGACTGTGTGACGCTGGCATCTGCTCAGGCAATAGTTAGGAGCGAACACTCAAAATTGTAATGGAATCCAATCGAGCTTACCGTCGAGATCACTGAAACTACTTCCCATGCTAGGTGTATCGCTAGCATCCTTCCCCGAAGCAATCGATCTCCTAGGACTTGATCGGGCCGGTTCGGCCGTCCTTTGGGGGCCGAAAACTCCTCCACCTGATTGATGTAAGACCCGACGACTGTCCCCTTGCCGTAAAGGAACAGTCGGCCCAGAGCTAACAGAGCTTGTTGATGACTCTGCTGTGATTGGCTTTCTTGTAATGCTCTCTTGTTCCGACAAGCGCCTCCGCTGGGCCGCGGCATGCTCTGCTTCCAAACGAAGCGTGGCGTTCAGGTCTTGTCGGGAGGGCTCACGTCGAGCCTCTTCCGACTCACGAGCCAAAGGCAGGAAGGCGGGAGATTCATCTTCGTCTTCTTCGTCATCTCTCAGACCGGGCCGATGAGTCGAGAGTTTGCCAAAGCGCTTAAACCGTGGTCCCATCCTGCTGAGCATAACATCGCCATCAGAATCAGACTCCGACTCCGAACTTGAGAGGTCTTCTTCCTCAAGCGTAGGAGATCTTTGTAGCAAAGCCTGCACAGCTTGCTCCTTTCTGTTTATCGAAGGGCGTCGGCCATATCCCTCCCATTTAGTGTCTTTAGTGTCAGCTGGTGGCGTTTCGTTTCGAGACATTTCTTTTTGACCCTTTAGTTGGCTAATGGTGGTTGTCGAACTCGTACGGCGTGGACCTGGTGCTGCGTTCATCAGATGCCGTCAATAATCCCACTCTGCGGACCACAAGCAGTAAGGACAGAACTTACCCCGCTGCGGCAAGGTATCCTTTGGCTGTGAGACAAGACGAGAGGGTGCACGTTGACCTTGAGCTCATTAACAGTACTGTTCGTGGAACAGAGTTCAGAAAAGACATACCAGCACCGGAAATGCCTTTGGGCTGTTGGCCTCCTAGAGCTGCGCTCCCGGTCATGGAACCAGGAGCCGGAGATGGGGAGGTAGAGTGCGTAGTGCCCACTTTGCGCATTTGAGCGCGGACTTGCGATAGCTGCCGGTCATAAAGCCATGCTGCCTGCTGAAGGAGGAACTGAAGCGTGACATCGAAACTATCTGCTCTGGAAGCGGCCGGTTTGTTAGCACGTGATGATCACGGACGTATACATTGTCTGGAGACGTACAGTGCTTTCCCTAGAAGAGAATTAGTATGATAATACCTTTGACGACGTTGACAGGAATGCCTCACAGTCTATGTCATCCCCTTTGGCTGGACGCGAGAGGATATCCCAGAGTGCCTGGTCCTTGGCAGCGTTCCATTCTGCCTGTGAAAGTCAGTAGATAGAAACTAAGCTTGATCAGCGTCGGCACTTGCAGGAGGAGGGTCCACAAAGTCGCCCCTGGGGAATGGAAGACGGATGAAGACAGTGAATCTAGTATCTCCAGCTTGATGATGGAAGGCCATTCTTCTGCGAGTCCGATCCGTATGCAACAAATACAAGGAGTAATGACAATGATTGGTTTTTAATTCATGTACTATCGAGCGTACGCCGTATTATGCGGCGATAAGCAGGTTACCTCTTCTTTCCAAGTGAGAATTTAGATGCGATAAGATATTGGGGGATATCTAGGATGACCTTGAGTATACGGAGTACCTTAGACAGATGGCGATGGAACAGAAGAGATGACGGAAGTGTTGCCATTCCCGTGCAATCAGTGCGTCGTAATAGAAGGCGTGGGATGTGGTTGGAAAGTATTTGCTAGCGGGGAAGGTCAGTCTTGGCTGCGGACCTACGGAGTAATGCTAATTCCACCCCATCCGGTGACATGCGCACATGAGCCAACATTCATCCTGATATCGTGACCTCAAATTGGGCCTCAGGCAAATACGTGGGCGGTACTCCCTGGTCTCATGCAGCCTGGGCTAGGCTAAGGCCTAAATTGGAAGTTGTTGCGATTTTTGACAGACGACCATGGCTCCACTTTGCACCGACACTCCTGATAGTACTTGGGCTTTTTCGATGGGGGATTTCCCGGACCATGAGGCATGGCAACCGTTTCTTATGGAAGCCGGTATAAACCGATCAGCTACCTTCCGATGCGCTTTCTCAACTGAAAACTGATGGTGGTCTAGGGGTTCAACAAACGCTAGAAGGGTGACAGGCTCTCTCTGAATATTCTCTTAGGAAGGAAACCTGAGCTTTCTGAACATCTTCCAGCGTCTATGCTTGTCAGAGGGCAGCATCCTGAGTAACTTCTTAAGAACTACGCGCTCATAAGTCACTGGATTCTTGCTATTCAACATGGTGGAGCTGACGGAATGACGAAGCAAAAGCTTGGAAGGATGGATTTACCCGAAGTGTGCTAATATAGTTGCGCTATCTCAAAGGCAGAATGATTTTCGTAGAATCTCAATTATTGTACCTAATCTAATCCTGTGCCATGGATACCAATCATGTAGTCCCGCACCTGACATCGTGCAGGCTTGAGGTCATGTCAAAGAATATAGATGAATGCCTCGGTAGTCGGTACGTCTTGAGTGCCTTTATTCCTCGTTGGCAATGATACTTTTCTGAACCAAGAGACTTAGTGGAGCCAGCCCGATATTACCTATATTTTCTCTGCAGCACCACGACCAAGTATATGGCAGAGGTAAAGAGGCGTCCTCTCCCCAAACCCGTATTCTCCTCCCTCTGTTGTCGGCCATCAGTTAACGTGAAGAGTTCAAGCCCGGAACTTTCATCGATGTCCCTATCGAGAGAACTTAATTGACCTTCCCGTCGTTGCCCTTGCCAGGCATTTTATCTTCATTAATTAATGTCTTACATAATATACATCTACCGCAAATTATTGGCGGTGCTCATCAGAGCTGTTGTCACGCGTGGCAAGCGCATTTCTGCAAGTCCAGATGATGTCCTTCAGATAAAGTCGCGAGACGCGGGTAGACACTTGAGAGCTCACATCTATCGGCCAGCAACTGCGTCTTCACCATCGCCTGTCCTCATAAACTTCCACGGAAGCGGGTTCTTGTTACCGCTTCACGGAAGCGACGACGAATTCTGTCGGCAAGTCAGTCGAGAGACAGAATATACAGTGTTGGACGTCCAATACCGGCTGGCGCCAGAACATCCATTTCCAGCGGCGCTTAACGACGTGGAGGATGCGGTCAACTGGGTCCTGCAACAGCCAGACAAATTCGATTTGACTCGAGTGGCTATCTCCGGCTTCAGCGCTGGAGGGAATCTCGCGATCGCGGCAGCTTCGGTGCTCTTCCCACGAGAGACATTTCGATCTCTCCTCGCATTCTACCCACCGCTCGATTTGTACACAGACCCTGGAGCCAAAAGCCCGCCGGATCCGGCAGGCAAGCCCATTCCTCCACCTTTGAGTCGACTGTTCGACAAGTGCTACGTCCCTTCCGCATATGATGCCAGAGACCCGCGTATTTCACCATGCTATGCGCAGCCCGAGAGGTTCCCAGATCGTGTTCTTGTTGTGACAGCGGCTGGCGACAGCCTGGCCGGTGAAGCTGAAGCCCTCGCTGCAAAGATAGCCAAACTGCCAGGTCGCCAGGTCGCGTGCCAGAGAATGCAAGGCTGCAATCATGCCTGGGACAAAAGTGCTCTTCCGGGAACCATCCAAGGCAATGCCAAAGAAAAAGCCTACGCCATGGCCGTTGCAATGTTGATGCGCTAAGTGGCCCGGTTAATGGTCTTCCACGTGGTGTGATCCACAGCTTATTTGCCTCCCCCTTTTTAGTGATGCTCTTGGTCACATGCGGACTTGCAAGACTTGGAATTTGAAAGTCAAGAACATTGCTTAGATAGCTGATCGCTCAGACTCAGCCCTTACTAAATATCAGTAATTCCCTCCGGCTGATCCTTATGATGGTACCTAGCAATTAAATTCCATTCAATTGTACAACAACAGGTCATCTTAAAAGGGGCCAACTGTCTCACTGAGGAACAGAAGTCCAAGTTCCTGAAACATTACCCATCGACCGAAGTGGATCATAATTCTGAAGCCGCGGTTCCTGATCCAAAGGAATGGTGATGCAGCGTGGCTGAAACCATGGGCGTCTTAGCGCGGACCGTACCGGTCTCACCCTCGCCCTAAGCCCTAGATGCCTGTTTTGGCAGGCTTGATGCCTCCAAGGTCAGGCAGCATGGGCTTGAGCCTTAGCAGGCGTATTAAGATTACCAATGTATCGGTGACCCTAGTAGAAGAACAGGTGATCTTCTTCTGACCCTGCGTATCGTGGTGTAACGATAGTTGATGATTCGGTCAGACGCTCCCTCGTGGGTCTCATGGTGCAATGCAAGCCTGAGGCCCGAATCGGCTTGACTTGTTCATTTCCTTCTGTCTTGCTCCGTGTCCATCGCTGCCCATTTCGCGATTTTAGTGCCTTTTTATCTTTCCTTTTCTTCCGGCCGTTCTTGCTTGCTCCATATGAAGCCCACCCCGCAAGTCGGATGCTGCTCTTGAGCGCCTCCATCTCGTCCACCGTGCTTCTGGTACTGTGGACGAGTGAATTGGTATCTTCCGCTGTGCGCCCTTGACCTCTGGTCGGTAAAGAAAAAAAAGGGTTTAGAGTGTTGCTTTGAGTTCTGTGTACTCGAAAACACCATCAGTGATCGCATGATGGAGCCGTCCAACTTGGTCGGCATCGACGAAGCTCAATACCGCAATGAAGTTCTTCTGCTTCCATCCGAAGAGGTCGAGGCCGCTCGGGATAAACGACTACTTGAAGAAGCACATGAACTGGGATTAAAAGTTCCAGAAGTCGAGGTAACCGCATCGGTGGCCGCCTCGATCGCCTCAGGAATCATAGATATATCCTCCCCTGTCCTTTCTTCCAGTTCCTCGACAGACCGCAACTCGATATATGAGGTACCACATTCTTACGAAAATCCTCGGTTGGACCAGGTTGCTTCGTCTCTTTCGGAACTAACCGTATCCTCTGATCCCATGAAATGCGGCAGCCTCCGGTCGATTGCATCGCTCTCCACGCGCCCCACGTCACTTTGCTCGAGTGAAGGAAGACTGGTTACCGGTTTAGACGGAATCTTTGCGGGGCAGCCAGGTCATAGAAACTCGCTAATAAGCCTATCTTCGACCGACAAGAAAGAGAAGCGAAAATCGAGCTTAAAATCTGCCATTGGCAGGATTCATTTCAGGAAGAAGAGAACGCCCTCTACGGTCCTCCTTCCACCCGCAGCTCAGATTACCGTCGCTAGAGGACAAGGGGGCGTGGATAGGATCTACGTGGAGTCGAGACGGAGCGAGTCGCAGAACCCAAGTTCAGACGAAGAGGGCCAGTCCTTGAGAGTTGAAATACCGATATACGACAAGGAAACATTGCAAAGGAGTCTTGAGAACGAGGAATTAGCCCAACTGCGCGAATTGCACAAGTCGGAAAGAGATCGCCATGTCGCCTTCCAAGATAGTTTCCTGATGCAGCTCAGACGCAACCAGCAAGCTGTCGTGGCTGACAGGCTCTCGGAAAATAAAGCCTTGGAGGAGCAGAAGCGAGCGAAGGTCATTTCCGAGATTCAAGACCTGCATTGCAGACACGCTAACGAATTTTGCAGAATGAGGCTGATGCCGCTCGTATGGAGGAACGGCAGCTTGCAGTCGAGATGGATCAGCTGCGCGAATTCGAGAGGGAGAAGCAGAACTCCCGTACTCGCATCAAGTATATGGAAGGATACTTCAACAACGCCCATCCCCCAACAACATCGGATTCCGAATCACTCTCCGGATCTGACCAGACAACTCCAGTCCGGCAATACACCAATCAGCAAAAATCCTTGCTGGCGCAGGAATACCATGACCACGAATGCATGGACCAATTACACTCGGCCAAGATCAAGGTCCTCCGAGACCGACAAGAAATCCGACTACAGGAGGCTATCGCGCGAATGGAGAGGGAGCTGGACGCGCTCATCGACAAGCATGCGTTGGAATTCGCTGACCTGCAACGACAGCACCAGCGGGAAGAGGCACTAGCAATGCACGCATTCGAGACGAAGAAGACGAAGCTGCGCCATCGCTGGAACCTAGAAGAAGCCATTCTGCGCAAGAAACTAGAACTACAGCACGGACACCCGTACGGCCCTCTACCTCCACTCTCATTCTCCGATTCGCATTACGAGACGCGGGACTCGGCAATTTGTGTCTCGGAAAACAGTATGAACATGAGCAGTGACGAACAGACGCACCCGAAGGAAGGTGAGGAAAGTGAACCAGTGCATTAATTTATGACGTGATGTCTCAAAGTGATACCCTTTCTTTCTTATCGAATCATCTCACTTGCATATACGTTGCAGCTATCCCCCTTTCTATTGCACTGGCGGAGATAATGTTTATTTTCACCATCCAGTTATGGTTGATACTTTCCTTGTAATTATTTTGTTGACGTCCTCCTAGAGCTTACTTCATTTCACTTCTCATTGTTGGACAGGCGAGCATCATATATACGCGTGGGGGCATGTTACTTGTGCATAGCATTGATTGCAATCAGTTTTTCTGTATATTCCATAGATGTCAACATCATGTGCCGCTTCTACCTCTCGAGAGGTAGAACAATCCAATAATATAGAATCTTTTCCACCAGAGTCAATGACCACATGGAGAGAATCTCTCCGGCCCTTGAATCAGCGTTGCAATTCATTCGCCTGATGTGGATATAGTATGCTGCCGTAACCTGTCCAGGAGTGTTTCCACTCGTCCACCACCTCCAATAAACACAGCCTCCAGCCTCTTATCTCTCCCGCGGTCGCCGATGATGACTGCACGTTCAATGACCCCGGTGTCAGAAAGCTTGAAGCGTCCCACCCGTCCATCCTCCCATTCCAAGCGAACATACGTCGCCTCGAGTGCCGTCGGAGAAACACACACAATCCCCAAGTCATTCGGCTCCAACCGACTCTCGTCTACACCACCACCCACCGTCCCATCTTGAACACCGCCCAAATCTTCCTTCAGCATATTAACCGCATCGACTCGTAGATGCCACGCAACCAGCTGGCGCCTCAATTCGCGAACTAGACCCCGCAGGTCCTGCTTCCGCACCCGACCCTTCCCCGGCTTGAGGGGTGCATCCTCTTCCGCGGACTCCTGCGTCGGCGGTAAAGGCAGATAGACACGCTCCAGTTTCTCGATAGGAATAAATGCAGGGATTGTGTGACGGTGCACCCGCAGCCTCTTATCGTCGCCCGCGCCGGCCCGCCTCAGAAGCACGTAGTACGGTTTCGTGAAGCGGCCATTTCGACAGCAGATATCAATGCGCACGCCTAGTAGATTTGGATGGTCCGAACGCGGAGAAGGATCTTTGAAGGGGAAGGTGGTTGTTGAGAACGCGACGCGGTGATGGTTCAGTTCGGCGTGTTTATCGGCGGCTTGGACGAGGGGGGAGACTTCATCAGTTAAGGATGAGATGGATGTAGGTGCTGCTACTGCTTGGCGCGCTTTCAGTCGTTTTTGAAAATTGTCTGACGAAAGAAGGCTGGAGGTTAGGAGTCGACGTCGTCGTTGGAGATTGCGGACTGGTATGCGGTTAGCGTTGTGTGATGATGGGCGGTTCTGTAGAGCTCACTTTCGCGCCGGATGGAGGATATTTCGGAGTCTAATTGCTCCTCCACTTGTTTGAGACCGTCTGGTGATTCCATTACTCTGGTTTGGAGTATACAGGCGACTCAGTCTCTCATGCAGATGTGATGGTGCGGAGAAGCACTTTACTAGATGTCATGTTTGTTTGTGTTGCTACGGCGTCACGTGTCAACGAATCCATGCAGGCTAAGTACAACGAAATCCATTTTCGTCCCAAGTAACAGCGATGAAATACAGAGTAGTCTCAGACTGCTGTTCCTTTACTGGGCTGGGCACGATGCATTTTTCATTCTTGATTACAGGCGCATAGTTGACACGAACAACGGCGATGCCACGATAGCAACAGGTGTGAGATCTCGGGCATACGATAGGCAAGGGATTCATGTCAGCCAGCACATATGGCATCAGTGCATATGGAATAGCCTAGCTTCTAAAGTGATGAAGAATCATGCGCATTTGCAGTGTGTACCGGAGCTGATCTTTAACGAGCTATGACGTCCTGGAACCATATGTGAGCCGCGTCATTCTGTATCGTTACACTGGCAAAGACTCGATACCACAGTGAATGGAAAGTCAGTAGTGACACAGACAACACTGTAACTTCTATCTAGATCAGATATAGCTAGATGCAAAAGACGCGAAGAAAAGAGATGCTAGCCTCTTCCATGATCCCTCAGTCCCTGGACTATTATTAGCCGACCCCCGAGTCGCCGACACTAAGATAAGCTTCGCCCGAACGATCTCCAGAGGTCCCTTGAGGCCAGCTTGCCTCAGTCGGATTCTTTCAAGCTTCCAGATTGGACCCTAGCACCTTCTCCTCCACTTTCCACTGCCGCATTACGGAGTCGATGGATGCATTATCGTAATCTTGACCCTGTCTCTCATTCCTGTCATCCTGACCCTTCCACTCCTTCCTCCCTTCATGTTCGAGCCCCGTCTCAGCACTCTCTTTCCGCAGCTCATCAACCCGACGAGGTAGAACTTGACCAACTAGCATGCACCAGCAATAATCGCAGCAATCACAAAGGCGAAATAAACACAGAAGAGCTTGAGACTTCTTATCCTGCACCCTCAGATTTCGAATCCGACTCGGACTGTGAGGACGACACGGCGGGCACGCGACTTCTTGAGCACCACCGCGGACGAAGCAGTACACAGATGAAGAACAAGAGTCGCACAGTTTCAAAACGTCGCTCCAAACCGAGCTTGACCCTCGCGACTGGCACGCAGAACGGTTCTGCTGGCGGCGAGATGAATTCCAATATTGAAATGCGCAAGAGGGATACCTCCCTCGAATCATCGGGTGGGCGGGCCTCGCGCTTGATGTCCCGGCAGAGCTTCTCCTTGAATGATGACCCCCCGATCACTCCACAGACTCCGGCTATGACAACAACTAGCTTCGCCAACTTGCCTTCCTCCGACCGAAGAAACTTCTTGCTTTTATGTGTTCTATATTTCCTGCAGGGAATCCCTATGGGGTTGGCCACAGGATCCGTTCCGTTCCTGCTAAAACCATACCTTTCCTACGGTCAGATCGGCGTTTTCTCGTTAGCATCTTACCCTTATTCTTTGAAGCTTCTCTGGAGTCCGATTGTCGATGCAGTATGGAGTCAAAGGTTTGGGAGACGGAAGAGCTGGATCACACCTGTCCAGGTCATTGCGGGCCTGGCAATGATCTATCTGGGTGGACACATTGAAGAGATGATGGTACGGGCCGGTGCCAATGGTGGTGCTGGCGTCTGGAATTTTACGTACTGGTGGTTCCTGCTCGTCTTTTTCTGCGCCACCCAGGATATTGCGGTGGACGGCTGGGCCATCACGCTCATGTCGCCTCCGAACATCTCTTACGCCTCGACCGCGCAGACCGTTGGCCTTACAGCCGGGCATTTTCTGTCATATACGGTCTTTCTGGCCTTCAACTCAAAGGATTTCGCGAACCGCTGGTTTAGAACGGTTCCCGGCGAGGATGGCCTGCTGTCTTTGGGCGGATATCTGAAATTCTGGGGTTGGGCTTACCTATTTGTCACGATCTGCTTGGCTGTTATGAAGAAAGAAGAAAAGACAAGGGAGCGGGACAGCATCACCGATGTCTACAAAAGCATGTGGAACATCCTGAAACTCAAGAACATCCAAACAATCATTGTGATTCATCTAATCGCCAAGATTGGTTTCCAGGCCAATGATGCCGTCACCAGCTTGAAGCTGTTGGACAAGGGATTCGGCACGGACAACATGGCGCTGGTCGTTTTGATCGACTTTCCTTTCGAGATTGGTCTTGGCTACTATGCTGGAAAATGGTCGACAGAATATACTCCCATGCGGCTGTGGTGCTGGGCGTTTATTGGACGACTGGCTGCAGCCGTCCTGGCTCAAGCTACTGTCATGATCTACCCGGCCAGCGAGGCGGTTCCTTTCTGGTACATTTTGGTTGTGATTGGGGAGCACGTCTTTTCGACATTCATGAACACAGTCATGTTCGTTGCAGTATCTGCTTTCCATGCTCGCATTGCTGATCCCGCCATTGGTGGAACATACATGACCCTGTTGGCAACGTAAGTACCCTTTGCCCATCTCTGCTACTGTATATACTGACCGATCTAGCGTTTCTAATCTTGGTGGCACATTCCCTCGGTACTTTATCCTCAAACTCGTCGACTTTTTCACCGTGGCCACCTGTATTCCCCAGCCGTCCCGCCTGCAGCGGAGAAGCTGAAGGGCGATTTGATCACATCTGCGTTCTCTTGCGCCTTGGAGCCTGACAAGAACCGCTGCGTCAACGGCGGCGGAGTGTGCGAAACCGGTCGCGACGGCTACTACATCACCAACATCCTGTGTGTGTTGATTGGAACAGTCACCTTTATCATGTTTATCCAGCCTGCGGTCCTGAAGCTCCAGAGTTTGCCTCTAAGGGCATGGAGATTGACCAATGGAGATCGGTAGTAGATGCCAGGTTATGAAATGACATGTTCAATCATTATACTGCGGCCATAGCGTCCATATCATGTATATTAGATAGCTTGCCTAGAAGCCATGGCCCATCAACCTCTGCGTTAGACAAAATACAAGTTGGCAAAACAGCCGGTCTGCTCCATATCTACTCCGTACCTCTGCAGAGACGTACCTCGTAAAGTTTGACAACGCACAGGACCCCCTGTACATCGCCAATCACGTCCGCCACCGACAATCTGCAACAGACACATGTCACACCATTCGCCATGTTCCTGGCCAGCGGGCCTCTGCAGATTCGGATCTAATATTAGACCTATACCAATCGACCAGTGGAGAAGTAGTATGGACCATACTTGCGACTAATAACCCCCTGCTATATAGCTAGCTCAAGGATCACTAGACATCCTCCTCACACTACTTTTCCGTTGTCCTTCCTCCACCCCATCTCCACCTCCCCCGTCCTCATCCATTCATCCCAAATTATCTTCGCAGTATCCTCTAGAGTACAGGGTGAATAGCAAGCAACAATGTATCTACCACCTCTCCTCACCGTCGCCGTGACCATCATCCTCTCAACAACATCCGCCCTCGAAGCCCGCGAGATCCTCGCACCCCGCAACGTAAGTTTAGCTTTTACTTCGCAGTTTCCACCCCAAATAGCATCTTGTCTTACGGATTGGAAGTGGGACCTCCGCCTCCTCGGGCCAGGATGTAACCCCAACGCCTCGAATATCGACATCTCGGTTTTCCACCGGTCGGGGCTCTACGGGAGGGACTGCGAGGCTCTCGATACGAGTCTCTTCAATACGACGAGTGTGAAGAGCGTTTCGTGGAAGAGCCCGAGCCCCGGGGCGGGTCGGTATGATTTGTGTATGTACAGTGATGCGGAGTGTGGGAGTGATAAGCCCGATGTTATTCGCGGTGGGTGGGAGGTTTGTTATCCGTTTACTGGGTGGGTGGGGTTCAGGGTTGTTCAGGGGGGCGAGGAGTGTTGATACAACGGAAGGAAAGTTTGTGTGCATTCTATGTATATGGATAGTGATTAAGTGAGGGTGTGTACATGTGGTTTTGATGAACCCAGTTAAGCAGTCTTGGCCTTCTTGCGCTTGCCCAATGAAAAGTTCCACTTCTTCACCCGGAAACAGTAGTAGAGCATGACTGCCACGGCGATGTCGAATGCGACGTACGCCCAGAAGATTCCAAAGTTGTGCCACCGCTCGCTCCAGTAGATGTTGACGCTCGCCAGGTACTGGTCTGCGACGGAGAGGGAGCAGAATTCGCACGACGAGGTCGCGTTGGGGTTGCTGAGGTGCCCCGGTGCCACAGCCATGTAGTCTGCCATGTATTCCTGGCATGTCTGCCCCGATGGAGGATTGAAGACGGCTGTTTCGGCTGCGCTACACTTGACTGCACGGCCGTGCAGCTGCGTGGCGGCCATTCCGCCTACCCAGTAGGTGAACGGCGAGACGCGGTACATGAAGATCCAGAATCCAGGCAGTGCTTCGGGTGTCTGCATGACACCATTGAACGTCAGAGCCATGGAGAACAGGAGGGTCACAATGGCACCCGCCGTTTCGGCGTCCGGTAGGGCGGCAATCACAAAGTCGGCAAAGGTGCTCGCGTAGATGAAAAATTGTACGCAGAACAACAGGACCAGCCCTTGCCGGTCAGACGATTGCACGCCATTCACTGCGTAGTAGTAGCAGCCAAACACGAGGATTCCCATCAGGATCTGATAGGGAATCTCGACGATGATGTTCGCAATCATGAAGGCTTTCCAGGAATACGTCTTGCTGGGCCGCTCGCGGACCTCATAGAGAGCGCGCTGCGTGATGAACAATGGGATAATCTGCTGGACAAGGGAGGAGAAGATGGCACACAGCATGAACACGGAGAAGATGACATTCTGCATGCCCTGCAGAGAAGTATCGGCCTTGAAAAATGAGAATCCGATGAACAGACCTGCGCATATGCCAAGCATCATCTTGGCCACAATATACATGGGGAGTCGCCAGTATTGCTGGAAAACTCGCACTATGACAATGGGCAATTGCTTGAAGAACGGCATGGCAAATTCATCGTGTTCGCGGTCTTTGGGGTCGGTGCTATCATTGCTTTCAGCCTCGCCTCGCTTGGCCTCGTGGATGCGGTCGATTTCGGTCTGAACAGCGGCAGCTTCTTTGCTTGCCTTCCACAAGTCGAACCAGTTCTCGCCTCGAGGATTGGTGCCAGCGTTGACGACTTCAAGCATATATTCGGCTGGGTTTTCCTGATCACCACAGCGGCGAGCACCATGCGACTCAAAATAGTCGAGGAGCGTCCGCGAATTCTCTCCAATAGGGCCAAAATACACTGTCTTGCCACCTCGAGCCAAGAAGAGCAGCTGGTCAAATTGCTCGAACAGGATGGCACTAGGCTGGTGAATGGTGCACAAGATGGCTTGTCCTGCGTCAGCCAGCTTGCGGAGGAAGTTGCAGATAGCCCAAGAGCTCTGGGAATCGAGACCACTACACCAATTAGCACAAGCAAAAAAATCCGAGCAAAATTGTCTTTACCTGGTTGGTTCATCCAAGAACAGTAACAGTTTCGGTTTAGCCGCCAGTTCCACACCAATGGTCAACAGCTTGCGTTGCTCAACATTCAAACCCTCGCCAGGCACACCGACCACTGCCTCAGCAAAGTCCTCCATGTTGAGCATCTTGATGACCTCTTCCACGTACGCGTATTTCTCCTTCTTGGATACAGAGGCTGGCTGGCGCAGCGTCGCGCTAAAGCGCAGACTCTCACGCACCGTGGCTGTCTCAAGATGCAAATCCTGCTGCTGCACGTAACCCGTTTTCCGCTGGAAGCTTGAATCCAGCGGTTTACCATTGACGAACATGTCTCCAGTGATGACGCCCATGGTTGTACGGTGTGCCAACACGTCAAGCAGCGTGGTCTTTCCCGCACCACTGACACCCATTAGGGCCGTCAATGTACCCGGCTTGACCCAGCCTGATACGTGATCAAGCAGCCGACGAGGCTCACCTTTGATCTCGATATCGTACACCACGTCGCGCCAGGTGAAGATATCCTGCTGAGGAGGAATCGACGCAATACCTTGGTCTTGCTTGTTTTCTTCAGCGGAGGAAGAAACCACCGTCTTGCCAGCGCCGGCCTCTTCATCCGCACCGGGCTCGTGTCCACTCTTCAAGTGGGCAGGCTCGTGGCCTCGACGGAAGACAAGAACCTCCGCTGAGCTGGTCGTGGCGGAGTTCAGTTCGGTTGCGATGAAGTAGATGACCATGAAGCCAACCAAGAATGCTATCAGAATACCAAAGTTTCTCCAGACATGCGAATAGCTGTAGCTGTATGACGCTTCGATGTATGCATCCCCACTAACAGTCCGACGACCAGCAACAGCACCTCTTGCCGAGCAGACGAAGGAGTCGCCGGGTAGATTGGGATAGGCAGGGATAAACTGTGAACAGGTAAACTCCCGCCCATGAAACTCATTGGCTATCAGGATCTCAAAGGCGTAAAAAATAGGATTCAGATAGTGAATCCACTTGAACCATGGGTGCATATAATTTACTGGAACAACGAATCCGGTGTAGATTACTAGCATCAAAATCAGGACACCGGCCAGTGTCATGGCCTGGGAAACAGTCCTGGTGATTGCGGCCATGGTCCGGAAGACAGCACTCATGACGAACATGATGATGAACGTAATGAGGAAATAAATGAAGAATTGAGACGGTTCGCGACGTAGACCACTCAGGAAATAGAGAATGATGTTGAACGCTACTGCCATGAGGAACTTGACCGGGATATCACTGACAACCCCTGCAATGGCCTCGGTGGCGGGATGATAGAAGGCAAACGATGCATGTTTCTCGACGATTGGTCGCTGGGAATATAAGCTATTAATCTCGGTCATTGCGGTAAGGGCATTAAGCAGCACGGCGTAGAAAAGGGTCGCACCCTTGGCGTAAAACCCCGCGGTGGCTGTGGGAGTTCCGTAGAAGACAGAACCCACGATCAAGGCGAGAATGGTGTTGCCAATGAACGTAGTCATAGTGGAAGTCCGTTCATTCCACACTCGTTGATATGCACGCTTGGTGTTGAGTTTGATCTGCATGGGAATGCTGAGGAGATACGGAGACTTGGGCCGGGTATGGGATGCCTGCGCCAGGCGCTTGCGCTGCTGAAATTCGAGGAGTTTCTCATTACCCTGCGAAGACGTTTCTCCTTGGAAAGCAGCCATCTCCCGCTGAAGCTCTTTGTATTCGTCCGACTGGTGCCAGTATGCTTCGAACTCAGCCGCGGTTCGGGGCACCTGGGACTCCATGCCCGGCCGAGCTTGTCTTTCAATTGGGTTGGTCACCGATGTGAGGAAATCACCGGTCGTCTGACGTTGGGGACAGAACCATCCTTGCCGTTCGAAGAACGCCTTGGCCTTGCTGGCCGGGCCGAAATAAATCTGGCGTCCCTCGTACAGCACCACAGCTTTGTCAAAGAGATCATAAATGGCCTGGCTGGCTTGGTATATCGCCACAGCGTGTGCGGACGAGTTCAAGTCTGCAGCTAATCGCAAGGATTCGACGAACTTCAACGCGGTTGCCGAATCCAACCCCCGGGTGGAATTGTCCCAGGCTGCCAACGGAGCGCCTGCCAGAGCCATTTCCGCGATACTGACTCGCTTGCGCTCACCACCGGACACTCCTCGAACCGTGTCGTTTCCAACTTTGGTGTTGTACGTGTGGCTCAGACCGAAGACAGCCATGACGACTTTGGTCATCATCTGAGCATACTCGTTCCTGGACATACCGCCCAGTCTTTTGGATGGAGTGCGCACCGCTGCCGCAAATTCCAGAGTCTGGCCGACAGTCAAGTGAGGGAAGTGTTTGTCAACTTCCTGGTTGTAGACGACTTCGCCTTTGAACTGTTTGATCATCGTAGATTGCGGAATTCCGCTGTAGTGAAGGATGGTCTTCTCGTCAACGTTCAAGCCATGCAGTTCCCCACTGAGGGTCTTGAGGAAAGTGCTGCACCCTGAACCGGGTCGACCCAGCACAATCAGCAACTCCCCGCTGTGCAACACACCGTTGAAGTCATGCAGAATGGTCTTGGAGGTTTTGTTCCGGAAGCTCCAAGTCTCCCGCCGAAAGGGAGCGGTTATAATGTCCGCGACTGTCTTCTGCAATTGCAAGGCCGCTCCCGTGCCGGAGACGCGAAGATGTTGGAAAAATATGCTGGCTTCTCTACGAGGAACTCCTTCTTCATTGAGCACATGGACGACCTTCCGTAACCATTTGTACAAATCAAAGTCTTTATTTTCCGGGTTCAAAGCCGGATCATCGAGTGAGATATCGGCCACAGTGCTGACCCTGGAGACTGCATTGTCACGGCTGGCTAGCTGAGTGAGGTAACGAGCTTCATCCGGGGCGATGGAAGCTCGTCGGGTGGCTACCGGAGTCAGCTCGTCGTATTTCTCTCCCCGACTATTGGGCCCAGTATTGGTCGATGAGGTAGCGACTGAACGAGAACCACCCTGGATCGGCGCATATTCACTTGCAGCGCCGTCTGATATGTCTTCTGCCATAGTCAATTAGTATGCGATTGGAAAGAAGGTGACCCAAAGAAGGGAAGGTCTGCTGATAGATTCTATGAAAATGAGGGAAGCAAGGTCTGTCCTGTCGATGATGCAAAAGAGAAAGTTAAATGAATGGGAAAAGACGGACGATATAAAGGAACGACAGTAAACGTGGTACAAGAAGAGAAAGTCAATCTCGATGTGTCTGACAGGGACATGGAAGGCATTCTATCTAGACTGAATGAGCTACAGAAGACGTACCATGTGTCGGGCAATCTAGAAACCCTTTTTTAGGCAAAGCATTATGGGCGTATAGACGTATAGACAAACGGAAGGAAAATGAGTGACGACGCCGAGAACCCACAGTGGATCTGGAACCAGGAAAAGTTGGAACCGATCACCACTCTCCGAATCCGTGAGCCTATTGAGTGCCGTGTATCTTCTTGTAAGGCCCACGGTTACCATTCGGCACTCAGCTTGTGACACCGAGAGCTGGCTCATCCGCAAAGTGATTCCCGGAGCCGCCGGATAGCCCATTACAGAGCGAGATTTGCAGCAACTGTCTAGGTGTCAAACAGTTAACGGAGTGATAGTTCGCCCGAGGCTGTCAAACAGCACAGTTTACCAGTAGCTCAACAGGGATCGGGTAGATACACTTCCGAGATCCCTCTTTTGGAAGTCGACGCGAGTTAGGCGGCCAAATAACAGGAGGACGACAGCATGCAGGTAAGATGGTGATTGTTTGTGTTTGCGGTGTATCTCCAAACACAGTCCGTCAAGGATGGCATTTGCGTCTCACTGACGGATCCCGCTGCGTATCCGGAGTACAACTACTGAAGCTCATCGGTTTGATGCTGCTTATGGGCGTAAAGATCTCTAGACTACCAGTCTACCACCCTGCGATCGATCGAAAGTCTTGGCACGTGCTTATTCCTGATTAGGTCGGTTAACAACTTAGCCCGCTTACTCACGCTGTGCCTGAGCTGCCTGGATATCCTAGTATTCTTCATCCAGGCATCAATGATCCATATAGAGATATATTATACCACTAGACTAAAAGGTATCCGGGCGATCTACACGTCAGTCTGGGGTGGCATATCCATAATCATGGTGGTATAATATTTTAAACGGTTCTCAAGACTGCTTGCGCACTCGCTTCGGGAGCTCATGTGGAAGTCTGCTTCAGCCCTATGACTTCAATCGTGTAATAAGGGCCACGATATTTGCTCCCCAGATTTTGCGTCATATTCCATAAACCAGCTTGTCCATGGAGACGTTGTATGGACTCCTGAAATGCACCCTCTGCGACCACCCAGAGGGGGCCGGGTTGCAACCTGAGATCTAAGTCTCACGTTCTTGTACGATGAGTCGGCCGCTTAAATGAGCCAGTTCATCTTTGCAAGGCACCCTCTCGTCCGACTTAGTGCCCACTGACCAAAGATGGCCTTCATGCTCACCACTCCTTCAGACCCATCCTCTAGCTTCCCGCCTCTCACTGACGGCGAATACCCTTGTACCTTTGCGAATAACCCATTCGAGGGCTCCATTGAACCCGAGCCTACCTTTCGCTCTGGTTCTGTACATCGAAAAGACCCTTGGATCGCCTTTCTCACTGACAATCACCACCGCCCACAAGCGCAGTTTGCAGGTAACCGCACGCAATTCATTATCCTTGGTCATGCTTGGACATTGACAGTAGTGTAGAATAACTCAGTGGTGTCCTTGTCTCTAGGTTGGAAGCAATCATCATGTGTGTCCTCTTGGCGTTAGGGATGCTCGAGATGGTGTACGCGCACTCTCTTTAGGGCTTTTTCCTTCGTGGTTCACCCACCCTGGGTTGGTGATGAATTGCTCCCAACATGTCGATGGTGCTGAAGAATGGGAACTAGAGGACATACTGGATGAACGGACCCGTCGGGGAAAGAAAGTGTTTCTGGTAAAATGGAAAGGGTTACCTGAGTATGAGAACTCTTGGGAACCAGAGGAACACCTACAAAACGCAGTAGAATTGCTGAATGCGTACAAGCAACGCGCGAGACAGGCTGCGGAGCAGCCCCGTCGAAGGAGGGGAAGGAGATAGCTTTTTCCCATGAGGTTTTGCTATCTACCACCTATCATTTCGACGGCGTAGACCTTCCTCTGTTTTCCCACGAGGTTTTGGAGGTTTAATGGGAACGTGTCTACAGCTACGACCTACTAGCGACATCGTCTCGCAGGGGACTTGCCGTCCAGCGGCGACATTCATTGCTCCACTAGTTACATCAGTCAAGCTACCTCTCCTTCGAACATCTCAACCTCCGCCTCGTCCTCCTCAGGAGCCGGGGCAGGCACTCCGGCCACCTTTGACATGACCCCAAGCAGGCGAAACACGTTGTGGTTCAGACACCGCATGAGATGATTGCCCGCCCCTTGAAGCTAGGCACGCCGAGCCGCCATGTGCTGGTATATCTCAAATATTTTAGCCATATTCGTCTCAAGCGCTTGGTCTTCAATAGCCTGTATAAGTTAGCATCTGTGTTCAGTAAATATCAGATCTATATGCCTAATACTTACCCACTCCTCTGCGGAGAGGTCCTCCACTGGGGCCTGGCGGAGCTCCTGACCATGTCGGGGTGGTTGGGCCGCCTGGACCCCGGCGAGGAGGTAGCCTCCACGGCCACCATGATGCCGCTGGTTGTTGTGACCACTGCGACCACCGCCCCGCCCCCTGCCGCCAAAACCACCCCGGCCGAAGAATGGCTTCATTTTCCTCCAAATAGGAGGTAACTGCCTCCAGTTCGGCGATGAATCCTTCGACCCCCTCCGAGTCCCGCTCTGCAGGCCCCGTCGCGGCCCAAGCGGCGGCCCGACGGCGAACCTGCAGGGGGACCCGGAGGCACTTCTTCTTCAACCGTTGGCACCGCTTACACTTCCGGTATGCCGCGTCACGGACGCAGGCGCACGCCTGCCCCTGCCGAAGGGCATCCTTCAGGCATCGTTGGCACGGGGCGGCGGGCACAGGCTCGGGACCGGCGGGCGGAGAGGACAACGGCGGCAAGACCCCGAGGCTGGGAAGATTGAATGGCAGCCGTCCAGGCAGGATCACCAGGCATCAGACCGAGACCTTGGACGAATGTTAATCAGCTCATCCCTCATCCAAAGCCCGCGCTCGAAGGTACCAACCAAAGCCTGGTCATGTTGCAAGACCTACCAAACATTAGCGAAGCAGCCGAAACATAATCAATATAACCCATGACTATACCTTTTTGCTCTCCTTGAAAGGGCATCTAGACCCAGCTCTAAACTATCCCGCGGATTGGAGCCAGGCCTTACTGACCGGCCAAAAACATCCTCCGTATCAGTAGTATTGCCTGAGTACCCGGTGGTACGCCTGGGGGAGTCGGGAAGATATGCTTCTTTCGTCGTTAGCCAGCTACAGCACAATTATGATTAACAAGAAGATATCCCACAACTCACTGTGAGCAAGACGAGGCATGCCACTTTTGTCCAGGGTGCAAAGCTCCACGAGGCCGCGGACACGGTGGGTTGTCTTGTTGGGTGGCCCAGGTTATGATGATGGCAGCTTGGACTGCGCCATTTCCTCCCACGAGCCATTCTCCTGCGTCTTCTCGAAGCTTGTTGAGGGATTCACTCCACCCACTCCCAACGGCAATTCTCGGCATGTATGTGTTTGGAATATATCTTGCTAGATTGGGTGGCTTTATCGTGTCAACGAATAGGCCATATGAATGATAGGATAGCAAAGAAGGGAGACGCACCTATTTGAGGACGAGGAGGAGTTGAAAGGAAGAGTGAGAATCAGAACAAACCACAGAAGACGAGAGCAAAACCTATGATACCTCTGGTTGTGAATGACATCGGAGTGCCCAATAGGGTAAAGAATGAATTGGGCCATTCACTGAACCCTTGCAGATTTCTGCTGCCTTGGTGAATTGCTCTTATGTATGATTACTGACGTTGTAGTGCATGCACTACAGTTCAAGAATATGACCTCAGGATTTGCTATCATGGGTAACTCAGTACTGTACAGATTAGGAAGGCAGAAACATCTCAAGCCCAGGTTAAAGGGAAGCCACGTTGAACCGATCTGGTTATGGCATAAGTCTACTCCATTGTAATCACTAGGAAAAAATATCCTTGGAACATAAGGTGAACAGGATACGGCAAATGCTAGAGTCTCTATTGTGGTGCGGCTGTTGCATAGTAAATATCTTTAGGTATATTATAGTGAACAGCCCCTGGCTGTAATGGTGAGAGTAATGCTTGGGCTTCAATATGGCTAATAGTATATACAGAGGCCGCAGGTAGAGACACTGAACCCGATAGACCGGCGATCATGTATATATAATGTAGATTGAGCAATGAAGATTTAAGACGAAGCCAACATACTTACCTGCAGTCTCAGCAGGTTACAATCTGCTTCCAGTCTTCTCATACTCCTTTTTCAGCTCTCGCACAGCACAATCAAGCAAGAGCCGAGCATAGCCCCGATGAAGTCTCCCCGTCCACCCGGGAATCGTCTTCTGATGCTGCAGATCTCCTTCCTCAGGTACGATCTCGTAGTCATGAGCGGAAGCAAACCGCACCTCTACAAAAGACCCCGACTCTCATCATCTTCCACCCCATCAGAGGGCTCCGAAACGCTCAACTCATGACGACCACCAGACAGCAACCGCCACGGATACCCCCAGCGAGCGATCTTCTCAAAGAACCGACGGGGTTCATCCGACATACGCCAGGAAACCAGTAGCCCATCCCTATCATCCTCCGACGGCGGCCGCTCCACAACCAGCACACCATTCAGAAGCGAACGGGGTTCTCCCGACGCATCAGGCGATGCAAATCCCGCAGGGGTATCGCCGGTGTCCCCTGGAGAAAACTTTCCTTTAGCCAGAAGGCCAACAAGGCTACCTTCTGTGCGGAGAATTTTGTTGCCTATGAACGCCCGAGCCCACGCACTAGTGATTTCGAAGTTTGTACTTTTAAGCTGATCAGAAACGCCGTCTGTCACTTGAGCTCGGGGCAGCAGTGCTTTGACTGGTACGCGAGCCGCATATATATCGGTATATGCACAAAACTGAGTTTCGGGGTTCCGTGGAGTGCGAAGAGCGATGCTAGTTGTTGGCTCAAGAGGAAGAGGGGGATATTGTGCCTCGAGCGCGCTAAGGCCTCTATGGATGCCGTATCCAATTGCCACAGGAGGAAGAGCGAGGATGAGTAGAAGACGTGTTCTAGATCGTGTTGCCATTATTGGTCGGATGCATGAATAACGTTCTGCTGTGTAGAATCAAGAGTCTAAACCACAGGCCGGGGCAGTTGGATGTGAGATATCGAGTGGACAGGTCTTTTGTACCTTGGCCGTGCCCGACTGAAGGATTATGCCATACGAATCTGACTGGTCCCGGCATTTTGGTTAGCTCTTCGGAGAATGAGGGTCCAGATGAAACATCATTTGTCCAGGCGTTGTGTATTATCGTCTTTGTTGATCGTGTTCTGATGGTGGAAAATAAATCCCTGAGGTACTCTCTTGACTCGACGGATAATTCACCAGAACACAGAGCATCCCCAGAACTTTAGGGAGCATTGGCACTCCCCTGTCCAGCGAATAATCCGGACAACTTAATCTGGAGTCTTTTTCTATAAAAATCATCACAGAATGATAGAAACTCATACTTATGGATCGGTACTGGATAAGCTCATCTTTATCTGGACCATCCCCACCCGTCCCGAATATCGCTCTATGCCTCAATTTTTCCTTCCCCGCACATCTAATTTCAGCAAGAATACTTCCTCAGAATCCGACTCGCCGTGCAATTTATCGCGATATCTCAAAAATATAGAAAGTCTACATCTTACCTTAGTCAAGACCAAACGATCCGCACATAAGCAGAATCACAAATCCGATCTCCCCGCATTCTCCTGATCATGACCTCACCACAAGGCAATTCCCTCGACGACATCTTCGGCTCGTCCCCACCCCACGAGAACGAAAAAATCTCCCAACAACCACCAACCCAAGCTGCCGAGCCTTCAGACCTACCCTCTCTCCGCCGTCAACACGTCACAGCCGGCTACCGCGATGGCGTCTCCGCCGCAAAAGGCGAACACGTCCAGCACGGCTTCGACGCCGGCTTCCCAGTCGGCGCACAGCTAGGCATGAGAGCAGGGACGGTGATCGGGATCATCGAAGGCTTACTGCGCGGCTTTGAGAGTCGCACTACGTCCAGAGCAGTAAAGAAACCGCTTCAGGGCAAGGAAAAAGCGCAGGGGACCGAGGCAGACGAAGCAGACGCAGCGCGGCAGGCGAAGAGGGAGCAGCTGCTCAGATTGTACCAGAAGGCCGTGAAGGAGCTGGAAGTCCGGTCCGTATTTGCCGGGAGCGAGGAGGAGAGCATGCGAGACAACGAGGGGCAGGAGAAACCGGAGGTTGTCCTGCGTCGGAAAGGAGACGCCGTCATTTCACAGTGGGAGGACCAGGTCAGGGTGGCGCATTGGGAGGAGAATATGGCCGCCCTGGAGCCAAACGAGGACGAGCAGGGCGCGCTGACACCTACCGAGCAGATATGAGGTTGCTGCTGTTGTTATTATTCAACTCGACGCCCATTTCCATCACTTACTGTGGACCGGACCAGGCTCTTGCGTGCTGCTGCAGGCTCCGTGCTATCCACGGTTTCGCACACACCGAGCTACCGGCGACGCAGCACCTGCTGTGATCGACCCTGCAGCGATGGCGGCTGCAAAGCCTGCAGCCTGCAGATCCAGTGTCCCTAGAGAACTGAAACCGATCGACCGGTCCGCATCGGCAGCGCAAGGCTTTTTATGAGTATTGCAGCGGATGTCCATTCCAATGCATAAGCAGGTGGGATCTCAGCACTATTCCCGCCCCCATGAAGGAACGTGGAGCAGCGACGCTTGAGATCAGTCAGACGCACACGCTAAGCTAAGCTCGTGAGAGACAGTCACATAGAGAAGCTAGACTATTACTCCGATGGACAGCTATTACAAGATCCTCCTCATTGAGATGTGTGCGAATAAACCTAGATACACGCTGTATATTACTTCCTGGAACCCGACTGTGGAACCCTTGCACCGAATTCGCCTCACCTGCACACCAATGCAAGACATAACCGAGACATTATCGAAGTAACTGCACTGCACCTTCAACAGCTAGCAGCCACTCGACCCAGCCAGCAGGACAAAACACCCCGCCTCGTTACACCTAAAGCTAGCCACAACTATCTACGAAAACAAGATGGCAAATTATACAGGACCCCGTACTACCACCAGGACTTAGGTGGTCCTAGCCAACAAAGTTACGCTCCCTTCCAAGGACCAATGTAGCGGATGCAACAAGGGATGAGAAGGCTTGTGCCGGTGCGGCGGTGGCTGGAGGTTACAGCTTGGCTAGGCTACTGGAGCTACATCCTATTTGGATCAAGGGATGAAAGCCAACCAAAGAGTGTAGATACTGCGTACTAGGCGGAGGTCTGTTCGGTGGCCATCCTCATTCCTGCATACGTACGCGGGCTACACTTTGACCACTGGGCGGGATTACCCCAGCATTCCGCTCCATCTTGGAAGACCTCCAGTGTCTTGTTTGTTTTGGTTTTACCAAGTTGTTTGTGTTGAGTTTGTAACCTATGGGTACAGTTGGCTTGCGCTTTGTATCTTGGCTATGATTCTTGATTTGACGGAGTAACATAGAGAGAGAGAGAGAGGCCGGGGTATCCATAGCGAGGGATGGTGTGATAAGCCGAAATGGACATATAGGAAAGTTTCCAAAAGAACGTTGAGAGTGGAATCATCAGACGCAAAGAAAATCAAAGAAAGACAGGTTGATAGCAGGTAGACGCAAAAGAAAGAACGAGTCAAGGCCCCAATGGTGATAACCGATCCCAAAACTCCGTCCGTTGCCTCATTATTCATACATGAACCCGCTCAGGGCAGCTGTCGCTGCCTCTGCGGACATTATATCATATGGCAGACATATCAGGGAGCTGCGCCCCTGCTCATTAGGTCATTGGAGAGAGCTTCTCATCCCATGTAGTGTTCATCGTCAGCATTCGAACCAGGACAGCTCCTCTACTAGGAGTGTCCATGGCCGTAAAGTAGATCATAAGACATTAGTTCAAAGACACCCAACCGAAATTGCTGCAGCCAGCAAGAATCAATTACATCGACTTTCGTGGAAAGGATTTAGGGGAGTTATGTCGCCATGACAGCCAAGGAAACGCAATGACTCCCACACACGTTTGTAGAGGGGAGGGCGCGCAAGTGTCAGGCTGTGATGAATGGCCACGTCAGACCGATCCTCGCGGCAGAAAGTACAGACTTTCTCCCTGTCAGTTACGCGCGAAGTGGCAAGCGAATCTGACCGCTGTTTGCGTCGGGATCTGGCCTGGATGGCAGCGGCAGCAGACCGGTCAAAGTCGTAGTTCCGAGGCTGATCCCGGTCCCGACCCCTGGTTTGGCTGCTGTTTCGACGAGACCGAGGTGTTCGAGGTCTCGCAAGGGAGGTAGTTGACGGGTTGACGAGTCGCAGTGTCTGCAACGGCGACGGCCGAAAGACCTCACGGCTTGACAAAGTCAATGGTGCCATGGATTTGACAGGTTCGGGAAATGGATCCCTGGGTGGATGATCAGGCATTGTTGGGAATTTCTCCAGGGGCGGATCTGTTGGCGCAGAGGCTGTGGAGTTCTGCAGTTTGGGAGCGGACTTCGCAACGCGGAGTTGCACCCGGCTGCGGACCTTTTTCAGGGTGTCCATAGGCTTCTTCGACAGTGATCTCGGACCAAGTGACTCAGAATCAGAATCTGGCTCCCACACAGAATGCTCAAAGGGGCCTCGGAGGCTGAGGTCGACGGCCTCTGACTTCTCGAGGAGACGGGAGCCTCACTCGTTGTCGTCGGAGAGGGCGGGCCACGACTGGGCACAGGGCTGGGGCAATCGTTGGCAGGAATAAACATGGCTTGATCGAAATGGGTTGTGTGAGGCTCGAGAGTGACAGGGTTGATGAGGCTCGGAGGGGAAATCATCGAGGGTTCAATTGAGGGTCGTCGGCCGGAATTGGTGCTCCTCTTGCTGGGCACACCACTGCCGTGACGGGGATTGATAGGAAGAGAGGGGAGCGGTTTCCCGCGTCGGGCTGAGAGGTCCTGGTCCGCTGTTCGAGGCATTCTCAAAGTTTCCGCGGAACTTGTGAATTCAGTATTTCGCGCAGGCGTTGACGGACGGTTGGACGAAGCTGGTCGTAGACCGACTGCTTGCTTAGCAGAAGCTCGGTGGAACTTTTCCAGGGACTTTGAATATGTACTCTGGGCTGGCAACTGGGCTGGCAGAACAGGGTTCTCGGAGCCCTGCAGGCCACTGTCGGGGTAGATTGGGGAGGAGTAGTTTGACGAGAACGAGCTGCTCGGAGTCAAGTCGGGAGTTGCGTCGGTCTGCTCGGAGCTGAAAGAGCCCTGGCTCTCGTGCAGGGGGTGCTTTTCCCAACGTGGAACTGCAACTTGTGGTGGAATAGAGTACTGATGCTCGAATCCAACGACGGTAAGTGTCGATCGATCAGGTTGACTGGGACGACGAGTCCGCTTTGATTCGCCTCTTACAGTTTTGGGGAACGTCGGTTCCTTCTGACTGTGATTCACGGAGGATAACATGAAATATTGATTGGACTCCTCGCAGAATTGGACATCGCGAATGTCCCGTCTGCTACGGCCCCAAGCACCCGACCTGCCCAGGGAGTGTTCGAGATAGAATGGATCAGGGTTGGTCTCGTCCACAATCTCTGGGCGGTGCTCAGGATAGAAGGACGAGGCCCGTTTTTTAGCAGAAGACGACGAGGGCAAGCGGAGTCCAGTGTAGGGTCTATTCCGGGCTTTCAGTGAAGCGTTGAGGTCGCCGGGAAGGAAAGTATATGTGCCAGCCATGGGCTATGGTTGTAAGAGTTACAACAGATGCGACACTATGTTCTCAGCGATAGACGGGTATCATCGAGACTGCTTAACTGATGGTGAGCATCTAGCGTCGAAGTCGATAACAGCAAAGAGACATTAAGAGAGTGTCTGCAAATATCTCAGAGACTGGAAGGGGTGAAGGGGTATGTTTATACTACATGCCTCCCCAAAAATAAGTTTTAATGGCTCCCCTCCAAGTTCCAGTACCAGACTACCAGTGAATTGGTGGCTAGGCCGGGGAGGAGTCCGAAAAGCGTCAGCGCATGCCAACGGAGTATGATAAACAAAGCTCAATGATCAGAGCGCACGGACTTTAACCACCTATCAGACCTTACATGGCCCGGTTCCCTTCCACAGGGATAAGAGGCGCTGCAAGGCGAAACGGCCACCCAGCCTGGAGCAAGGGAGCTACCGGAACCCGATCCGTAGGGCAGAAGGTGCGGGGCGATGCAAGTCAGACTTTACTCATGGCTCGTAAAACTGCCAATGCACGGAATAATCATATCGAAATTGCTTGAAGTTGACACCCAATTTGGTCGTTGCGGCAAACATCAAGATGCTCGAGCGCCTCTCTCCAGATACAGGCACAGGCGTCATGTACTAGCACGCTTGATTTTGTGCTTGTACGAGGTCCTACTGAATGCTGTCACTGGATATGCGAATGCACGATGCCATATCTGCAAAAGAGTAAACCCTCGAGCAGCGGGTGTAGACATTCTACTGACATCATGCGCACAATAATTGAGTGCATCTGATACGATCGAAGCTGGCTTAGAACAAGTAGCGACGACCTGGTAAGTGGTGACTGATGATAGGTAAACGGGCCAGAAATTCTAGCCAGAGGCTGGAGTGTTTCGAATCCTCTAGGATGACTTTGACTTGGTACCAGACAAGGAGAATGTGAGATATCAGATTCAGGATGAGTAGCGCTGGGGCATAGCCGCTAAACCTTGGCCCCGAGTTCCGCTCGCTGCAATGGTGGCCGATCGTGTCGATCTCTCTCCACCAAGACTCTTCAGGAAGCAACAGTCATTAACTCATTATGGTTTCTGACGCCACATTTGCCTATATAGGGCTCGAAGGGAGAGTCAGACATTGCCCTCATCCGGTCGGCCAGGAAAGTCTCAGTCATCCCCAGCATTTGACCGCGCATTCTCTATTAAGTCTTAATGGCTGAATTGTTCAACCAGAAGTCTGTTATTCTGTACACTAGGCAATCAGCCTGTAGTCCCGCATTCCGGGTTCCCGGATGGTTGAATCTGCGTCTTATGTCGATCAGTCTAAGCAGATTTTCTGCTTTAGATCGCATCCTTCTCGCTGCATGGCCGCACTTTTCCGTACATACGTGTATGATAGGACTCGTATTGAAATGATGATGTAGGTAGGGGAGGGAGCTCTGCTGGAGATGACGCAGGCTTCCTAAAGTTGCTGTTTTGGACGTGGTTGGAAAGTACGATTCCCATGACCAGTAAAATTTCCTTCTATTGCGGCGTGATGCAGGAGGAGACGAAGATGATAGTGGTTAGAGACGGAAGATTGATCGAGTCAAGGACCTTGTCTTTATGATTGGTGTTGAGACTTGAAACTCTCGCGTCGGTAAAAGCACCACCCTCCAGCTATCCCACCGTTAGGACCCAGCTGTTTAACTAGTGATAATCCCAGATTCAGTCCATCTGTAGGAGCTGTCAGAAGCATGGAGTTGATAACTCAATATGCCCGTGGTATCGTCCATCTCGATCTTCTGCAGTGATAAACAATAGCCCGAATGATTTGCAACGGGGTCTCTGCGATGCATACTGAACGGGGAAATGAAACACTGTTTAATCGACAAATGACATCATGGAAAGCAAAAGGTACGGAATAACTGAGCAACGAAGAATTCAATAATCCTTCGAAAGTACGGGGGATGGATGGATGGATGGATGGAAAGAAGACAAGCTTAGGAGTGGGCGTCGGGGAAGCAACAAGGTCGCATAGCCTGCATTCCGGTGGCGCAGGGAAATGGTTCCTGGTATCTGGGCCTCAATTCTCGAGTCCAGCAGCCATGAAAATAAATACCAAGTACTTTATTCTATGGCTGTGCTATGTACTTTGGTCTAGCATCTATGAATGTAACGCTGAGACATCCTGGTTTTGTGCAGAGCTGCACCTTGGTAATATGTGAATTGTGCAATTCACGTATCTGCCGGGGTTTGATCTCTTCTACTTCGGTCTTTTTCGTCCTTTACGGGAATTGAATCTTCTGCAAACTTCGAGACTGTTCAGGCATCACTCATTGATAGGTTCGATTTGGACATGGTCGTTTTGCCATAGCCACTCTCATTGATTTCCAGGAACCCGAAGCCCTGGAAGCCGAGGGGTAGGATATTGTTGATCCGTATCACATTTTGCGATAATCTAGATGTTCCACTAGGCCTGGACTCGGTCCCGTCGGGATTCACCAATCTGCCTGATCAATATTCCGAAATGAATGCTGCATGGTGCTGGTGAGCCATGCATCGATCGACGTGAGAGGAATGACGCAGAGCCCGTGGAATCAATGAGGGCACAGTTTCCACAGAACCATACGATGTGCGCGCAAGTGCCGAGGCGCAGGTACACCATTAGAAATCGCAGTCATAAGTCAAGTATACCAGTAAGGATGAGTCGATAATTCTGAGACCGCGGATGGGTTGGGTTCCAGAACTCGAAGGCTTGATATTCTCCGATTCGTACGGTCGCCCTTGCTGGATTTCTTCGGCTCATCTGGTATATATCTCGAAGATCCCTATTTGCATCTTCAGACTATGGATGGAGTTTCCTGTGTTGCAGTGCTATCACCATAGAGATGTTGGAGGCAGTGAGCCATGCATATTTTTCATTTCTTTTGTCTCTGACGGTCGTTGAGAATCGTCTGTCGAGTCCATCACAGAGATCGTCCCTATGTGACGACTGATGCAGGGTTTGATTATCTCCAGACAGCCGCCTCGTGAGACTCTGGAATAATGATGATCGTCGATGTATTGCCGGGTACTCTGTATGTTCAGAGCCCAAGATTTCGAATGGCCAACCGACTAAGCAGATCCAGACCATTGGAATCGGTTACGACCATAGACCAACGATCAAGGGTTCGTTTCCAGCAATAAGGTAGGCCAAGGAGGGACTGATCTGGATACCATGGACGCAATTATTGAATCTAGGGAGCGACACCTTGCTGCTGCTGCTGGCTTCTGTTGCCATGAGAGTATCAATAGTCGATCACACTGAAATTAAAAATCGAGTCATCGGGACAGTCATCGAGATTTGAATTAACAGGTAATGAGAAAGAACCGCAAATCTCGTCCCTTTGACAGATTGCCAACGCATCGCCAATGCAGCACTGACGCAGTGACGCTTTGCGAGCGGGAACCAGGAATTAGTATGAGACTGCTGTCCAGCAACCATGAGAAATTAGGAATAGCTACAACTAGCGATTGCTCGCTTTCCAGGTTGGTGGAAATAGATCCTCCACAGACCCCATTGTTCTAGATTTTTAACTTCCCCAGATGGTTGACTTTAGGATCGACTTGCTAGATATTGAACGGAAACGAAGGTCGCAAATCCACAAAGTGCCAGTCAGATTGTTACACCACCGCAGTATCTCAATCGGATCCTAAGAGGACTCGACGGAATCAGAACACCTTTTCTTTTGCTTGTCCTTGTAAGGAATCTTATATATAACCTGCGAAGAACTTCTTTGTGGATAATTCCTTGACGTTCTTCCCGGGATATCATGGATCATAGTGAAAAATATCAGTGGTCTAGAAGTAGGCAGAAGTCTATGTGCCGTCCTATCTATAAACTTAGATTTATGTAGTAAAAAGAATACCTAGAGAAGAGTGAATTGGCCCAATTGATCTCCATCGAATCAGTGTTGGCGCCAGTCAGCGGTTGTTGGCCTTCGGAAAGTCCCTCGACTTTTCTTCCCCCGGCCGCCGTCATCGTGTCTTCTCGGACAACTGTGCAGCTCTCTACTACGCACTTGGACAATCTTCCAGCAGCCATTGAGCTCTGTCGCTCGACTCCATGACGCCTACGAGCCATTTCCAGATGCTCGTGGCGGTCTGGTAGTGCGCTGACCTGAGCTCTGAGGTGCGTCTTTTGCGTTGTTCGTGGGTTTCCTTGTTCCATCCTCCTGCAGCTTCTATTTTCCCAGCCATCCCATTTAATCCTAAGAGCTGTATTTCCCACTTGGACCGCACCACGCACACCCCCATTTGACCAGCCACAGTGTCTCCTAGCTCCTTCTTTCTGGGATGCTGCTATCTTCTCTTACCCAATGCTTATTCCTGTCTCCATTTTTTATCCACATTCTTCCTCGGTGAAGTCGCTCACCATCTCATACTCAGAGGCGGGTTCAAGGTGTTTGCTGGAAGAAAGAGGCCCTCCGACAAGCGGAATCTCCACTGAGCTGCCCTGCACTCGCTGACGTCGGCGAGCTCAGACTCGCAATTCGAGTTTGCTGAGAATCTAGTCGCAGTACCCTCACGTTGTCATCGCATCTCTCTCAACGTCCCCTACAGCAATCCTCAACAGTGTATCACCACACCCACGGCCCAATTGACGAGACCTACGAAGTTCACGACCCATCAGAGTTTACGACCGTTCCACGGCAACGCCAGCAGCAGGCTGCTGCTCCTAATCCTGCGCTTGATTCCTTCCTAGATCCATTAGCCCGCCCCTCGAGTGCTTCGGGAAGTCCCCGTTCGTTACGCAGAACACCTCGTCTCAACCACCGACGAGCTGCTTCAGTAGATGTTTCGGGACGATACCACCGAATAGAGCAGTCGATTCCTGTCTTGGTACAACCTGCCTCCGGCCAAGACTGCGCCCAGAACCCTACTCTACGTCCTGCGATCTCGGAAGCACGAACTGACAACGCGGAAGAGTACGATTCCGAAGGCTACGAAGAGCGTTCGAGACGAGCCGGCGAATCCTTTTGGCCCCGTCGGTCGACCCGCGTCTCCCCACGAACGGCCTCTGCGATCCTCTGGACTCTCGAAGAAGCGATTCGCAAACCCTTTCCTTTCACCACAGATTGGGAGGAAGTGAACGCGTCGATGGCTGATCTTGCGGGTGCGCCGGTCTCATCCGGACCTGCAGTTAGCGGCCGTACTCAGAATGGTGCCACTCGCACCGCTCAAGGACCAGTTCCGATCAACCCTCATCCCCCAAGCGGTGTTCGGACACCAACCGATATCATGAGACAGCGTCGGGATCGTGAGGCCCGGAAGAAGGCAGAACAAGAGGCAAGGGCTCGGGAGCAGGAGGAAGCGGAGCGCAGGCATCAGGAGGAGCAAGCCAAGCAGGCTCAACAGGCTCAGCCTTACGCTGCTGGCGTTGCCGGTGAAAAGGCCGGACAGCGGGGTGCAGCTCCCAGAACGACTGCAGCGCCCGGTATGACAACCAATACTTCTGGAATGGCCCGCCGCGCCGACTCCCAGATACCCAGGCAACCTGTACCTCCCGCCCAGCAAGTTCCTGGCGCTCAACAACCGGCTGCTGCGAAAGGTGCTGCTCCGCCCAGTACATTCGCCAAGCCACAAGGACAGGCACCTCCAGCTAGCCAACCGGACAATTTACAAAATCAGCAACAGCCACGTCGCGTTGGATTTCCGCATGCCTTTGAGCGGTGGGAAACCTTGTCTTCGCACTGGGAGGGTCTGACGAGCTACTGGATTCGCAAGCTCGAGCAAAACAACGAAGCGTTGGAACGCGACCCACTCAGCCAGCAGATGGCCCGTCAGGTCACCGATCTCTCCGCGGCCGGTGCCAACCTCTTCCATGCGGTTGTGGAATTGCAGCGCTTGCGTGCATCGTCGGAAAGGAAATTTCAGCGCTGGTTCTTCGACACGCGCGCGGAACAGGAGAGAGCCAAGGAGCTACAAGCCGAGCTCGAGAAGCAGCTCAAGAACGAGCGGCAAGCCCGCGCCGAAGCCGTCGCCTCTCTACAAAAGGCCGAGATCGATAAGACTCGTGCTGAGGAGTTGCTCAGGGAAATGCGACGAGAGCTGCAGATTTCCAAGGAAGAAGCCCGCCGAGCTTGGGAGGAACTGGGCCGCCGTGAGCAGGAAGAACGTGACCGCACCAATTCACTCAGAAACGGAGAGCCGACGCTTGTGGGAGGCGTGCAAGTTGTCCCTATGATTCAAGGCCTCTCCAGTCGACAGACCGCCATGGGCCGCACTTCTGCCCGGGAAAGCCCATACTCTACCGGCGAAAATCTCGGGAAACCGGAGGGCCAGTACTACGACGAGGCGCCCGTGTCTCCAGTCGAGACCGACCCATTCACCGAAGGAAAAGATCTTGCTCCTCGCCAACCTGCAACCACAGCAGCAGACTCACAGGAGCCGTACGCCAGCCACTACTACCCGCAGCAAGGATCGAATCTATATGGAGACCGACCAGCTTCTGCGAATGATGATCGCTCGTACGACCCTAGTGTTGCAAGTAGCGAGCAAGGAGACGAAGAATATGGCAGCTATCGTCGCGCTCAAGGCCGTCCGATCGAGTATCCTCCTGCCATGTCCGAAGAGAGCGAGGAGTACGAGCATGAACCTCATGAGGAGAGCTATGCATCGGGGTCCCTCCCAGCATCCTCGGCGCCTCTGTACACACCAACCACCGTCGACTACACCGGTTCCGGTTGGGGTGTCGGAGCGGGCTGGGAATCGATGACTCCTCGTCACCGCCATCCCACGCGCCTCAGCGATGTTCTTGAAGAGGATGAACCACGGACCACACCTAGTCGAGCCAGTCGGGCCAGTCGGGCCAGCCAGGCTAGCCGGAGTGTGCAGTGATATGTCCTCGCAATCCTGAATTCCACGACACAACCTCCTTTTCTACTCAAGCGTACATATTGCGAGCTTCCATCGCAAAATCGTCATGTTCCATTTCCACATCTTGTTACTCGCATTTCGTTCTTTCGTCCGATAAGAGAATACCTGGTTCGTTTGACGCTGCTTACCTCGCATGTTTTTCTGTTTGAATACTTTCCCTTTACCATTGTTCAACTAGAAGGTCTACATCGGACAGTTATGTAATTTTAAAATAACGAGATTGATGACCATAGTTTGAAAAATAATAATCCCAGAGCAGCAGCGAAATTAAATTATCACGTGATTTTGATATTAACAGCCTCAGGCAGCCACACTAAACCACACCTGGCATTATCCGTACACTGAGCGCGCATCAGACAATAACTGTTAACCTCCGAACAGAACTTCTAATCCTCAGGACACTCCACACAGCTCACAAAACACACCATGGCCTCATCGGTACGACCGGTTTCCCGCATTCTAGGCCGCCTAGGCCGGTCTGGCATCTCAAACCTCGAGTCCAGCTCCCGCATCCCACCACAGAGAACACCCGCCCTGCTCTCCAGAAGCGTCCTGACAGCGCCGAAGCCAAATGGAATTGGAATTGGACGTGCCGCCTCACAGCAGCGAGGGTTCTCGACCTCCCCGGCTTGTCTCCGCGCCAAAACGATGGGCCAGCTGCGCGCGCGGAACGCAACTGGTCCGTTCTCGTGGAAGGCGGCGCTGCTGTTTGTGCTGACGGGCGCGGGGATGGTCGTTTATTTCCGGGTTGAGAAGGAGCGGTTGGAGCGGAAGCGGATCGCGGAGATGAGCAAAGGGGTTGGACGGCCGAAGGTTGGGGGTCCGTTTACGCTGATGGATTTGGATGGGAAGGAGTTTACGGCGGAGGATTTGAAGGGGAAATATAGTTTTGTATGTGGTCCTCCTCTTTTTCTTTTGCTTGGGGTGAAGCGGCGGTGCTAATGTGGGCTTGGCAGGTGTACTTTGGTTTCACTCACTGTCCTGATATCTGCCCCGATGAGCTGGATAAGATGGCCGAGATTATTGATCGGGTCAAGGAGGCGACCAAGGGGGAGAATATCTTCCTGCCGGTGTTTATTACGTGTGATCCTGCGCGCGATACGCCCCAGGTTCTGCGGGAGTATCTGAAGGAGTTCCATCCAGATATTACTGGCTTGACAGGCACGTATGAGCAGGTGAAGCATGTGTGCAAGCAGTACCGGGTGTATTTCAGTACACCCAAGGATGTGAAGCCTGGAGAGGATTACCTGGTGGATCATAGTATATACTTTTATCTGATGGGTGAGTTTCTCTTTTCTTTTATGTCAGGTGAACGCTGCTAATGTGATACAGATCCCGATAATGATTTCGTCGAGTGCATTGGACGGCAGGATACGCCCGAGTCGGCATCGAAGCTGATTCTTCAGCACATCAATGACTGGAAGAGAGAGGGGAAGCCCTTGAAGCGGGATTGATCTGTCGTATCTTCGTTGCTGCGCTGCGCTGTACAAAACTAGACTGAGCTTGACCTGTACCTGTACATTAGACCTGACCTCATAAATCCACATCTCTATTTTCCCCCCTCAGTCGAAGATAATAATCTCCCCTCTGCATCCCTCTCCCTATTCTCCCTCCACTCCATCCCCCATCCACGAATTCCTCCCTCTTCCAAATCTCCACCTTCTCTTTCACCTCCTCCAGCACCTCCTCGCCCGCCTTCCACGCCATCCCCCGATGCCCCGCACTAACCGCAACCACAATCGACGCCTCCGAGATCGGAACAACCCCAAGCCGGTGCGCAATATACACCCCCTTTAGATCGAACTTCTCCGCCGCCCTGGTAGCGATCGACATGAGCGATTTGAGCGCGAGAGGCGGATACGAAGTGTAGCTGAGCTGGGAGACGGCGCGGTTTTCAAAGGTGTTGCGTGTTGTGCCGAGGAAGAGGACGTTGGCGCCTGCTGCCGGGGAGGAGGTATGTTCGAGTGCGAGGGTGGGATTCAGCGTCTCGTAAGTGAGTTCGAGATGGATGTTGTGGGTTGGGGAGTTGAGGGTTCGTGGGTAGGTGGTTGGGTCGAGGTGTGGGGCAGTGAGGGGGTAGTTGATGGTTGCTCTTGAGGCGGTTGCGTTGTCATTGTTTGTATGTCGTTGCGTTTGGTGGTTGTCGGTGGTTGATATGGACTGTATGGAGATTGGAATGAAGGTGAAGGTGAAGGTGAAGGGAAGTTGAAGTTTGTCACTCCGGAGATCAAGAAGCTGGATATGCTTATCGCTTATCGGTGCGGGGAAGCATTTGCAAATCGCAATGGCTATCTCGGACTGAGTCGACTGACAACTTTCGAGGCTTTCGAGAATTGAGGCGTGGTCTGCACGTATTGTTTATATCATAGGTCTAATTCTACTCTGGTCTATGGAAAGGTCGTTCGACCATCGCTTGCTGATATCAAGCCGCGTCACAGTCCCGTTACTCCTGCACAAGTACCGCAACCGCTTCATACGGTTGAAGAGACCACTTCTCTCCATCAAATCTCGGTGACGCTTTCTTTACTTCTTCATAAGTGTTGAGAAGCACCTCCTTTACACCCTTGATGCCGTTGGCAGCAGGATTCCACTCCAGCGTCTTGTCCGTAAAGTTGCCCACAACTAACGCCTTCTGGTTCTCATATTGTCGAGTATACGCGAAGACCTCCTGGCTATCGCGGTCCACCGTCTCGAAGTTACCGTACACGAAGACATCCAGATATTTTTTGCGAAGGCCCAAAACAGACGCCCAGTAGTGGTACGTCGAGTTGGGATCGTTGACCTCTGCCTCGGCGTTGATGCGCACATAGTCCGGATTGACTGACATCCAGGGCTTCACATTGGGCCCTGTGAAGCCTCCATTCGGTGCCCGGCTCCATTGAACTGGCGTGCGCGCGTTGTCTCGTGATTTTTTCTGATACTCCTGCTTGGCAATCTGCTGCGCTTTAGTGTCGAATTGCTTGGTTTTTAGCAGTCTGCGTGCGTCAGTCATATCCATGAATAGGTACGGTGAGTACATACTCATGCCAATGGTTGAGGCAGTCAATATCCTTGTACTCCTCGATTCCCCATTCCACTGGCACATTTCTCATGCCTAGTTCCTGACCCTGGTAGATGAACGGTGTGCCAGCCTGGAGCGTTAGAATGGTAGCGAGTAGCTTGGAGGCTACCAGGCGGTGCTCCTCCTTTGCCTGGGTGTATCGATCAATCGACCGCGGCTGATCATGGTTTTCCCAATACAGAGCATTCCACCCATCGTTTTCATACATGAACTTCTCCCATCTCTCAAAGAAGGCCTTTAAATCAGTAAGCTTCCAGCTTCCGGGCATGAACTTGTCGAATTCTCCGTGGTCAATATCCACATGCTCAAAGTTGAAGATCATGTTGATCTCGTTGCGGTCGAACCGGACAGCCTTCAGAACCTCCTCCGTGTCTTTGACGAAAGGCATCTCCCCAACACTGAAAGCGTCATATTCTTTCAGGATCTGGCCCAGACCCTGTAGGTATTCATGTAGGCGGGCCCGTTGGCGTAGTATTTGTCGGCCCATTGCCAGATACTTCGGGGATCTTTGACATCGGCGTCAGGGAAGCTCTGCTCTTTGCTGATAAAGTTGATCACGTCCATCCGGAATCCGTCCGCCCCCTTGTCCAGCCAAAACCGCATAATGTCGTGGACTGCCTCGCGCACGGGTGGGTGCTCCCAGTTGAGATCAGGCTGTTCCTTGGCATACAGATGAAGGTAGTATTCATCCGTGAGCTCATCGTACTGCCAAGCGCTTCCTGCTTCCGTCAGTATTTCATTGAACCCTTTGGCCAATGGAGCATACCTTGAAAATGAGAGATCCAGTTATTTGGCGGATGACGCTTTCCCTGCTCATCGTACCTTGGCGGCTTCCATATGTACCAGTTGCGATACGGGTTATCCTTTGAGCTGCGGGATTTCTTGAACCATTCATGCTGGTCGCTCGTATGGTTGACCACCAAGTCCATCAAAAGCTTCATTCCTCGCTTGTGGCATCCCTCTATTAGCTTCTCCACATCCGCGACCGTACCGTACTCGTCTGCGATGCTATAGTAATCGGAAATATCATAGCCCATATCCACCTGAGGCGATTTGTAGGACGGACACAGCCAGACGATATCTACCCCCAGGTTTTTGATATAGTCGAGCATGGAAATGATGCCGGGAATATCCCCAATGCCGTCATCGTTGGAATCTTTGAAGGAAGCTGGGTAGATCTGATAGACGGAGCACTCCTTCCACCAAGCACGGTGGATCTTGCTGCTGGGTTTGGCCATCTCGCAGCACACAGCGGTCTTGGTTCCGTGGACGTCGAGAACTCCTAGTTCTTTTACAATTACTGTTGTTCTTGTGAGGAGGGATTGCTCAGTCTAATAATGCATTGGCGTTCACCGCGGGGCAAACAGCGATCACTGATGCGGAGAAATTCTCGGTGGGTTTCTGCTGCACCGACCAGTCTTTATGTAGATGGACTCCAACGAGGCACATTATAGGAGGGCTAAATAGGGAAATTATGGGTCGTACATGCTGATCGAATGATGATGCGACACGGAGACCTGGTCCGGTGAGACACTGCAAATCACCTCTAGTTAGCTTTAACCATCGAAGGTTCAAGGAGGGGCTTCCTGGATACTTCATATACTTATAAGAGCCTAATTTTGAAATGCTGTCGAAAGATACTTGAAGTTTTGAGATCATTCCATTCTCGTCTATGTCTGCGATCGTTTCCATGACCGAGACTCGTCCAGTTGTACATGTTTGGGGCGCACAATATCTCACGGGGCGACTATTGTTGTCCTGTTGTTTGGACATTGTAGGAGATCATTGCAGCCCTGTTGTAAAACTAGTGTTGACGTCTTGGATCAATATGAGTATTCATTTGTGCCACGTTATACCGTTCAACGTCCGGGAAGCAGACGCCCTGTGGTGCACGAATCAGCAATGGCGTTGGAAGCATTTCTCTGAAGGAGTAATAAACCAGGCGAGCCAATTGTAGCAAATCTGAAGCTCTTCAGACAGACACGAGAAGCTAAAATAACTGTAAATACAAGATCAGTCCATGGCCAGGCGCATCTCCTCAGGAACAGGCCAGGTAGGGGATACACCCGCCAGTACCACAAGAATAATCCTAAGCAGTAGTTTCGTTTTACTATGGGATGCCTGAACAATGGTCATGCAAGAAATGTCAGTCAGTTGTGAGAAGAGCAACCGGTTCACCTTCGGTCCATGCAGATTGAAAACATTCAACGGAATCCTGACAGTCAGCTAATGTAGTCAAGGTTGAAGCTCTGGGTCTCACATCTTCTGATTCAATATAATGTCACGGTGGTAAACAAACAAGTACAGGAAAAGTAAAAGTAGTTGGTATACCTGTCTCTCAGGCTTATTGACGCCGACTCAGAATCTGTTGTGGGAAAAAGAGTGGAAGCCGAAGCTTGGTGATGCTTCACTGCTCAATGTTTTGTCTGTTCTGTTCCACCTGCTGCGTCAAACGCGAGTATTCCGGCTTCTACACGCTTGCAAAACAGGCCAGAGCATCTCGTCTAAGGTACATCACTTCGTCTGTCGACAGAGTGCTTGCCTCGTCTCTATTATAGATCCTCTTGTGGGATACCACCAGCCCAACTACCACTATTGCCTCAATTCCGCATATGTGTTTCTACTACTGTGAGCGTCTCTCTACCCTCTGCATTATACCCAACGAGTTACTGCTGACGCCATTTGTACTGACACGTTTCTCGCTCAACAGCCGATTCGCCTCTTAACCCATCCTTCGCCGACGTTGACTCCTTCCCGGCTCCCAATCTCGCGTGCAACAGACTTGACTCGTCAAAGAACATTATGCATGGGATGTAAACATACTAGTTTGGCAGGCAGTTGTTTCTCTTCTGATTGCTTTAGAAACCGAAATTGAGTCCGTATGATTCAATATTGGCAGTTTAGAACCATGTTAGATTCTAATGGGTACAATGTTACTCATGTTCATAATTAACCCATGCATACGTTGCTGGATACTGAGATCACAATCGTTGAGAGATGATTCGATTCCAGCTCGTAGTCTGTCTCGTTGGAGGCCTTCTGGCTAATTCCTTTTAGACATTATCCAGTACATTGTCAATTAATTTCAGTATGTATTATCTTCAAGCTCCATGGTGATTGTATCGTAGTAGATCTTTAAGACATGAAGCGGAATATATATATATTAGGCTAACCGAAATTGACTTGGACTATGCCTGCAGGATTGTCCCTGCCCTCGATCTAGAACCCGGACGTTTTGTGTCAAATATATTGCTACCCTGTCCCTTTCACATGCCTCTATCTATATTTTGGTGCGTTGTATGCACCTAAGATACCAGGATCAGCATAGCCTATCAGGTGTCGTCTCACTGATATGGCCACTGACCTGGCAGCGAAGGTCAGATCGCTACAAGAACCCCTCTAGTCCTATTGCAAGAGTATTTCATCCTATAATTTGCTCTATTGACGAAAATTCTATTCCTACAGAAAACATAGCCTTACTATGTATCTTTCTACATCTCTTGCCGGTTGGGCCTACTCCCTACTTTTAGCGTCCCCGAGTCACGCTGATGCAACAACAAATTCCCAAAGGTACAATCAGCAAGCAACTTCTCGCATATGACGTAAATGCACGAAACTAACATAAATGCAGCCAAAACGACAGTTCTGGAGAATGTACTCGCCCCCTCCCAACAGTTGCAACTTCTACTCGCAATGTCTCGAGCCTCGATACCACTGTGGACAATCAGGCTATCCGATTGGGTTCGGCCAAAAATTCTGTGACAAGTCTCTCGTCTGGAGACCCAAGATGAGCGCGTCCGGTCAGGAGTGGATCACGAAGACGATGCTCTGCCTGCAGGAGGAACTAGTTCCCTTCGTCAACGGTCCAGAATCGCAGACCTGCAGTGAACTGAAGCAATATGCCCTCGGCACGCATGCCGAATGCTACGTGAAGAGTGGTGTCTGCACTCTGCCGTTTGAGGATTGGGGGAAGATCCTAGAAATTGTCGGTCCGGCTTTGATTTCTGAACCGGAGAATTTCAAGTCCGCATTTGAGACTGCCGGGGACTGCGTGAAGCTGTATATCTGGTTACTGGGCAAGATTCTCCACGGCTCTACGTCTTCTCTAGATTGGAATGAATTTCTACGGCCTCCTGTTGGTGCGCAGATTGGAGATTGGGAAGGATGGGTCGGTTCCCTGCAACCAGTAGACCTGACTTATATTTGATGTGTACAATAATGAGTAGATTTCCGACGAATCTGGGGCATAGCAGCAGCACATAATATGCCGATGGGCTTTTGACAATGAATGTCATACTTGTTTGATGTGCCTTGTCCTTCCTATCTGCAGTCCGACATGTAATCTGAATACTGGAAGGTTCCTACTAGAGGATCTTGTGTCAAGAAAGATTGCGCCTTAAACTCTGCGATTGCTCACGTAGCATGAGAGGTAAACTGGATGTATTCATCTCCAATGTTGGCCTTGAGATGGCCTCCAACTCCATGCCTCGATGAAAGACCGACGTTGTCCAGCCTTCTCCGGCGTACACTCAACACCGCAAACCCTTCCATGTCAATTATCACGCTGTCCACCACTCGATTCGGTGCAATGGTCTTTCTCCCCATAAACAGAAATCGCCCCAAGCTCCTGAGATTCAACCGCTGTCCGGTCCACGCAAGCCCGCTAACGTCCCCCGTATAAGTAAAGCCGTAGCGCGTGGGGAAAAAATCTATATATATATATAAGCCATGTTCTTCACTTCCGGAGCACACTGAAATCCAATGCTTGTACGATTAAGTAGCTCGAGAACATGTTAGAGAGCTCAGCTTATGCAGATTAATATCCCATCACCAACCTCTAATTTCAAGTCAACGTGGCACTTGGAAGACCTAGTCACTTACGCGATGTACCCTTCCTGCTTCATGTACATTGTAACGCGATAGGGGGTGATTGTAGCAAAAAGGCTATTACTGTCAGGTAGTCAGGAGGTCGAGGAAGAATTCTTGATGTCTATTGCTCTTCGAGGTGGTCTGCTCTGCTTTGACCAGGTTTGATAGATCACGGGTCTGGCCAAAAGTCAGCTCTGGAACCGAAGTATCAGCCGATGCGAAAGCATTTAGAACGGAAGTAGATCCATATCTGAAGTTACTTTTGTACTCTCATGAAGGTGACCATATCTGCATGGAGTGTATTGTTGTGCGCGTGTCTTCAAGATTCCTACCTTATTCGGTTGCCCTCTATTAAGTTAGTATTCATGATCAGGGCCCGAATAACGTGAAGGACGTTTGCAGCCATGGCTTACCTCCATAGTCATGTAAATATCCGAGATTAGATCAGTAAACCGACGACGAACAGCACTATAGAGCGAAGAAATAGCATCGCAAAAGATGAAGCAGACTGATTCTCGAGCATACCATGAGGTCCATGAAAGCCACGGATAATGCATGAGCGGTGATAATAGAGGTATAGTCTTTGGGATTTGAAGCCTCTATTTCCTGAATTCTCTTGCGGAATGCTTTAATCTCAGTCTGTAGCCTCCATATCAGCATTTTGAAGATGATAGCGTAGCATAATAGCATTATGTTCTTTGCTTGACTTGAAAAGTCTTTCAAGTCTAGGCAAGGCCTTTATATATGGTTACTCCCTATATATAATACTCAAATACAGATCAATCAAGACAACCCCTGCAGCATATGCACAGCTCGTAATGAAGCATAACGTACCTACGCTTTGATCTTTTCCACCTTCATGTCCTGTGCTGTCTCTCCCATCGACTATCTCCTGCTAATGACAACAGCATCATTCACTATCGAGATTCACTTCTACGTGGATATAACCTTTCCGAACCGCCTGATGTCCAGAAACTGTTTCTTGAGATGGGTCAGCCGGGTGGTCTGAGTCAAATCAACGGAGTATTCCGTGAGTTTATTCACGGTACGCCCCATATAGAAGGCTCTCGCACTGAGAAGAACAGGGAAGAGCCGTCATTGTCTCTTCAGGAAGCATATCATTCACGTACAACGCTCCTCTAGGGATAGCGCCCACCTTCATCGACCTCTCCAGAAGTGACGATGACAGAAATCTCTGCATTGGATATTCACGACTCCAAAAGATCAAGCGAGATAGCTGTTATAGCGCACTCTTTAGCGACAAGATCTCAGGTATAAATTCTCCCTTCTTCTCCTGCTTCTGCTCCTCTTTCTCTCTTTCCCTCCTCACCCCTCTTCGCATCGATCTTCTTCTCTTCCTTGTTAGAATCTTCTGACTCTCATCCGTCAACAACATCTTCGTTCATACATCCCTTCTTGTGACGACTTGTCAAGCTTCAGTCACAATGAAGTTCTCCACTCTCGCACTCGGCGTGCTTGCTGGTATGGCAGCTTCTGCTGCTATACCTGCCTCCGTCGTCGATGGCATGAACCTCTCTGACCATGGTCTTGGTACGTTCTTACCTCTTGTGTTTTGTCTTAGCCCACTTGAGTCTCTTTCCTCTTCTTCCCAACCTTCCAAACAATCGTCTCATCCTACTAACCCCTTTTCTCCTTCAATATCAATAGGCCTTGTCAGCGCTGGTGATCCTGTTTGCCACAAAAATTCTGACTGCGGTCCTGGCGTTGGTTACTGTTACAAGGGCATCTGTGTTGCCGACCCTCCAAAGAAGCGCAACGATCCCGTCTGCCACAAGAACTCTGACTGCGGTCCTGGTGTGGGCTACTGCTACAAAGGAATCTGCGTTGCCGACCCTCCCAAGCTCACTCGGGATGATGCTTCTATCGTTACTTGCCATTCTAACAAAGATTGCTTCAACGGTCTTTGCATTGCTGGTATTTGCCATTGGGGCATTGGAGAGAGTTCCGCCTCAAACACTGCGAACAAGAATTCTGCCTCCCTTGTTCAGACTTCTGAATCTGCGGATCCCGTTTGCCACAAGGACTCTGACTGCGGTCCTGGCGTTGGTTACTGCTATCATGGCATTTGTCTTGCGGAACCTCCCAAGCTTACCTCTCGTGACGACCCCAACTGCCACAAGAACTCCGACTGCGGTCCAGGTGTTGGTTACTGCTACCATGGTATCTGTGTCGCTGACCCTCCCAAGGATGCTCGTGAAGCGTCGGCCGACCCTGTCTGCCACAAGAATTCCGATTGTGGTCCAGGCGTTGGCTACTGTTACCATGGCATCTGTGTCGCTGACCCTCCCATGCTTGCCCGTGATGAACAGACTGATCCCGTCTGCCACAAGAACTCCGACTGTGGTCCCGGTGTGGGTTACTGCTATCATGGCATCTGTGTCGCTGATCCTCCCGTTGTTCCTCGCGGCGAAGAAGCCGATCCTGTGTGCCACAAGAACTCCGATTGCGGTCCAGGTGTTGGCTACTGCTACCGTGGCATTTGCCTTGCTGAGCCTCCCAAGTGAGGAGTTCTGTCAGCTCGCTGAAAACAAGTGGTTGTTGCTGGTGAGCTTTCTTCTCTTGGCTGACATGACGACTTCTTGCTAACATGGTTGTGCAGATGCAATGAACTTACCTTGTCACTTTTGTGCTTTCGACACCTACACAGTGCTTCTCTCCCTGTTTTTCACTCATGGTTAACGTCGCTCGGTGGATGACTGGATCGTCTTTGGTGGCTTGATGTTCTATGGGTGGTTGAATTTGGGGATGAAGATTGACCATTTACTGGCTCTACACTTTGTCACAGTCTACTTCGGCCTTCTGAAAGTAGATTAACGAATTTTATGACCTTATCTTTTACCTTTTGTTTTCGTTGTGCTCTGGGTAGATCGTAGTATGACCCTATACTTGCTCGAGTTTGGCTTTGTCGGGGCGCTTCAACAGAAACAGGAGACCAACAACAGCACGCGTTGCTTGTTTTGGCCCTTGTTTTTATCCCACACCATTCACGCTATCCCTATGTCAGGACTTATAGAAAGTTTAGCTCTTTTCCACTGACTCGTTCTCTAGTTCTTTCGCAGACAAGAGACTGCAAAGTTTGCCTCAAAAGTGATCGATTTCAAAATATCAGCCGATGATTGCATCGACCAACTCATCATGCTCGAGCGAGCATAGGCCTTTGAAATGCAAAGTCAATGTATCGTATCGGCCCTCGAAGAGCTACAGACCTCTTGCCTTATGCAAATTATGACCGCTATCTCACTAAGTGTCCTACCAATCTCCTAGTCTTCGCTTCATGAGCTTCAGAATTAATTCGTAATCGTGTTCCTCTAGATCCTCCCTTTGAACTTGCACCATCGCTGCTATATGCTTGCACCCTCGTGTTTACATCACACAGTCTCTTGGAACGCTAGCCTATGTGGCCACCGGAGATATAGGACTGTGCTTACGTTGCAATCGCCAATTTACGGATCAGATAGCTTATGGGGCCGCTACGGATGAGACATATACTTAGACGTGGTTGCCCTTTTGCTCTCGCAGTCCATAGAGTCGAGTGGATGATGCTACCACCGAGTTGGGGATATTGACATGGGTGTCGAACGAGAAAATAGAAGCAAGCGAGTGGATATAGCGTACACTTCATCATGTTCGTCATATCACGCATCTCCTCGAGTGACCCGTGCTTATGGAGTTTTGCGATGGCAGGTCCCTGGCACAGAATGAGTACGGTAGCGATATCGGTGTCGGAGAAGGCGATGCGAGGCGTATTGAGCCTTCCTCTACTCGACGCCGAGACATTGAACGTAGATAAGGGGACTACTGTGATGTCTGTACCCTTTCGCATCTAATTGTCGTCCCACCGTCTTTCTCTTGAATGTGAACAAAGCTGATGTGGGTATACGTGCTCTAGGGGCGCGCCAGTCTGGTCGTCTCCATCGACAAATACCTAGCAATCTTACGAAGATTATCCCCGCCATATTTCTCAGCATTCGTCTCCTGTTAGAGGGTGAGATACCTCGGTGCGGGCATTTCGTTAACGAACAAGATACGATAGTACGACCTGGGGATCGTTCTCATCTTGAAATGGCAGCAAGAAAATGTCCGGCTCCATTGGTACCGAGGTTTGCATACATGGTCATAGAGAGTTTGGTAAACAGTCTGAGTTGAAGAATCCTCTAGGGTTGATGTATTCTAATGGGAGTAACAATTAGAATGCTTCTCGAGCGTCAATTGAGCAATGATGTACGTACCTTACGGGACACACTGTGATGATGCAACAGAAATGCGACATGAGGGGCCTCAGACCAAGACAGGAGCTGGCATCTGAGTGAGGGACAGCAACAACCTTCGCTCGGCGATCAAGTATCTTAAGGGAGAAACTAAGCCAAAAGGCATTGAGCTGTTCGCCGAACAACCAGAGTGATATCAACGTCCATGATCAATTAGCTTATTGAGGTAATAATACTATATTAGAAAATAAATTACTACTGTATGTACACATCTCCGAATCTGTAAGCGCTCTAGAAGCCAATGGAGCACAGCGGGCCGTAATCCAACCCATCCAGGTTCTTCTGGTAGTATGTCATGCTACCCACACACTTGGGGCAGTAGAACACTCCTTCAGGATCATACTTCTTCTTAATCAGAGCGAGGCGGATGTAGTTGGTGCCGAAAAAGTCCGTGGCCCAGAGAGGGTCATTGCGGTCAGCCTGTCATAGTCAGTATGGATTCTATAGCGCAAGAAGCAGCTAACGCACCTCGTTCATGTAGCTGCCCAGGAACGGCGTGAGTAGTCTCATGGCACCGCCCTTGACGTATGTGACGTCGTCCTTGACGGCCTGAGCGGTGGCCGCATCCGCACCTTCGGGCCATCCTCGCGCGACCACGTTGACAACGTAGGTTGAGCGCCAGGCGGGGTTCACGCCAGAGTAGGGATCAGAGCCGTCGGTGAGCACTTTTCCACCGCCGACCATCTCCAGACTGTTGATGGTGTACTCCTCGGGCTTGCCGGCGATGGCGCCGATCATGGAGCGGAGGATGGTAGGATTCACAGTTAGAGCACCCTTGTCGAACATGCGAGAGGTCATGGCGGAGTTGGCGGAGCCGACGGGCTGGTGCATGCCCGACATGGCGGTGTAATAGGCAGGATAGCTGGGGAACTGGTAGTAATTGACGGTGATGAAGAGGGAGGTGCCGTTGTATTTCTGCAGCTTGGACAGCAGGGGCGCGAAAGCGGCCTGGGAGGCGCTTAGCGACTTGCCCATGGTTGCAATGGCATGAACGTAACCAATGGTCTGGTTGCCAAAGAGGGCCATGGGTCCGTTGATAGACCAGGTGCCGTAGCCGGAGTAGCCGGCGTCAGACAAAGCAGGATATTGACCATAGATATCGGTGATAGCATCCAGGAGTGGGCCAGTATTGCTGGTCAGCGGAGTGATGGTGAGAGACTGTGCGACGACAGGCAGGGTAGGATACGCCTTCAAGGTCATGGAGATGACCACGCCATAGGTGCCTCCGCCGCCGCCACGGATAGCAAAGTACAGATCAGAATTCTGGCAAGCGTTTGCGGTGACAATGCTGCCATCGGCCAGAACAACTTGCGCTTCGAGGATCTGGTCGGCACCGAGACCGTAATCGCGACTGGCGGGTGAATGACCGCCACCTTGGGCGTAACCACCGATGACACCGACGGTCTATAGGGTCAGCCTATGCACTGCTCAAATGAAAGCCGGAACGACATACGGGATCGCCGCCACCAACGATGGTCAAGTTGCGCTTGAAGACTTCGGCATACACGTCTTGCCAAACGTAACCTCCAGCAACGGTAAAGGCAGCACCGGTCCATTTGCTCTTGCCACATCCATCCGATGCTTTGTAGCTTTCCTGGTACGTGATACCCTTCTGAATGTACTTGATCCATATTTGGAGAGCTCCATATCCCTCCGATCTTGTTTGGTCAGTTCTTTCCTTTGTGCCGCCGCGGGAACAGACACATACTTTCCCAGGATGTCATGTCCTGTGTTCCTTACTACCAAACGCACGTTATTCTTCTTGGCAAAGGCAATGCCCGTTGCCAGCTCCTCTGGTTCTGTCGCATTAATTGTGTACACTGGGGCTTGGCCCAGGGTGCATTTTCCGGGGTTTCGCCGGAGCTCAGATCGACAGGAGGACACGAGTCATCGGTCGGGTAAACGTAACCGACGGGAGAAAGAGACTGAAAGGTAGAATTATACCATTGAGAGTTGACGAAGGCACACTGTTCCGCATCCTGGTAAGGACCGGGGTAGCAGGAGATAGCGGGCGGCGTATCGAGAATGAGTTTGCCGGAGACGGAAGAGTTCAAGGCATTCCAGGTATCGATGGAAGGCCAGCAGGAATCGCCTGGTGCCTTTGAGAAGTCAGCTTTTGCTTCGGTACTCTATTGAGCAGGATACTTGCGCATTTGCACGAGGGCCCGAAGGTAGCATAACTGAGCCCGGACAGGGCCAATAATGAAAGGAGCGTGGAGCCCATTGGAACTAGAGCTGGGCTGGATTAAAAGTACGAACGAAAAAGAAAAAAAAAGAGAAGCAACGGTATGGAACGAATGACAGATGTTAAAAGCAAGTAATATCAACGCTGCGAGAGGGATGTTGAGTGCCGTTTTTAAGTATCAAAACCAGATTGGTGCATTTGCATAACATGCATGCAAGGATGCATTTATGCAGGTACCAGCCATGATCCTCGAGTCTAGACAACCGTTATTGATTGGCGAGGTCGTTGACTCCATCCTGGCGTCGAACTACCGGAATTAGTACACGGGTTGGTGACATCGGTTAGGTGCTTAGCTTCGTTACTGTGAACGTGCCTGGGAAACGGAGTACCTAGACTCGGCGATGGCACTGGGCGGTGCTGGATGACTTTTGGACGGTTGTTTATCAAGTAATCATCCTATTTTTGGGCGATTGAAACCATTACTCGGTGATCTAGGTTCGAGTTGGCCGATGCTACAAGAACGAGAGAGTCAGCCATCCTGACTTGCCTAAAGTCGCAAAAGGATCGTACGTACCTATGATGGATTGGATACCTGGCAAGTACTCCGAGTATGTTCAATCGTCCGAGTCTCCAGGATCGGGATTCGAGGCAATGGGGCAGTGGGCCCTGATCAAAGTGGATGCGATTTAACCGAGGAAGAGTGGGAGACACTAGCATCAAACTAGAGGGAGCTAAACAATGGCTTCATTTCGAAGCAACCTCTGAATGGTCTGTTGAAGTCTTTGGACGGAGATGACCCTGAGACACCGACATGAGGCGTGTCAATGCCGTCGGTCCCTCGGAGCACTGCGCGGTTCTTGTGGTTTAGCGTCTCCGGTGCATTTCCCTGCTGGGAATGGGTTCATTTCCTTTGCTTCGCTTAGATTTAGTCCACTTTAGCTCTCAGTGATCTGGTCGATTATAGTTCTCTGACCGTTAATGACAAGATTCTATCAGTCTTCTATTTTGTGATGATCTGTTGATCGTTCTGATTATCGAGATCATGGTATGTGTTGTCTATAAACTGAACAAGAATCGCGATATAAATGCCGTCAAGTGCCAACGGTGGTCAACTGCAACACCGTTGAATTGGTTGCAGCAAAGAGGGCTTGCTTAGCCTCGCATAATCCTTGCTAGACCAATGCATCCATGTCTGTCACCTTCTATTATTGACGGAAATTCAGCCATGAAGGCTCATGTACTAGGGTGTTGAAACCACTCCTTGTCCAGTCTTATTTAGTGCGCTCTTCAGTCCGTACGCATTCTGATAGTTATCCAGTATCCGGCCCAGAGCAAGGATTTCGCCCCCATTTCACAAACCATTTTGGAGTTCGAGGTAATTCACATGCCATGCAGAGTAGTCTACGCAGCGAGATTTCAGGTCATGAAGTCTGGAACGAACGGGGCTTTCGTCTTGTTTCGACTTCTGTTGGACCCATTCTGCCGTCAGTATGCACCTTGCAAAGTCAAATCTTTACTCTTCTGACAGGACTCTCTTCCTTGTAGCCATGCAGAATGACAGAAGCAGTGCCGGCTTCTCCGGCTATAATATATTGTCAATCTATTCCCTCCCTGTGGAGTGCCTCTAGTTCTTAGACGTATCTTCCCCCTTCGGACTCCTCATGGCCAATATAGCCCCTCAGGGCATCGCAACTCATCTCTCCGTCAATGGACTCATTGGAGTAACCTGGACTGGGGCCGGGTTAGGCATCATCTTCGCGTCCATTCGCTTCGGTATCCGCATCAAACGCATGAAGCGTCTCCTGGTCGACGATTACTTTGTCCTCCTGGCCCTCGTCTTCCTGGTCGCCAATGCGATCCTCCAGACCTTGCAAGCCCCACATCTCTATTACATGCTGTTGAACGTCACGGGGCCTGACATCGTCTATCATGCTCTCAAGTACACGCATTATGAGTTCGTCATCATTGGCATTTTCTGGTCGGTGCTCTGGAGCATCAAGGGTTCATTCCTGGCCCTGTTTTGGCTCATTTCGGATGGCTTGCCGCATTATCGTCGTGTATGGTGGGGAGTTACGACATTCGCAGTATTGGCCTATATTGGATGCTGGCTGGCGTCGATCTTGAACTGTCATCCTCCGTCGGATTATTTTAGATTCGGTATTGTGGTCGTTGGGCTTTGGTCTACGTTAGCTGACCGTTCTCAGGAAAATGCACCAAACCGATTGACATCAGGGGATCCGTCATTTCCATCTGCTACAGTACTGCTGTCGACATTCTTACCGACTTGATGAGTACGACCCCTCAGGGGGGTGTTGTGAGAAGAGCTAACGAGATGTACAGTTATGTACCTCCCCCTCCGCATCCTGTGGAAGACCAAGATGAACCTCCACCAGAAACTGGGCCTAGCAACCGTCTTCTGTCTCGGATTTATCATTATCGCCGCAGCCATCATCCGTGCTGTAGCAATCACCGGCAAAGCGTACTCGGATCAAGCTGCTCTGGCCATCTGGGGCATCGCCGAGTCCTCAATCTGTGTGTACTATATCCAGCGTCTCCCCATGCAGCCAACGCTAACCTGCAAAGCTATGATTGTCGGCTGCCTACCTCCCTTCAAGTCCTTTATCACGAGCCGTTCCAGCAGCGCCAACTACAACTACAATTACAACTATAACTCGTCCGAGCGCGCAGCAAACCACTACAACCGTAGCGCCTCCTCTGCCCGTATTAAAAAACGCTCCATCACCACTGCCAGCTGGAGTGGGCTACCTATTCCACTGCAGGAGAGGAACCTGAATGCATACCAGAATCTAGAGTATGAAAGGCAAGGGAAACATGACGTACATATTGCAGGGGGCGTGGATGTGCGTGCTGTCCCTCCACCAGAGATCTCCCGATTGAGCCTCTCAGAGGATGACTCTGGGCATGGTGAAATCAGGATGGTGAAAGAATTTGTAAGCTATTCCTTTCTTCCCCTTGAAAGATGCGACTGTAAAGCTGATAATCCACATAGAGTGTTGTAACTTCGAAATAAACCTGTTTCAGACATAGTTACGTGGATATAACTAGTCTATACCCATAGAATAGAATGTACTGCAACCAGAAATTCTCTATTGCCCCCTCTTCCAGCTACTTACCACTTCATCTTCTTCCTACATTATTCCTGAGAAATGACCAGAAACTGACCAGGAACTGACATTCTTTCTCTTCTTCCGCTCGCATACTCTGATACTAAGACTGATGTCTCAGTCTTGTTTGACGTACGATTATACTACCCATTACAATCCACATGGCTTCTAGCTTTAGGAACCAGAAAGCAGTACTTGATAGTATAAGCCGCATGTCCTTCTAAGCCAGCCAGGTGTATGGTTGGAGATGTGCTTGACGGAAGTGTTGCCAATCTTAGGGCTAGCGAATAAACTACTCCTGCATCCGTGTAGAACTGAGGTTTGGCGAGCCATAGCGTTGAAAATGGACTGAATGACGTAGCCTCTTTTATTAGCTGAAAGCAGCTGGGAAACGCCATAGAATCTCAATCCGAAAAGCTGCCATCAATAGACCGTCCTTGTAATGCAAAGAGATGCATATCAAATGCTCATAACTTTACTGCATTAGAGTATTGTACCATGGAGTCATGCTGCATTTCTCCCTGAGCTGGGATAGAGAATGCGTATGCAGTATCATCTTTTAGCAGGGCCTCGTATTCGTATCGTATCAGATCTTGCAGGGGATACGGAATTGGTAATGTTGAATTTGAGTGCACTTCGCTCACTCGACTACAAGGATTACAGGCTTAATTGGATGAAATGCACTAGTTCAAAGACCTAGTCACTGGCTCTCATTTAGGCTATTCAGCTGTATTCTAATGGAGCATCATTGACGCAACTAGTCCGACGCAGTCAGGCAAGGACAATTGCTCTTTACAGCTGACCGCAGTCGGCGATGGTAACCTTCTTCTTGGGAGTACCGGACGAGCTGCCCAACTTTTCAATCGTCTTGACAAGGTCCATGCCCTCCTCGACCTCACCGAAGACGACGTGAGCGCCGTTAAGCCAGTCGGTAACGACGGTGGTGATGAAGAACTGGGAGCCGTTGCTGTTGTGCTACATGTTAGTATTTGCTGACTCGAGCAAGAGATGGCGGGGTTAATGACGTACGTGTTCCTGCCGGCGTTGGCCATAGAGAGCAGACCGGGCTTGTCGTGCTTCAGCTGGAAGTTCTCATCCGCGAACTTCTCACCGTAGATGGACTTGCCACCAGTGCCCTACAGGAGAGATCAGTATACTGCGTATGGGAGTCTCTTTCCACAGACAGTAGGCTTGATGGGTGAACTCACGTTGCCCTTGGTGAAGTCACCACCCTGGAGCATGAACTGGGGGATGATACGGTGGAAGCTAGAACCCTTGTAGCCGAATCCCTTCTCACCAGTGCAGAGAGCACGGAAGTTCTCAGCGGTCTTGGGGACGACGTCGTCGAACAGCTTGAACTTGATGCGGCCAGCCGGCTCTAGAGAATAATCATCATCAGAACAGACTCTTGGACGATACAATAGGACCATGGGGAAACTTACGACCGTCAATGGTGATATCGAAGAAAGTCTTGACAACCATGGTTGCTTATTTTATCGATTGAGTAAGAACGAAAGAATGTTGGTATGTGATGATGAGGAGAGAGAGGGGAAGAGGAAAATTGTGAAGGAGGGGCGGTTTTGAATCTCGACCGTATGGAGCTGGCTAGCTAGCTAGCATCGACGGAGCTGTGCTCAAGCCACAATTACCCCTCCCTGGTCTCTCTCCCCGCCGCCAATCGTGCCACGTCATAGGCCTTCCCATTCAACGCACGCCATTATCTGTGCCATGCATCTGTTTATCTGCATAGGCCATGAAACATCAGTCAGAAATAGTCTAAGAAAGCAGACTTCTTCTAAATTTTGAATCAATCCGTCTGCTGAATCGCCCTTTACCTCGACAGAAGGCTGACGCGCCCAGTTGGCGGGAATCGGAGCTCTCATTCACGTGATCTCGCCTAATATACCACAGATGGAAACAGCTGTAGAGCTTTGGTAAGCTGACAGAAGCTTTGCTCTCTCCAGTCTCCATGCGCCTCCCCTTCGGCTATGAAGACTATCTAGCGTTTGCTCACAACCACCGGCCGTTTAGGTGGCTCATTGTCGAGCACAATGTCTGGATGAGAACGACTACCTTATCGTTGCTTGGCAGAAGAAATACTTACCTCGGACCTGGATGTATAGCTCTAGGATGTGTGTATGGCAGAATTAGGTCCTACGTAAATCGGACTTAGTCTCCGATTGTGACCATCAAAAACTTTCATGTACGACAGCTCAGGTACAAAAAAAGCAACATGTTGGCCCGCATGACCATGTGTCAGGTACCCGGGTACTCGGTCGGACAATTATCTACGGAGTACACAAGCTCAAGTCATCAAGCCACTGTCAAAATTAAGTTAACGTCAGGGATCATGATCTACCAAAACACATGAGCCATTGCAACTTCTATAAATAAGAATTTACATTGAATGTCCATTATATATCTCTCCAATATCCAAATTGCCCATCGCGGACAATTTTGATCCAGTCTACCCAAGAAATGCCTACCTGCTTTGTCATTCGTTTCTTCATCCATACCTTTGAACTATGTCTCTCATATCACCCAGTACCCTGTTCTGAATTAGTTTCTACCAGTAACAAAGAGGACGGGGCATGGCGCATACTGCTCTCTCAGTGTTTGGTTATCTTTGAACAACGCAGATACATGTGTATTAAATCTTCTGCTTCGAGTCAGCAGACTCGGAATGTTGATATGGCCTGTAATTACTCACAATTTATATAGGTCAAGACGACCATCATAATCCTCTTCCGGTGCCGAGATTTGAACATATGAGTGATACGCGGCCAGATACTCGGGCCCGAAGCGATTGCAGACAGGTCGCCATTGACCGAATTCGTCTGTGGACCGTATTCCTTGTCAGACATAGTACAAGTGCGGTGACTGATGGATGCCATTCACGTACATTCGTTGTGGGCATAAAAGCAACATGCGTCGAAAATCAAGGGCTCGTTGGTTTCCAGATCGATACCAGAGTTTGCATACCACAGATCACCATGGACAAGTGAAGGCTTCACAAATCTGCCTTCGGATTCAAGAGGCCGCAACAGACGAGGAATGACCTTGTCGAATAATGCCGAAACAAGTTCATCAAATACAGCATCATATCCCTTAGCCGCAATTTCGCAATCAAGCGCCCATCTCATATTCTTCGTAAAGAATACCTCCCAGCTCTCCTCCCACTCGTTGGTCTGGGGAAGATTGCCACTGTATGTCGTAACATGAAAACCAAATTTGCCGGTTGGGGAGACGCTGCCCTGATGCAGCGCTGCCAGCCGTGCGGCGAACTTATGCGGATCAGGCATTTCGTTTGTCATCTCGCGGAACTGGCAAAGGAAGAAGTGCGTATCCGGCGTGTTTATGAACGAGCCCCATGCAATTGGCTTTGGAGCAAATTCTGGGGAGACTGCGTATATGGCCTTCATGGACTCATACTCACCATGAACCATGTTCTTGCCAGTTTCGCCAGATAACACCTTGATGAAGAACGATAAAGGTGTTCCGTCGGCTAACTCGACGTCGAGACGGTTTGTGTCGGCCCAGAAACTGATGCCATGGCTTTCGACTGATATTACTCGACAGCCCTTTGGTAATTCTGCGAAAAAAAATTAGTGGTCATTCGGAGTTGCTGAACGTCGAGACACTCAACCGGCAAGGACGCTAGGATCAACAATGTCTTCGGAGTCATCCATTATGTGGTCACAGTTTATTCAATAGATTGTACATATATACATAAATACGAGTACATTACCTTAAAGCCAAAAGCCAGACGGCCGAAATAAACGAGATATATGTACATTTTGCTCAAGTGTGGGGTGGGATTCAAGAATGGAGAGGGGCGCTAAGTATCAAATCGCCGGGATCTAAACAAGCGCCAGCGAGGAATCCTACTACTCAACGATTGGATAGTAGAGCGCCTCTTGAGGCGCTTTGCTACATTGATCGGAGGGGAAAAGGCCTGCTGGATAGCATCTGTTTGACCTGATACGTATCTTGTCTCACGTCCTTGCCGACAACACTCTCCGGCGCTAAATTGCGAGGGACTTGCACCCTCCAGGCAGCCCTGCTATTCGGGTTATGATTGAAGTAATATCAGAGAGCCATGGCCCTTATCTGAACAGCGATGTAGTCTATAAAAGTCAATTCTCCACATTAGACAAGAGGATGAGATAGCATTACGTACATATCTTCAAAATAACGGTTCATTTATTATGTCCGGCCATAGATACCTCCAGAATCCGCTGCTCCATACCCTCAACATGCTCGACAATAACACCACCGTCCTCAAGTTTTTTCCTGCCCAGATTCTGACCGATAAACGTCTCCGGTTCCTTGATCCCGACGTAGACCACTTTAACGGAACCCTTGAGACTCAATATCCTGTCCACGCACGTCCTGTTCCCGCTTAGCCGCTCGTAGCACGGCTCCATCGTCGTGTATAGCACCGTATTTTTGGGCAACACCTCGCCCAATCGGTCTTCTGGGATATTATGTTTTTCTGCGACTTTGACGAAACAGCATTGTTCTGCGTGCGTATTGCCTGGATCTCCGGGTCGATCCCCAGGCAATTCCATCGAGTATCCCGTTGATAAGATCTCGTTCTTATCTGCGTCGACAAGAACTGCTCCAACGCAGAACTTTGTTGGCGCTGGCGGGGACAATCGAGCTTTCTCTAAAGCATATTCCATATAAGCTTTATGATCGCCTGCCGCAATTGTTGGGTGGGAAGCCTCGGTTGTCATTATGTCTTATGCTGGATTATGAAGCAGCAGCAATTGCGGGTTGACTGGGTTGAAATGAGATCTGAATTATGTCGTTCAATGTCTAGGCAAGCTGAAGATTTCAGATTGAGCAGATGTGAGAATATACGAATACAAAAGATCTTGCCACTGGAAACGAGCACAAGCTAAAGAGTACATGCATGGATAGGTAGCCACCTGACCGAGGAAGTCTCACGTTTTATGCCATAGGCTGTATAGATGGCCTTGCCAAAATAGGGCTAGATAACACCAACATGCTTCTAAATTCTAATTAAATCCACAGTTTTCTCCACCAAATTGAGCAGCTACGTCCAACACCTCCATCAAAGGTGTCACTGTGTCAGGGAATAATGCCCAATGAAGCTTCCAAGAGGAGTCCATAACCTATTGGCAGTCTCGATTCTGACTGGAAATTGAATAGTTTTGACCCAGGCTTGACATTATGACTCCAATCACCTACATTTTACCAAGCTACCCCTCTTCTCGTGGGCGCCAAACAATGGCTATCTATTCGCCCAGTCCATCTGCAGACAGGACCGTGTTCGCCCCCGCATAAAACAGTGACAATCAGCGACCTTACGCTGTTGGAATCACGTTCTCGACTAATGATACTAGTTAATCCTTCTTATCACCCCAATGCCTGTGGGTAACTAACCAGGGCTGTGGAGCTACTGGATCTAGTACTGTTTCTCCGCAGAATGGTTCACGTAACACGACGAGCCAGCGAGCTCCCATGAATGGCGTAGAGGACTTCATTTCGATTTCCTCCGATGTCTGAAACTGGGACAGGGCACAATTCTGGGCCAAAGTAGTTAAGAGACAATGCCGCAACAGGATGGTAAGCTTTTCCGACCCACAAGTCCAAGTTTTACGACCTTCAGTACCTCTGCTGACCCAGATTGGTGGATTCGTTCAAGAGTTCGCATCGGAAAGGGAGTGAGGTTTTTGCAACGAGCATCTTAAGTTACAGCACTGTCGCAACGACCGAAACCGATGTCGAAAGCAAATTTGCCACAGAAGTCAGCACTGAAGAGCTCCGAGGACCCCTAGGATTGAATCTTCTGTTTTGTCCAGAACAACCTCTCATCGATTTGATATTCGTTCATGGTCTCGGAGGTGGTTCCAGAAAAACATGGAGTAAGACAGCTACTGCTTCGCATTACTGGCCAAAGGAATGGCTTCCTAGGGATCCCGCGTTTAAGAATGCTCGGGTGCACAGTTTCGGATATGACTCGGACTGGATCAAGGGTAAGGATAATTGCCTGGACATCTATCACTTCGCCCGATCTTTGTTGGGCGAATTGAGTACCTCACCCCATCTGCACAATGCAGATACACCAATCATTTTCTTCAGCCACAGCATGGGCGGTCTGGTCATCAAAAAGGCGTTTTTGTTGGCAAAGCAAGATGCGACAGATCGCTATCTGGTCAAAAGAATTCGTGCCATGTACTTCCTCGCGACACCTCACCGAGGTTCTGATTCTGCGAAGCTCCTAAGCAATATCCTCAATATCGCGTACTCGTCGCGTGCCTACGTCTCAGACCTGAAGCGTGGATCGGACGCTATAAACCTGATTAACGACGAATTCCGTAGGCATTCGGAGGATATAGATCTTTGGTCATTTTACGAAACACAAAAGCTCAGCATAGGTGTCTTCCGTGTGCTGATCGTTGATCCCGACTCGGCTACACTTGGATATCGCGAAGAGAAACGAATACCGTTGAACGCTGACCATCGCTCTATATGTAAATTCGAAGCGCCAAGCGATCCAAATTATATACTCATCCGCAATGCACTCGCTTCCACAATCAACAGTGCCACGGAATCAGGTATGAGTATGATCCGGTCCCAAATCTCGCAAGCAGCTGGCTAACTTGAACGCAGCGCTGAAATCGAAGGAGAGGCTACTCCGGAGCAATATCAAAGATCTGAAAGAATACCTAGCCGTGTCCGACAAGTTAGAGGACGACTTGATACTCGTTCAAGATGCTCGCTTGCCGGGGACTTGCGAATGGATACAATCGAAGAAAAGTTACCTAGAGTGGCATGACAACGACAATGCTGCACGTGTGCTTTGGCTCTTCGGAAAACCTGGGTCTGGCAAGTCCGTACTTTCTGGATACCTGGTTTCTCAATTACGCATGAAGCATGAAGCATGCAGCTTCTTCTTCTTCAAACACGGGGAGAAGTCCAAATCACGGCTTAGTGCCGGCCTTCGATCTCTCGCTTTTCAAATGGCTTGCGCAAACACTGAGATTCTGCAACTACTTCTTGGAATGCGTGAAAGCGATGTAAAGCTCGACGGTCATGAGGACCGTATTCTCTGGAGAAGATTGTTCACATCTGGGATCTTTAAAACAAAATTCCATCGACACTATTGGGTCATTGATGCTCTCGATGAGTGTTCGAACCTGTCCTCTTTCTTCGAAATTGTGCTTGGCCAGCTTGATTCCTCAGTGCCGCTGAGAATTCTGGTCACAAGCCGACAAACTTCTGAAATCGAAAGGTGTATTACAATGTTAGGACTTAACCAAGTTCGAACGGAGCTTATTTCAACTGCGGACTCGAAGAATGATCTTGAATCACTTGTTCGAGCGAAAGCCAGTACCCTGATTGTTAGAACGGAGGCTGATCGCGCTGCTCTGGCGGAAAGAATTCTAGGGAAGTCTCAAGGATCCTGGCTTTGGACTGTCTTGGTTCTCAATGAGTTGTCCGACTCACATTCGGAAGAGGAGATCCGCCAGGTCCTCGCCGAAGTGCCCAAGGACATGGAAGATCTTTACTTGAGAACACTAGATTTGATGTCGCGAACGACACGAAGCAAGAGGCTGATTAAAGCTATCCTTGCCTGGGCTACAACCGCAACGCGGCCTCTAACTGTGAAAGAGCTTGAAGTGGCTTTGAAACTAGATATCAACGATATATTTCCTAGATTGCGGGAAAGCATAAGTGCACTGTGTGGGCAGCTGGTGGCCGTTGATAAGTTCGACAGAGTCCAGATGGTGCATGAAACTGCTAGGGAATTTCTGTTGAAAAACAGCTTAAATTCAGACTTCGCGATTGATCAAACCGATGCTCATACGCGTATCGCAAGAGCTTGTCTTGCATACCTTGTAGGGGACGAGATGAGGCCACCCAGGACCAATAGGCGAGCCATTTCAAGGCCCCCAGCAGACAAACGAAGCGAGTTCTGTGACTACGCTTCCTTACAATTCTCTTATCACCTAACAAAGGCAAATCCACTAGCAGACGACCTTCTGACTTTACTTGACAAGTTCCTGAAGACCAACATCTTTTCATGGATCGAACTTATCGCTAGAAGTAAGAATCTCATGCCACTCATCCGCACTGCGAGGAACCTGAAAGTTTATTTGAATGCCTGCTCCGGTCGGCGGTCACCGCTCGCGATTGAATTCCAAAGGGTGAGAGGATGGATAACGGACTTGATTAGAATTGCTGCAAAGTTCTCAGATCCTCTCATCAGCCTACCGTCGGCGATATACTCGCTGATACCCCAATTCTGTCCCATAGAATCGACGGTTCACAAGACTGCAAGCCCCGGACGAAAGGTCTCTGTTACAGGAACTTCAAACGCTTTGTGGGATGATCGGCTCTCTTGCATTGAGTTCCATCAAGGCCAAACTAGCGCACTCTGCCACGGACATGAGTTTTTTGCGGTAGGGTTGAGTACCGGTCAAATATTTATGTACTACGTGACGACTTGTCAAGAATACAAGAAGCTTGATCATCAAGAGGCGGTTCAGTTCCTGCAGTTCGGAACCAAAGCAGAGTTACTCGCCTCATGTGGGTTGAAGAAGGTCTTGGTATGGGACTTTCGAAACGGTCATATTCTTTACAGTTTCGACGTGCCGGTTAGGCCTATAGGACTTACATTCGACGAAGATTTCCTGGTTATTCCAACGTACAAAAATTACTTGGCATCTTGGGACCTGAAAGACAATGGCGCGAGACAACCAGACAGGCCGTGGAATGACACAGGCGATGACAAGTGCTCGCGGTCGAGGCGAGTCCCAAGTGCGATCTCGATCTCGTTCGGACATAGAATGCTCGCAGTCGCATATAGTGGGCGGCCGATTGCTCTCTGGGATCTTGAAGAGGATGCTTATTATGGTTCTTGCGGCAAAAAACTTTCTGATGGTGAAACGAGCACGCATTTAGTGACAGCCCTGGTATTCAACCCCAACCCAGCCATTGGTCTACTTGTTGCATCATACCTCGATGGTGAACTTGTTCTTCTCGACCCATTTGACGATCAAATTCTGGAAAGTCATCGGGCGAATTGCCACACGCTCGCTTCCAGTCCAGACGGACGCCTGCTTGCAGGAAGTGCTGGATTCGGAGCAATTCAGATATACGAATTCGATACTCTCACATTGCTCTATCGAGTCCAAGCGTCCAGTCTCCACATAAAACAGCTGTCTTTCAGCATCGATAGCCTGCACTGCATCGACATTAGAGGATCACAATGCAATGTCTGGGAGCCGCCGATGCTCCTTCGGAGTTCAGTCAGTGATGACACGAGCGAAAACTCGTCGCAGTCGTTCCTAGAAGCGATTGCCACGGACACCAAGGTTAAGATCAGCGCTATTGCAGTGAGCTGTGAGAGAGATGTTGTCCTATGCGGCCGGGATGATGGATCTGTCTCCTTGTACGACGCAAGAACAGGATCTAGGAAGCTTGAAATCTGCCGTCACAACTCCTCCGTTCGCATCTTGGAATGGTGGACTCAATATGACTTAGCTATCAGTGTTGATATATCAAACAAGATACTCGCCTGGAATGTGAGAAAGTCGGCACAAGGCGAATGGGTTGTCGAGAGAATGGCATTTCAGTCCCGACTGGAATCTGGCAGTTCCATCATTCAATTGCTCACGTCGGAAGCAATTGGCAAGTTCATCATATCAACACGTGAATCAGATCATCTGTGGCAAGTTGATGGCAAGGAGGAGGATTCACGAATATACACCGATAGGCTAGGCGTGCGAAAATGGGTGCAGCATCCAAGCTCAGCACATCACGCAATATGCTTCGAAAGTACAGCTGCCCGAGTGTATACTTGGGATAAGTGGCTACAGGTTCTATCTGTGTCACTTGACATCAGTGTGCGGGAGCTGGAGTTTAAGAGCATCAAACAATTTGCGTTCCGTAGTGCAAAGGGCGTTCTCATGCTCTCCGAGTCAGGTGGCCCTGCGAAGATTCAAAACCTATATCTTCTGAACGCACAATCCTTCGAAGCCAACAAAAAAGCCAACGTCAAGGAAGTTGCCGCAGTATCACCAGGGTTGGACGACGCTCTAGCGCCATTATCAATAGACGAAGGTCAAGACGTTCAAGAAGGGGACTCTCTGGTTTCACCAGTAAAACCAAGACTCGCTCTTCTGTCACAGAGGGTTGCACACGTTATTGGAATCTGCGAATCCAGCAGACTGGTCTTCCTCGATACTGGCTCCTGGGTCTGTTCTGTGGGACTGGAAAATCAAACATCTGATATAACATCGTACAGCAGACATTTCTTCATCCCGTACGACTGGGTCGCGGGGTCGCGGGACGTAATTTGCGCCGTCCTTCGGCGGGATATCTTCTTTGCACGCAATGACGATCTCGTTATTATCAGGGGTGGATTCGATTTTACGACAGAGATTGACCTGCAGGAGTAAACCAATACAACGTTTAGGTCAGAAGCGACGGGCATGGTTGCGGTAGCTCGTTGCTGGAAAATGTCAGCATTGCAGTATTCATGGAAGGCAAATGGGACCACGCAACAACAGGACTATTCGGTCTCTGATTCCACTGACTTATGGACTCTATGAGTATGTAAGGCCGGTCGTACTTTGTTCGTATCAAGCCTATTTTTGTATCAGGCTTAACAAGCCATGATGCGTTGTCTATCGTCTGCGAAGGAAATATATAGTTCTAGTCCTCTCCCGTTTGGGAAGTATAAGCGACAGTTAAGATCAGAAGGCGGTCTAGGATTCTGCCGGATATCTGAATGTATCTCCGTCACTCGACATTTCCCTTCTCCAAGTCTCCATCACAGTTTTGTTGCGGTGTCACCATGTCACATTTCAATCCGGAAGACAGCAGATTTCCTCCGGGATCCTCTCATCGTCCTTACCCGCGCCGTGACGATCGGGACGGTCGTATGTACGATGATCGTTCGCCTTCCCGATCACGATCGCCTGGCGGTAAACGCTCTCTTTCCCCACATGATATCAAGCCGAAGGCTTTATAGAGGCCATATGTTCCTCTGCAGACAGAGATTTACTAACAGTGTTCTCTGCGTGAAGAAGGCCAGCGCTCTCCTCCGCGAGGTCCAGCTGCAGATCGGCGACGCGATCCATCCAGAGACCGACTCGATTCACGACCTCGTTATCGAAGTCGCGACGCCGATGATTATCGTCGGCGACCCTCTAGATCACCGCCACCGCGGCGCGGCAGACCGGCCTACAGAGATCGTGACCGCGAGGGGTATCGTTCACCCGGATACAGTCGGAGTAGAAGCCACAGTCGCAGCCGCAGCCCTCGTCGTAGTCGACAGCCTTACCACGAAAAGGAAAGCAGAGAAGTCATGATGGACGGGTTGCCGGTGGATATGGCGGAAGAAGACGTTGGAAAACTCCTTCCCCCCTTGAAGTTCCATTTCTGGAGTTTTAGAGCTACGCTCCATGTCACAAACACGTCCTTGATGGCAAGAGGCTGAGATGTGCATGTCACCGGGTCTGCTCCGGTCGACGTGTTGAACAGATTTCGAATGAGCTCAGAGACTTTTACTATGTCGAAGGTCTAGAAGAAGTTCGGGTGATCCGTGACCGACAAACCAGTTTGTTCCCCTTATGTCGCAATTTGCGCGCAAATGTCTGATTTTGTACAGAAAAATCACGGCAACTTGGCTTCCTCAGGTTTAGAAACCTTGACTTTGCACGCGACTTTATGGACCGCAACTTCCCATCGATCTATCTGCACGGACCTGATACCCTCAATAATGACAAGGGCACCAAAGTCCGCATCGCCTATAGTCGTGAGAGAGAAGATCGCGCTCGTGCCAGGGCCGACGGTGACTGGACCTGCAAAATGGTGAGTTGATTGGGCCGTTGCAAATCTAGCAAGTGATCTTACTTGTTACAGTGCGCTATCGTCAACTACTCGACTCGCAATAAATGCTTCCGATGCCAAGCGCCCCGGCCTGGTAAGTCGTTCCGTCGGTCTGATATAGGGCGAGTTTCTGACAGGGCGCAGAGGCTGGCCCGGCTGGTCCACCTGGAATTGCTGCTCCGAAGGTTGAGAACAACGGCGACAACGATGCGGCTCCAGACAATCAACCTTCGCAGTTTCTTCTTTTCCGAGGGCTAGAGTCTTCTGTCACCGAAGAGCTCCTTGCAAAGGGCGTGGCTAAGCTCTACCGACCTACTCCCGGCTCGGGTGGACCTTCGGAGAACCAAAGGAAGGGGGCCAAGGTGGCTTCCACCACCGGTGATTCCAATCTTGGGGCGAGAGATGGCTCTATTCGCCGTGTCCTACTGGTTAGAGATCGCAAAACCAACGAGAGCTGGCGCTATGGATTTGCGGAATTCGCCACTGTTCAGGTACGTTTGTTATGATCGTCATGTCTCGCTTAAGCTTACTGTTGTTGCAGGATGCCCAAGCGGCTGTTGCGCGACTTCATTCATTCGAGAAATTTACCATCTCCTCAAAGCCTGTTCTTGTAAGCTACATACACGCTGGCGTGTTTGTACCTGTTATCAATCCTTCGGCGAGCACGGACCGGTTCACCTTCAGTCCCCTCAGTAACCCATCCTTGAAGCTTATGTACTGGGACGAGGAGGCATACGTGAAAGAATTGACAGTGTCAACTGCTGAGTTGGACAACAACCAAGTGTCGACCGCACAGGGCCAAGCCGAAGGCAAGAGTACGAAAGATGCAGAGAAGGCAAAGAAGCGAAAAGCAGACGCCGCCGCAAGCGCAGCGTCCAAGAAAGTCGCCGTCCCCTCCCATCTGCAGTTCTGGAGTAATCGCCATGCTGAGCTGCATGGCATTCAGAAAAAGGACGCAGAGGAGAAGGGAAGCGACGGTGGCGTGGAAAGCCGTGGATCACCGGCCGACGCTGCGGCTCCTCCCACACAATCCTATGCTGATTTGAATCGGAATTGCTGCTACCTGTGCATGCGGCAATTCAAGAGCTCGGCTGAAGTCAACAGACACGAACGGCTCAGTCAGCTGCACCGTGATAATTTGCAGAACGACGAATTGAAAAACAAAGCAATGGGCAAGCTCATCAAACATGGCATCGTTCAGTCTACCCCCGAGTACAGGGACCGTGCAAGGGAACGTCGAAAGGCGTTTGGCAGCTCACGAGCGTCGACTAAGGCCAAGCCAGCTGCGCCGAAGGAGGAAGACGAGCCACCGGTGGAGACAACATCGAAGGGTGCGTCGCTCCTCAGTAAGATGGGCTGGTCAGCCGGCTCTGGGCTGGGAGCTCAGGGTACGGGCATGACCGCGCCGATAGCCACAGAGGTATATGCGCAGGGAGTCGGACTCGGTGCGCAAGGAAGCAAACTAGGTGATGCGGTCGAGGAAGCGGGACGCAACACACGCAACCGGTACGATGAGTTCCTGGAGAAGACGAGGCAGACAGCGCGGGAGCGATACGAACGTATGGAGAAATAGTTAGACAGACCCAGTGTAATAATGTAAGCTGTACAACCTGATGCAAGTTCATGATTCGTGATATGACTACTAGTATACAAGAGCTGAGGATGACGTTTTTCACTGTACATTTTCTTCTAAACCCTCTCCTCTCTTCTACTCTACTCCCCTTTCCCTTCAGCACTTCCCGCTTCCTTCTCCTTCTCCTTCAACTCCACCCCAAACTTCTCCCCAACACCTTAGCAACCCACTCCTCCACCTCCTTCTCCACCTCCTCATCCCGCACCGTCCCCGTCCCCATCTCCTTCTTCACATACCGCCGCATATCCTCCACGCTATTGATATCAAGCGCATAAAGCACACCACCCGTAGCCATCATCGCGAACGAACACACATTCAGCGTCGCGAGGCTCAGCGCCTCGAAGGCGTCCCCTGCGCCGTTGACGGGCGCGCGGTGGTACACCGACGACGTCCAGTAGGGCGGTGTGGAGGCGAGGACGCGCTTCGTGAACGCGCGGCGGGTGATGAGCAGCGAGAGGGTGAAGAAGGTTACACCGCCGAAGAGGAGTTTGAGGTTTGTGAGGGGTCTTTGGGGTTGCAGTTGCGTCTGTTGCGGTTGCCGTTGCGGTTGAGGCTCGGTTGATCCGGAGATTGAGTCCTGTTGGGAGGGTGCTGCATACGTCTTCTTTGAGTCTGTGGTTGGGTTTGGGCTGGAGCCCCAGTTGAAGAAGGAGAGCATGGTGTTAAGCTGAGGCGTTTTGGTGGTGTGGTGGTGGTGACTTGCTTAGATGAAGTTGATGGTGATAATTTTATGCCGGCGTTATGCACAGTGAGATAGATTTGGCGCAAGGAGAATGAGAGAAGACTTGGAAGACGGTGGTGTTAAGGAATAGCTGTTGGACGGATCCTGATTAATCCCTCAAGGCCGGAGATACATGCGGAGTTGATATTTGCTGAGGTCACGTGCTCATTTGCTGTGCCTGGAGCTGATTTATTCAATCATTCCAAGTCCCTTAAAGGGATTCGGCTTATCGTGTTTGGATTCTAGTAATACGCTATGTGTACAAATAAAGCTCCCCATTGTCAGCGAAGCAGGGCTACCCCGATGAAGCATCAAAAGCGTATATCAGCAACCCGCTGAAATCCATGCCAGTTGGTCACCGCGTAAACAGCGCCCTAGCAGAGACTATTCACGGGCACACGATCCGGTGAGACTGAGGACTCATTTCGACGGACAGTATCTCATCTTATCAAGAGAAGGTGGAGAATTAGACAGGATGTCGCTTCAAGTTTATCATATTGTGTTTGTGTTCTATAGCTGTACAGCTGGAAAAGCAATAAACGCCTGTACAATGCCATCGAGGTGGAGTGTTGTTGTTTTGAAACGAATCAAATCAAAGAGTATTTTCAGAACCTGAGTGAAACATAGCAGAATATCACCGAAACAAAATGGTATTAGAAAAGGCAGAAACGAGGCGCTAATATCAGGAAAAATAAGAAATATGTCGTCGCCTTTGAGCATACATCATCGTCGTCATCATAAGTCAATCGTTTCAATATCATCGTAATTAATTTTCTGCGTGACATCGTCGCGTTGTCGTCGTTCAATCGTAAGCGGATCTCTGAAATGCTTCGTAGGACAGTCATGTTTCATGGAACGTATCGTTGCATAAGTAACAGCATCGAATCTGCCGTCGAAAAACGGAATAGGACAATCAACTTTCCATCTTTCCAGTTGTAATTAGCATATCGGACCGTCCAGGTCGTTGGAAACGGTCTATTCCGAGATGCTCTTTCCCATCACGCCCGACATAGATCCCGAAGCCGTACACTGGATATTCCCTCTCTCCCGGGGGCGCTGTCACTAGTCGAGTGACAAGATCGGTCTTGCTTCTGGGTTCGCGGAGGAGCTTATCGGCAAGGAGCGGGCTTTGGTAAAAGAAGCTGATTTGGTCTGCTAATGTGCTGATGTCGTGAGGAAGATATCTGTATCTGCGGGGCCATATACACAAGGAGGATACGGTGTATAGAGCGCAAAAGGCAACCAATGTATAGAAAGCAGGCATCAGTGCAGCAATCCGTACTTCTTCGTGCGAGGGATACCAGAGGGCAATGAAGACGCCTCCAGCCAGTATAGGGAGAGCTGCGGACACAATGCTCATCAGAGAGATCCACGCCACTTTGTAGTGCGCATTCAGAATAGCTTGCACTGTCACCTGAAGAGGAAAGGCTGCAGGATATTCTAGCAATAGAGTTTGCTCCGCTCGAGCGCCATCTGGAGAGGACAAAGTGGCGTATGGCTGCAGTGCACGGAAGTAGACATCGATCGGTTGCCAGGAGAGGAACAGAATATTACCGATCAAGGCAGGGATAAAGCTGTACAAGAAGTTTGAGGATGAGAAAGCGCCCGTCGAGGGCAATGTTGGTAGCCGTGGAGGAAATCCGCCTTTAATGGCATCGTGGATAAAGCTGACGAGGACGAACGCAATAAAAAGCGCGCCGATGATCACCGACCAAGCGACTACGAAGGTGTCTTTGAGAAACCACGGCGCCCAGCGGTAACGGACAGATTGGGAGTATAGTTGCTGTTCAAAACCGTCGGCCGCATGAGTGCTTCGTCGCTCGATATCGAAGGAGACCCTGGAGACCAGTGGTTGCTTCTCACGGCTCATCTCTGGTCGATGCAGAGATGGATTCCGTATCGGAGCATCAACCTCGGCAACTCCGTAGAAGACCTCAGCACGGTTCGATACCTGCCAATAGCCTAGGCGGAGGACTCTGGGCCCAAGTGCACTTCCGACATCCGGCAGTGTCTCGGAATGTTCAAAGTCATGCAGAATGTTGGATCGCTGGATGACAGGGATCAGGTCAGCCAGACTGACAGGATCCCACATCAGTCCAGACCGTGTCCGCATAAAGCGAATGAGAAGCGCCGCCAGTCCAAGAGCAAGTAACGCGTAAACGGCCACGATTGTCCACCCGACAGCTAGGACAGCATTCCATCGCCACTGCCCTTCGCCATTGATTAGGTGCCACTTTGCTTGGAAGAAACAGCTGAGGAGCGGGATGATAATGAGGTTCGAGATCCAAATCGTAAGCAGAGCAAACCCGGCTAAGGGCTCTCCATGCCTGAAATGCGACCAGTCAGGTAGCAGGAAGTTGCGTGACAGAATTGGTAGCTTCTGTATCACGCGGTCCTGTAGCGTCTCCGATGCCATGATTGCAAATGGCATGACGCGGTATACAGCCGCCTGGATTACAAATGTCCAGATGGTGATAACCGCTGCCAGAATCTGGGGTAAAAATTGAACCACGAAATACCGTGAGCCTCCCTGTCCATCGTAGTCCCAGATTCCTTCATGTCGCTGAGACCAGACATTGCAGAAGACAACCCCGGCAATCATGAGCAGGCAAGAAAGAATGGTCAGAGCCAGTGCCCATGGCCGTAGAACAATAGGCACAAAATTCAACGGGGGATAAAGCAGGTTATTGTCCGGAGGGTCGACCGCAACAAATGCCTCCGGATCAACCGAGTTCTGTGGCGACCTTTCTGGCGGACTGTGTTGGTGTAATCGTTCTTCTCGAGGTCGTAATGGACTGCCTTTAAGCTTCGAGGGACGGGTAAACTGGCCCAGAGCTGCATCCCACACGAGAGGCTGTGGCGGATAATCGACACTTGCGCCCGAGGACTGCCTCGATAAGCTCGGCTGCTCATCTTCCCGCGTGAGCTGATTAATGGCGAACCGAATGTAGGGCAAGTCGTCCGTCCCGGGAGTCGGTGAGCGACCGGCATAGCTATCGTTTAGTACATGTCGAATGGATTCGTCGGACATGCCCAGTCCGCCCTGCTCGAATCGAGCTGGACTGTGGCCGGAGGGAGGAACATTCCTGTTTCGGGACTGTTCCGGAATGGAATGTTGTGATCGAGAACCAGCCATATTGGCGCCTAGATGCGTTCGAGATAACGCGGGAGATGAAGCGTTGGAGACAGGGTGGGAATTCGGCGTAGCATACCGCTGGACGGTGAGACGACTGTCCGAGCTTGGAGTTCTAGAACTGGACGTTGTCGTACGATCCGAAAGGGAGTAGTAATCGTCCGACGCAGCAATTGACTGTTTAGATTCAGAACGGAACAGCTGTGGTCTGCTTGCTGCGATGAATGGTCAGCACCCTGCAGAGCCTTTTATGTTGCCTGGCAGCTACAGAAGGAGTAAGGGTAAGAGGAAGAGCGAGAGCGCGAATATGATAGATCAAGCTTGCCTCCTAATTTCTTTTTTCCTTTTCACTTACAGCTGACAGTCCTCAGACTCACATTTCCCGACCCCGGGACATTCATGACGGGAACCGCTGCAGACAACCGAAGAATGTATGCGGTGAGCTCACCTTCACATGGATGACCGGAGTCAGAGAACGATATGCGAGGGAGAAAAATGATAATTCATTGATTGTCATGGGATGAGGAGGCTGTCATGTCTGTATTGTGGATACTGGGTTGGGTGGTTGGACTCTGGAGTCAATGAGCGACTTCCCAGCCTCCTCATCCCAGCCACCTGTAGAGGCAACCGATCAGGATTCAGGAACAACAGATTAGAATCTGACATGGCTCAAGCTGGTTGGAAATTTAAAAACAGCAGATTGCCTGTGGTTGGATGCATTATTATAGCGGCATGATGAATTAGGTTTCAATTGCCTTGCTGCTGTGTTGTTTTCTGGTTGATAACTGATGACGACGTTGTTGTTGTTGTCCAGCTGACCGAAGCCGAGTCTTTGCCCGAAGTGGGTTGCGGGCCTGCGGCCCGATCCAGTCAAGTCCACAACACCATAAAGGCTTATTATATCATCGTCTATTTTGTCGATTTCAGAATTATGTACACAGTACGGAGGACAGAAATGAGTCTCGTCTCGAGGAACCTCGAATAAGCACGATTTGATGGGCTTTGAGAAAAGGGCGGACAAGTGTATATCTGTCCGGTCCTGAAGCTGGGGGATCAAAACCCCCTAACCAACGAGTGTGAAATGGTTCTAGCCATGAGAATGTAACATGACCAAATACACAGTTAAATGAATCTATGTGCTAGGATTGACATGAATAAACATTATCCAGTGCTGTTACTGGTTCTATTACCAGCCCTATAACTTATACAGCAGCCTAAACTTAGTATGCTAGCTACCCAGAGTAGAATCCATCTAGGTTAATACTATTATAGGCATAGAGAGTGCTAGCATAGAGCCCCCAATATCGGTACATGCAAGCGCGAATTTGTTGGGTGGTAAGGAGCGATCCCGCCTCCGTATAGTCTCCGTAACTGCCTCAGTTCAGCGGATAGTTCCTGACGATATAACAAAGTCAGCGATCCGGTCATCAGTCCGCCATGATAATGATTTGACGACTTACAAGCGTTTATGTCAGCTGGACTGACCAGTTCCTGCCGTCCGTTATAGCTGGTTTGTGTTCCAGATTATCTGCACAATGTAGCGTTGCCTACCATAACAAAGTCGAACTCGACATTGTATTGTAAGTCATGGTGCGATCCAAGACATCAAGTTATTGGACAGCTGGACCGTTCCCCCTTTCATCGATGAGTGCTTCAATATCCAACTAGGCAAGAGGAACCAGTCAACTGGAAGTTGTCATTGGAACTCTTTAATTTGCGGTCCGATACTTGAATATTGATCAGAATCCAGATTCAATAAAGATGGACCAGATGGGATAGCAGAGAAGCAGATGAAGAGTGGGATATTTGGGCGAGTTCAAGATCGACTACCTGTAGTCTCTGCTCCCTCGGTGCACTGAGGGTCTTCGGTACTACCCAAAGGTAATGTTCTCACATCAAGATTCCAGATTGATTGGCGGGTCCGTGGTGAGAACTGCATTGCGGCTGGCCTTAGCAAGTAGTACATATTCTGGTTAATGCACCAGTGGTTTAAGAGTCAGCGGCTCTCGAAGAGGTTATTGGTACTATGGTTGCCGCATGGAGTGTGTTGCAAGTCTACGTCATATTTATTCAAACTTTAGTGCTAATATTCCGCTCGTTCGAGAGGGTGGTAGGACAAGAGATAGGATATAAAAAGGGTTATGGTGGCGATAATCACATACATAAAGAAGCTCATCTTAGCTTCACCTGTCGTCCATTAACGGACAGGTTACTGGACTCCAGCACCACGATGAGGTGTGAGCTTGTCGCTGGAGGCCTGGAGTTCAGACTCAGCTGAGACAACCAGGCACCTACTAAGAAGGTAGGATTTCAGCCGCGAGGACTGGTGCGCGTATTTTCAGCGCTGGCAGTAGAGGCAGGGCTCATCCGCCAGAGGAACGCATTTTTTCAGCGCGGGCAGTAGAGGCAGGGCTCATCCGCCAGAGGAGCGCATTTTTTCAGCGCTGGAAGTAGAGGCAGGGCTCATCCGCCAGAGGAGCGCATTTTTCAGCGCGAGCAGTAGAGGCAGGGCTCATCCGCCAGAGGAGCGCATTTTTTCAGCGCTGGCGGCAGAGGAAGGGCTCATTCCTCGATGATAGAGGACGGAGGGGATGATTGGCCAGGAAGACTCGGGGATTGCGGCACGGGCCTGGTGAAATAGTCAAGCCAGTCATCGGAGTCTGCATCCGACTCATCCTCCAGGTCCTCTGGTTCTGCGCTACCCCTTAAGGCAATCACACGATTCATGATCCACTGCATTTCAAGGAGCCGAGTATCTGGGAGGGGATGAGTCTGGGGATCATGCGTCTCAAGCGTGATCTCTTCACCAGAGACGAGTGCATGATCGTTGATGACATTATGCAGACCAACTGCATATTCTTTTGGGCGAAAATCTGGGGGAAGTTGTGGGGGAACAGTAAATGTAACCCCTCCTTGATGGTCATGTTTTTTCAGCCACCAGAACCTCAGTTTGAGCCACTTCCCATCGTCATCCTTGGCAACAGGCTCAAGAGCAAAAAGTGCCCTTGTGTGTAGCTGATGTGCGTCTATGCTGAGCAATATGAAATTTTCAAGCTTTTCAGTCTTGGAGGCATCTCCATAGACAGCATCATGCCACTCATTCACCCTTTCATCACTCCAGAAAGTTCTCAGTGCCAGGAAAAGCCTTTCCACACCCTTTGTTTTCTCATTGCTCAGGCAATATGGGTACAAATAGCATGATTGGCAGATGTCTTTGTTGAATTTCGTAAGAATGCAGACTTTGTCGCGCTCCTTACACTAGGATACCGCGTGGTTAGCGCTAAGGCAGTTGCAATAGATTCTGGCGGGAAGGCATAACTTACTGCTTCCGCGACGGCTTTATCGCGTTCCTTACAGTAGGATAATGTGGTTAGTGCTAAAGCAGTTGCAATAGATTCTGGCGGGAAGGCATAGCTTACAATGTGCCCGAAGTCTTCGTATATTTTAGGCTTCTTCGCCCCTTTGGGCGTGCCCAGAGGTTCGCCTGGCCTTTGCCGCGATGTATCAGGACTACCTGCTATTTGGACAGACAGGGGTCGCGGAGTTGAACTGGGAGGCCCAGATGTCGAATCGCCGGCCCCGAGGGGAGAGGAAGACGGGAACAAGGGTGGAGCCTCCTTGATTGGTGTCTGTGGAGCAGATGGAGCCCTTGAGTCAGGTTGGTTGTCCTTTTGTTGCCCTGAATTGAACACGCGGTTAGGCATGCATAAATGATAGAGACTGGATGGTGGCTTACATTTTTGACCTATTCTGCCCTTGGTCTCAATGCGACAGAGCTTGTCATAAAGCTCAAAAGGCTCATACAGCCCATCATCCGGGAGATGTCGATCAACCAAAAATCGTAGCTTCTCCATGTCAGCAAGCCACAAGCACGCATAAGCTGTTTTGAACTTTCTTATCGTATCGAGTTCAGATTTCAACGTGTTCAGTCCATCGGCAATCTTGTTGATCAGCTTGACACGCTCAGGATCCTCGAAAAGAGCACCGGGCGGCGGAACGCCGGCAGCACCCTCGGAAGAAGAACCTGGACGGCTTGAGCTGTCCATACTGATGATACTGATGATATTGGAGCAATTGATAGTAAAAGATTCAGTGAGATTGAAGCTTCTGATTCTGCTTTGATTGATCTTGATCCAGCTGTTACAGGATGCTCAGAGAAGTAGAAAACTTTCCATGTGTTGACATACGTAACATTGACTCAATCAGTACGGTCACATGACCACGGTTTCAAATTTATGCAGGCCCCCTCCGCACCAGAAGTAGTTAGACTGGCCGGAAACGGCTGGAGCAGACTAACAGTACCAATGGTCCCAGAACTCAAAATTAAGGTACGAACTACGAAGTAGAGAGGGCAGTCTAGAACGAACTGAAAATTATTGGTAGAGCTCCGCCACACGACATTCAACTAGACCTCCTAATTGAAACAATCGCATATTAATGTCGACACAAGTATCACAGTCAATTCCTTAATTACCAAGCCCAACGTGGCCTGTAAGCCTTGTGAGTCTTTGAGAATCAAGAACTCATTGCATTCCGGGCAGAGACCTAATGGAGAAGTTATGCAGTATGATCAGCTGAGGCAGGCATTTTTTACCTTTTCCTTTTCTGTTTTCTGTTCTTTAACCGTCTCTTGGCCAATAGTGGCTATCTTCTGCCCAGATGAAAGAAACTTACATCGACTAAAGTACCTTATGGAAGGAAGTACATGCCATGATACATGCAGGCATCTTCAATTATTGTCACATCACTAGAGCAAGCCCAAAGAATTTATGACATTTTGGAGGTGTGCCTGCTTATGAATCCGTAGATTAATAAGGGACGACAACACTACTTGAAAGTGAAGGTTTTGTCTTCATTAAAACCAGTGGTCGGACCAACATAAAAGATAATTGGAAGTAGTATGAGCAGATTGAAGGTACCACGGATTTGCTTAGATTGCCAAAGCGAGACGGGAGTTAGGCATTAATTGACTAAACAAAATGCAGGCGTACTCTACAACATACTCCAGATGCAGCAAGAAATATACACACTCCGAAAAGCTTTACAGATGAGAGTTTTGAACTCTAAGACTACACCACGAGAGTAAGAAATCTGTTTTCAGACATGAATTAAAGACGTTAATTACATATGAGAGTAAGCTCATCTTAGCTTCGCCAGTCTATAGTCATACACTGGTTACTAGACTCCAGCACCACGGTGAGGTGTGAGCTTATCGCTGGAGGCCTGGAGGCCATCAGAGATGACGACCAGGCACCTACTTGCGCAGGATTTTTGTCCAAAAATTAGTGTGGATGACACATTGCAGTGCCATAAAAGGTAATCATGACGCATCGCAGCGCCACCGAGGGTAACCAGGACACATTGCAGTGCCGTCAAAGGTAATCACGACGCATTGCAGCGCCATCAAAGGTGATGATCACACATTGCAGTGCAGTCATATTAAAGAATCTCTCACTGAGCATTCTTTTCAGCCTCGAAGTCCATTTGCTCCGCCCATGACGCTCCCTCGGGAGGTTCCTGAGGAGCCGGCCGTAAGTGCTGGGGGTGCTGCTCTTGGGGAGACTGCTGCTGGTGTCCCAGCTGCTCCTGCACCTGCAGCGCCTGCACCTGCTGCTGCTGCTGCTGCCGCTCCCGCTCTGCGAGCCGACGGGCCGTGCGACGTTGCCTCGAGTTTATACGAGGGTGCTGCTGCGAAGGGCCCAGGGGATGGCGACGTCTGCGGCCACTTTGAGTAGCAATTTCCCTTGTCTAATGCAAATCCATCAGACTGAACGGCTTGTAATCTTGGGAGAATTAAACGCACCATTGCCATGGAAAGATTGGTGAAGACAACACCATAAAGACGGCAGTTCTCCATGGTGTGTCCCTTTTTGCCACAAGCCCGGCACCGCTTCTCCTATTATGAAAAGCCAAGAGTGAGTAAATTCTACGGAAGATGCCGCTCCATGGACATACCGTCTTATTCCTCTTCTCCACGACCGGCTTGTCCCTTGGGGGACGGCGACCTCCATTTCCCTTCCTGGGACGCTTCCCACCGGAGCCAGATGCTCCTTGTGGCGCATGCATGGATGCAGCAAGACCGGATTTGGCCACCGTAGACATATCAGATAAGTGTGCTTGTTCAGCGTACTATCGTTATGAATATTGGTGACGAGGAAGGAAAGGAAAGAAGAAGAAAGGAGAGAGAAGGGAAGAGGAAGAGAAAAATTTTCTTTTACAACTGCTAGTGTTGCTCAGTGGTCATTCACGATCACCACGTCTTCCTAAAAGGGAATGGTGAGATCATGCCTCCCACGATAGAATGCTTTCATGCACCTACAGAGAGCTATATTGTGCCTTAAGTAGACTTGTTCGAACGTTAAAGAACAAGACCTTAACATGATCCAATGACCACAAAGTACTGATTCATATAACTTCAAAGTAGCAACAGGAGCTGGCTCTCAGGGCCAACCGCGACCTCCTGTCTTGACGACCACTTCATAAATCGCCTTCATTGCCATGTTCTTGTTACTATTCGGAAGAAGCTTATGTTTCACTATGACGCTGAGGATACTTTCGCTGATAGCCTCCTTTTAATCATCCGGAAGAGACCTGGTTTCCAACAGCGCCCCATCAGCCATGCTCGTGTTCCGGATATTGCACGCTTTGACACCTTCAAGTATCATTCGCAAACGTAGACCAATTAGCATAGATACTACCTGTCACGTAGAGGACTGACCATCAAGTCCTGCAATGCTCCCGCATAGGTACCGATCGTCCAGCGAGGCCAATGCTCCTTTTGCCTATGACCGTAACTCGTCTACGACGCTTATGAAGTAGCACAGAGCGGATGACTCTCATAGGGCCCAAGTACATCGTTCCTATCTAGGCGTATGCTTCCTCCCAGAAGGAGGTCTCAACATCTTCAAGGTAGAGTGTCCGCGGCCGGGGACGTGGATGTACGTGCCTGACTGCTCGGTAGCATTAATGCAAGATACGTTGTTGGGATCGTTGACGCCCAGCTGATTCCTTGTAATCTTTCCCACAAGTTCGAGAGTGTGAGACTGGTTGCGCATGATGGTGAAGGCATTATGGCCTCTTATTAGTGCGAAGCGGGCAGAGGGAGGCAGGAACCGGGGGAGCAGCTGGTTACGAACCACGCCTGATTCTTTTTAACGTCTGAGGAGGACATTCTAGCAAGTTAGAAAATGATTGACTCTGAGTTCTGCTACATGTGATGTTGTTTCTGCCTGGCATGGACTCATTTTACATATCAAGGATCGCCGTATGTGGTGGTAGGCATATGGAGATAAGACAACAGAGGACGTGGCTTTAGTCACGAGGTGGATCGATTTAAGATAAAATGCGCTGGTTTTGTTCTTGATTAGGTCCATGGCATCTGTCAGCAAATGCTTGCCTTGAAGCTGCTTATTGAGCGTGCTAAGCTTGCATCAAACTGGTTACCGATTCAGTGAAGATTGCATGGAGTTCTGAAGGTTCCATAGTTTGTGCCTCGAGCTGAGTCTATGGGATGAAGCCTGATGATAGATTTTTGGAAGCCATAGCTTCAAAGCGGAGCCTAAATGGCCGTCATTTTAGGTCAGGGAAATTGCTACAGAGCCAAAACAGTGATGGACAAAGTCACACGTAGTATGAGTACTTCTTTGGCTAGAATTTGGAAGGTGGGAAGACTGTCTCTTTTGAAACACCAAAAGATGGAACATGAAATGGTCTAAGTTCTGGGCCTCCCTTTTACTGCATGATTACAAGGTGATATTTCCTCTGAAATCGGACACTGGCATATAAATGTTTCTGGCGGCGATGATGACGGCGGCACAGTTCTGGAAAAGCTACCAAATAGGCTGCTTATGAAGATTTTCCTCGTCTTGACAAGGTACCCGTGAGTTTTCCCCGTGGCAAAGACTCGCTCATCAATTAGTGACTCTGATATCTCGTAAGCTTATCAATCATCTTCAGGGTAAGTTTGACTCTAACTATATAACCTGCGGACGATTGCTATATCCGTGCTACAAAATGGCGCCAGTATTGATTGATCGAACTCACTATCTCGTTGACTAAGGCAAGGATCCCGCTCCAGCTCAGCAGCCTCAGCCCAATACGTCCGGTCTCGCCATTCTTATCCCTGAATCTGCTTAGTCTTATCGATTCCATTCGATTCAGTTGTCTGATCGTTTCCAATACTTAGCAAAACGGGCCTTCAGCTATCTTAGGGGCAGGGAGTTATGCAAGACCAGTGGGTTGAGGCTTTCGAGCAGCTCCGCGAGCACGGAAAGCAGATGCAGACTGAGACTGACCGTGACTAGCCACCCATTCGGAACACCAGGACCAAAAGGAACGTCCCGATGAAAATGCAGTCGACTGTTCCAGGCGATTCGGTGAGACAACTCAGGACAACCACGTGGAGACTACCGACCCCAATCATCAAGCGAATCCCGATTCCCAGACCGATCTCATCGATTTTCTACGACGCGTCTGTTCTCGAGTAACGACCGCGAGACCAGAACAGGCCCATGGGATGTTACAACAGTTGCTGGAACAACACAAACGCAATCACGAAGAGTCGTGGCTACGCATTCTGGGGGCTCATAACGGCCGGAATTACTGTTACTCTGTTGGCCGGCCGAGCATGTCCATTTCAAAATGCCTCATATTCCTTCAGCACGAGCATTCTCTACAAGGAAGCAATCTCACACTGGTACCAAAATTCAGGAAGAACTTACACTTTCGCAAGCTCACACCTCTGGCAATCCCCGCAACGGAAGGTACTCCCACTCAATATAATCAGGGAAGGTATGCAGTCTAGCTTAAGAGAACAAGAAGAGAAAGGGCTTCTCCTATGCGTCTGTCACTCCATCGCTCCAATGTTTATTTGACCCAAATGCCTAAAGACGGGTGTCAACAGTTAGACCTTGCAAAGGTGCTGGCTTCATGACTCGGTTACAGCACTTCTTATGAGCTCTTAGTCAGTAGCCTTGCAAGCTTCCCATAACTACGATATGGCATATCTCAAGTCTGTATTGCTCAGTAGACATTATCTATAACTAGTAGCTCTCAATTTTATATGTATAAGCCATGATCACATCACCCCAATGTATATACCCGTTGCTTTCATGAATTGTACAAATACGCCGCAATGGCTCCTCCCCATCCACCGGCATTGTCACTTTGCTTTGCTATGGGTGTATTGCCATTGAGCACCATGTTCGTGGTGCTTTTGGTGTTGGTCCCGTATAGATACAGCGAAGAGGAATCCACGATGCGAATTGCGTTCTGCTGACAGTCCCCCTGGCAGCCTTGTTTGTTATTGAAGAACACCCAGTTGCACCCGCCATACAGGAAGAGATTGGACGAGCTTCGAATTAGCTCAAACAGCGCCATTCGGCATGTTGCGTCGTTGGCAGCGCACTCGGAGTAGTCGGGATCGCTTGCGATGAGACTCTGATCCCATGGCGCCGGAGCAAGGAGGTTACCCGGTCCTTGCCAGTACGGCGATTCGCTTTGTTGGAGAGCTGAGAAGACATTCCGCGCGCGTTGGAAGTTGTACTGGTACAGAGTGTTGTGCTCAAAGCCTGTTCCCACCAGCCATGTGGCTTTGTTCGCTTCTACCAGCAGGCCGCGGCCGGTTGCGATGGTCTGAGCCTTGCTACCGTCGAGGTCATGGTCTGCTGTCCATCCCCACATGTTCTCGATGTAGGCTGACGATGTGCTGGTGAGACGCAGCAGTCCCCATGCCGCTCGGCAGTCTGCCGGACCTCCTTGACATTTGGTCTCGACCAAGCTGCCAGCAGCACCCCCAATGCGGAAATGGGTGTTCCAAAATCCGACGTCCCCTTGGCTATTGCCCGCAATATTCACTTCCGCCTAGAGATATGGGTCAATCGAATATTCAGAACGAGTGTCAGGAGACATACGCACCACCTGGCATCCGGGCAACACATCAGCTACAGTAAACATCATATCGCTCACATGGAGTACTCCGATATCCCCCGGATACCCAAAGCGAGCCATAGGGCGGACTGCATTAATATCAGTGAACTTGCTGCCGGACGCGCTGATGGCCGAGGCATAAGCGTCCCCAACAATGCGAATGTTAGCAGGAACGAAGATGGTGTCCGTGACGATGTAGGTGCCGGCCGGAAAGTAAATGACTTTGCAGTCACGATTCTGAGCCAGAATGTCGTTGATATTCTTTGTGTCATCGGTCACGCCATCCCCGTATACCGGTTTATCAGAAACTGTTTTGATATTCAGGACTTGTTCGGCAGGAAATTCGCTGTATGTCGGCGGAGGCATTATGAAATAGTTCTTCCCACCCGCCAGAAGGTCGGCTACTCGTTTGGTCACCACAGTTTGGCCTTCCACGTGGTTTTTATTGGCGTTACCAGCGGAGTACTTGGGATTTGTTAGTTCAAACCCCCTATTCCTAAGTTGAGTAAGCTCTTACCAAGTTGCCATGCACCCAAGTGTCCGGCATATTCCCACTAAGCACCGGATTGTTCCCCAGACTGACAGTGGTGCCAGAATTCTCCACATTTTCCAGGATGATCGCATTTCCAGCGCCCCCAGCGTTGCTAGATATGACTAATGAGTTCAACCCAGATCCCTTCGAGTCGATGATGGTCAGGGATCCGGAGGTACCATTGGCGTCTATTCCAACATTCCCGTTCTCGAACCGGCATCCGAGGAACACAATGTTCGTTCCTCCAGCCACCACACCGGTGGACGTCCCACTAAAAGTGAGGTTCTTAAAAACCCATTGTTGTCCATTGAGTTTCATCCCAATCGCGCCCCCATTGAAACGCAGGTCATTCTGCAAATCGATGGCACGTTAACAGACATTCAAACTCTATATCGAAGAGTACCCACCACAATAATGTTACTGTTGTAGTCGTACTGAGTGGTCAGCCCGACGTGTGCATTGGAACCAGTGGGCATGTTGAACACCACATTAGTCAACTGCGTCGCCTGACTCACTGTCCAGTCAACCAGCGCGATGGTTCGTGCTGGGTCGACACTGGTTGATTCCAGAATCACGTTCTTGATGCCGATATAGAAGTTGTTTGTGCCCTCGACATTTGGGTCTTTCGCGAAAATAATATGGTCATCGCGGAAATTCGGTGCTGCTTTTAAAACCGGTGGATTTGTCGGGTCCCCGACCAGGACGGTACCCACGAAAAACTGCAAACTGCTCCTCATCAGGTAGATGCCGCTGGGAAGATACACGATTGCTGGTTGACCAGTTGTGCCCATGCTCCGAGCATTGCGCTTGGGACCGTTGGATGCCCCTGCTGTTCTGAATTTCAGCATGTGATGCTCTGCTTGGAATTTTGAGGAGGCCGTAATACCTTCTATAGCATTTTGAATAGCACCAGCTGCGTCATTTTGGCCGGTGTTATCGGCGCCGAAATCTTTGACCACATTACGAAAGACTGGGTAGTTCTTCTTCACATCCGTGCTCAGAAACGAGGATTGGCCGTTGTGGGCTATCTTTTCGTACCAAAATCCTGATGAGCCGGCCCCTGCGGCTGTACAAGATGAGCTCTGTTGATTTGGTTGGTGGGTAACATTTGTAGCAGGATTGTGCCATGATCGTGGAGTGTCATCCTGGACTGTGAAAGGGATTCCACTGCTCAAGTCAGCCTGGATAAGTAAAGGTTGAACACAGGGAAATGTACAGTAGCTGAGGAACATATGTTAGAGGTGGAAAGTAAAAGTCTCCAGATTCCTCGTCCAGCGCTGTTGCGCAGATGCGTGTCGGAAGAAGGAATAATGCTAATACACAGACAAACGCAGGAAAAGACGCCATGTTCAGAGCACCTTGTCTTCAGAGGAAAAAAAAAAAAAACAAGCGAGGGAAGAGGAACAGCTGGGACCGCTTGGACTCCCATAGGAATAAGATGTCGTGGCTGAACAACTGTAGAAGGAGAAGAGGAAAAGACAGGACGATCTCCCCAACTTAGCAAGGACGAGATCGGGCAGTGGAAGCACAAAAGCACACAGATGAAGTAAAATAATGATATGTGGCATTAGATCTTGGTAGACTTGTTTATGTCGCTCGACCCATACGGCAAGTTGGTCGAGCATATTTGGGTGCGGGTCCCGGCAGGGGCAGGTCTACTGGATTCCGCGTCGCGATGGCCACCCTTAACTGGAATTCTCCTCGGGGTTTAGGAGAATCTAGTACATTGACAATCGAGAAGAGAGACATGGCCGCAAGTCCTAGCACTGGCGCGATACTGAGAAACTTCAGGCTCTTGGCCCGCGGCGGAGTTGCTCATATTGTAATGTCTGTGGTACAGAGAAGAAGGTCTGACCCGATCACAAGATTGACATTGTCCCAGAATCAAGACCGAGTCAGCAATGTTGATAATCAGAGCTGAGACATTGCAGTAGTTCAGGGGATGCGGATCGCATGTGTTTATTTTGGCGCATACCAAAGCGGATGAAAGGCAAGGAATCATGGAATTGTTGGAGTCTGTATTTCCGCACCAGTACTGGTGATAATCCACGCGCGATCTTCTCCCTGATTTTGGAGATATTTCTCCCGATTACTTCTGCTTGTTCTGACCTGCGTCATGTTGAGCCTCTCGCGTCTCATTCTGCTTCCCGAGTACCTCCCTTGCTTTGGGCCAGCCCGATGCAACCCCTGCGGGGGTAATCTGACTGGCCGTTTATCACATATTGAGGCCCTTTATGTTGCACTGTTAGTAGACAATTATGAAATTATGATCAAGAGTAATGATGTGTAAATTGTAATCCAGAGATGACAATATGGGCGGATTTGAGCCGACCGGAGGACGAGATGCGAAAGGGCAGCCATACTTGCATGTGTTTCCAGCGCCACCAATTCCAAAGTGCATATAACGCTGCTGTGAGGCTTTTGTGATTGGGAGCTTGTCTCTTGGTCGAGGACGAAGAGAAGTCAGGGGGATGTTGCGACGGTCCTTGGGGAGCAGTAGAACGCGTTGGTCATCATCCTCGTCCGGATCGGGTCTGGATCGAAGCCAAGCCTACGCCTTCCAGAAGCCAAGCATGTCGAGGGCGCTCAGGATTCGTTGATGGTACTTCGTACGCCCTCGAGTATGAAGTACGATCATATATATATGGAGTCAGATCGGCCGAGATATGATGAACAAACGTAATGAAAATTGTTGGACCAGCTATCTTTCCGACCAGAATGTCTGGATAGGTCCTCAAGTTGATCTGCGGGGTATCTTGGTACAGAGCTTCGATGTTCTCCGTGTTCAGGAAGGCACACAGCAGGTTTTATCTCTTAAATATAGACAGATCTTCAAGATTGGTGGCACAGAGCCTTCGTAGCTCAGTCAGAAATCACCAGATTTGAGTTGCTCAAGTGTTCCTTAGATGCTGGACTTGAACGGTAGCCTGCATCGCAGGTGATGCTTTTCCTTGCAGTGTCACATGAGACCACCCTTCACGCTTTCCATTTGCTCTTACTCTGGAGTAGGATCTTCAAGCTTCTTTTCTAGTGGAGTGCGCGAGATGACACCCCACCCTGCCTATGCAGAAGATGAGACTGGTCGTTGATTGTGCTAGGACGGCCCAATGCATGTAGTTTGGAATCCTTTATTTCACTCGGTTTTACGCCTCATTTTTGTGCTACTCATGTGCCACCGGTGCAGAATCATTGGCGTCCTGATGTAGCGACTCAACGCTGATTTTCGATCAGAGTCCTTTCAAGCTCTCGCAGCTCAACCATATATGGTCAGCGGCTAGGACGCTATGCGCCATGATATATTTGTTGCAGGGAGGTAGCGGGGAAACGCAACATTGATATACAATGTTTATGAGACCAGGCTGATCACATATCCTATCAAGAATCTGTTACTCATGTTCAAAGTTAGAATAAAGATAGGCCCTTTCTTGCAGGTTGCATGATGATATTCTGGGGCCGAGGCACGAAGTGAATGATTTATCTTGGCTGAACGAATGCTTAGGATGTTCCACAGCAGACATCAACTTCAACTGGTTGTCAAGTTTTCCGAGATCAGCTTAATAGGGGCACGCAATCCATCTACAGCCCACAGATTATGATTTTGTCTGTTGGCTCTTTTGTCTTATCTTCGCAATCATTCCATCGACCCATCCTTCTGAACATAAATAGGCTTCTGGAAAAGATCCACCCAAGAAAAACCCACCAATCCGGGGTGTGTAAGGGTGCACTGTTACGGTGTTGGTAACTTGGTGGCACGCTCCCCGGACTTTCGCCGTGGGAGTTTGAACTCATGTACTCGGACATCTGAAGGCATTGCGGGTTAACTTCAAAGTAGATTCGTTTGATGCTCCCTATATGTGCTCAAAATTCATCTGTCAATTTTGTTCAACGTGGGATTACTGATTATTGACCAGAGACTTCCATTCTCATCGATCTTCATGGTGTGATCAGTAGCAACATGAACTAATCTTTCCAGTCTGACGGCGGGTACAGCTTTTAAATTGCGTTTGCGCTAGTCTTCCTTGGTTCATTGCGCTAGCCTTGCTCAAACAACGTGGAGATCAGAAGATTGCGAAATGTGTTAACATGAACCAAAGCAGAAGTCGATTGAATAAAGATTTATATTTATCTACGTAGTATCTATCTACAAGTTCAGCACATGCGCTCGTTGGTCATATTGCAGATCAAAAGAAACATCACGTGAGCCACAGTTGAGGGCAAATCTGGATACGCTGAAGTACATTAGACAGGAGCAGCCTTCCATTCATTGCTAGCGCAATTTCACACGCATGGTTCATTTGGGAAATATCACCCCACATAACGGTCATCTGTGGTACGTAGAACAAATCAGGGAAGAAAAACCTTGCCTAGAGGCATGGGAAGGATGCTCTCAATTACTATGAAATTAGCACGGCCGACTCCGCCACAAAAAGGGCACAAGACAGGGAGGAGGACTGGAAAGGCAACAGCGTAAATGCAATAATTTATAGATATTGATCATCAACGTAAGGCGACACCAAAGTTCGAGACTCCTATTTCTACAATAATATTGAAACAGTCATAGAGTATTCTATAAAGTTCAGTCAAAGTTAGCAAAATCGAAGTGTAAGTGGCGACCATGGACGCCTGAGGCAGCCGCCCGCTCGCTTGGAAGAAGTCATCCGCAATGCGCAGCAATAATTGCATGCTAACTACGGAGCAGTCCGCTTAAGTAGACTTTGTCAGAGCCAGAGCCAGACTGGCTAACTTCTTCTTCCCTCAGTTAAAGATAGCGATTCCTTGAGGAACATATCTGTTCCTCAATCCCGTGCCCTATCCCCTTTCCCCTTGGGTTGAGGGTCCGATTATCGAAACTGATGTAGATTGTCTGGCCTTTGATCTACCCCTTCTCATCTCTTATCGTACCCACTGGATCTTCCGCCCCGAGTTTCAGGAGAAGAGCAAGCAATGTCACCTTCAATCCTGTGATTTCCAGGTTCTGCGTCGACCGCGTGTGCCGCTGTCATCCAGGATCCGTCTCATCTATCTTGACCACCCTTCCCTTGGTCGCTCTCCAACTGTCCTTCACGTCTCTCGTTACCGGCCAAGTCGCCGCCCCTCTTCCACCATGTTACTCAAGCCTGCAACCCCCTCACCATCCTTCTCCTGGCGGCCTTTGTTCTCTTGCTTCTTTCCGTTCTTTCCACCCCAATTATCCAGGGTATCCCTTTAGCGACTTTCAACCATGTGGACTATGGTGTCTTCGGCTTTTGCAAGGCCGGCCAATGCACCGACATCCATATCGGCTACACTACTGGTATGTGGTTTCGCCCGTACAGCAGCAGGTTGGCGGCTACCGTAGCTGACATCCTTCAGACGAAATTTCAAACACCGACAATAGCGAGTTCGATCTACCATCGAGTACTCGAAGGTCCCTATCCTCCATTCTGATCGTTCACCCGGTCGCCGCCTTTCTCACCCTCGTTTGCCTTTGCCTCGCCGCTGCTGCTCACCTACACGCCCCGTCGCACTCGCCCCGATATCTTCTGGCGCTCTTGATCCTCCTGCTTCCGACACTCCTAGTTTCCCTCCTCGCCTTCTTGGTGGACATTCTTCTTTTTGTACCGCATCTAGGATGGGGAGGCTGGATTGTATTGGGTGCCACAATTCTGCTGGTGATCAGCGGCGTGGTCACTTGCGCGATGCGCCGGACGCTGGTTAGTCGCAAAGCGAGAAAGAGGCGCATCGCAGAGAATGCCGAAATGAATGGGGAGAATTACTACAACCGACAGAATGCGGCGGCGGCGGCTGTCGCCAGCGGATTCACTGGTCCAAGATCAGAGGCCTTGAACGCCGAAACGAAAGAGGCCATTGTTACCACCTCCCCTAATTCAGAGTCCGGCCCCATGTTCGCTACCTTCCGCACGACGACACATTCTAGCGATGATGACCAAACACCTCTCAATTCTCAGGTAGCTCCCACTGATATTCCTCCGCCAGATAGTCAGTATGCTGCACGAGGCCGCGGCGATGGAATGCCCTCGAGTGCTCCTTTTGACGAGTCAAGGAACCATCCATATGCAGGTTCCTACGGCCCAGGGCCTCGGATGCGACCTGGACCTGGTGATCCTCGCTTACGCCCTCAGTATTCGGACGGCAGTATGGGGTCGCGACGAGGGCCGCCTCCCCCCGGTTTCGCTCCTCGTGGAAGAGGTGGATACCCTCCTCGTGGAGGCTATGGTCGGGGAGCTCCCTACGGAGGTCCCAGAGGACCTCCACCCAATGGTAGGGGCGGGCCAATGGGTCCCATGCGAGGAGCCCCTTCAGGTATGATGGGACGGGGGCAGCGGGGTCCAAATCCTGCAGGCTACGGTTACGGCCCCGTCTCAGGCGGCCTCAATCCTGGCTACGATGCCTACAACTACGGACCGGGCCCGAGACCGTCACAACGGCCTGGTGAAGACGGTTTCGACTATCGTGGGCCGTCACCTGTTGGAGCAGCGCGACAACCCTCACCCGGTCCAATTGGCATGGCAGTGTCGCCGCCAGAAACAGCGCCAATCGGCCAAGCGATCGAAATGACATCGCAACCCAGGCACATGGACTCTGCTGTTGAATTGGGCCCCGATGCAGTGTCGGAGGAGCAGCCACATGCGGTGTCCAACGACGGACACCCAGAGCCTCTCAGCCCTTCAAGTCTGTATAGCCGATCAGCGTGAGATATTGCCCTTCACTCAGGTCCCTTGCTCTTGCTTCTTGCTAATTTAGGCGATTCAGATCATACATACCTCCCCGTGCTGGCTGGACTCCGGCTGATCTTCGCGTTGGGCCTTCACCTTCGCCAGTTCATGCTCTTGGAGGAAACCATCCAGTTCGGCACGCTCGTTCCAATTCGGGGGACAATTACTATGAAGATGTGGATCCTCGTTTCGCTGAGCCACAGCAACCACCGGCAGGCAACCGTGCACTGCCATCTGCTCTGACTCCGGGTGCTGGTGAGCCCAAACTGATGGATGACTTGGCCGAAGCCCCTGGCTCACCTACTACTAGCGAGATAAGCCATTTCACCTCCATTTCCGAGCGGCCTATCAATCCTCGATGGCGTCCGCCGCCGCCGCCAGCTCTTCCCGCCCAGCAAAGACAAAACGTGTTGCTAGAAAACAACCCTGACTTTGATCTCCGCGCCGGCGGTATTGGTCGAGCCGGCGCTACTGGTGTCGGTGGACGCATGCCACCGATGTCGATACCCCGAGAACCCTCACGATACCCTCTGCCATGATCAACTTGGTAATTTTTTTTCTTCGTTGTTGCAATTTTGCTTTTACGCTGGCCATCCAAAAACAGCCGTGCGCGAGCTATGTTGGGTGATTGGAGTTTTGGAGTCTTCCCTGCTATTGTGTCCTTCATTCCTCTTCTTTCACCGTGCCTTTCTCGATACATTTTGTCCGCTTCTTCACGCATATGGCATTGCACATAAACCCCCTTTCGTCATTGCCCTCATATCAAGTGGACTGGCGCCATGTACAAACTTGGAACGATCCTATGTGTCAGGCAAGACCGTGTATGATGGAAACTTATTTGAAACTGTCTTGCTATCTCTCCTTCGCTTACTCTTCCCATGTGTCCTTTTCCTTCAATCCATTTGTATCCATGATACTGTCCTTTGGATCTATCATTTTGCTTGGACAGCGCTAGGGAAGTGAAATATGTGTATTCGCGGATCAAACCGCTTTTCAATCAAGTTTGGTCCTTGGTCTTGTGGAAGACTGACTGCAACCACGTGACATGACGTTGCGGATGACAGCGGTGTTGATTTCCGGATGACGGAAACATCTTGCGTAGCAGCTGCAGTGATCAGCTTGGAAAACATCTTTGTTCTCGTTCTGCGAGGGCTCAAGGGGGGTTGCTTGAATGTGGGCCGTCATTGAAGATGAATGTGCAAGCATACATTGATTAGTATGATTTCGACAGACCCGACCCAGGCTAGGGGCAGAGCACTGTGGAAATCCCGACACCATGGTCAACGAGAATTCTCAGGACGAGGCGCAGAATATCATTGAGGAAGTCCCTCATCATGCTCTTTCCGCCTGGTGGTGGCTCGCAAGCACTGCGTATCCTCTTGTAGCCGTATGTTGATGACTTTGGGAAGAAAATGATCTTAACGTCTTCCATTAGGGCACTCTAGGACCCATGGCCAGCGCGTTCAGCATATGCTCTTTGTCCCAGGAATGGAGTATGGAGTCCGAGGCGGGCAACGGACAGATCAGGGGCATCGGGGATCCGGATTGGTACGTACACGAACCCATAAATGACGGGAATTTGTGAGCTTAAAGATGTTCTAGGGTCATTGTGGTCAATGCGATATCACTTGGCTGCGCCATTATTTCGAATTTTGTCCTTTTGTGGGGAATGGCGCGGCGCATCGCGTTCTCTATTGCGCAGCCTATAATCATAATTGGCTGGTATATTTCATCCCTGCTCTTGACCTGCCTGCTGTGTATTTTTGCAGCATCGAAAGTACAAACCGGCTCGGATAGCGGTAGGCGTCGGTGGCTCACTGGATCCTACTATTATGGGGCTTTTGCAGCAGGGCTATACTTTGTGCTCTCTTCCCTTCTCCTGATTACCGTCTACGGGGCCTACCGGGGCCACTACAGCCGCGAATTTCGACTGACGACCAGCCAGCGGAGTCTGATGCTGCAAACGATTCTCTTCCTTATCTATCTCTTCGGCGGAGCCGCCGTGTACGCAAGGATCGAAGGCTGGAGATATCTCGATGCTGTGTATTGGGCGGATTTTACCCTCCTGACTATTGGTATTGGTGACTTTGCACCCAAGACGCATAAAGGTCGGGGGCTTTTGTTCCCGTACGCCGTTGGAGGTATTCTGATTTTGGGGTTGATCGTGGGCTCCATCCGCGCGCAGATGCTCGAGAAGGGACGGCAGAAGATGGCGGAAACTGTGACAGAAAGGACACGCCGGTTCCTCGTACGCGGAGCGGTATCTGACCATCAACGCCTACGCGATGTGGTCCCACGCTTGCAGCCGGAAGGGGATGAGAGCGACCGAGACCGACAACGGCGGGAGTTTCAGTTCATGCGACGTGTGCGGCAGATTGCCACGATCGAGCGAAAATGGATCTCGCTCGCCACGTCGTTGACCGTGTGGACGATGCTCTGGTTCCTGGGTGCGATCGCCTTTTGGCTCCCAGGACAGAATGAAAAGTTGACGTATTTTGAGGCGCTGTATTTTGCCTACACAACTTTGTTCACTATCGGTTATGGCGACTTTCACGCTACTTCCGAATGGGAACGGTCATTTTTTGTTTTTTGGACGTTGCTCGCTGTTCCGACGGTGACGGTGCTCATTGCCAACGTTGGTGACACGATGGTGCGGACGATCCGCGATTCCACCATCTACCTTGGGGAGCTGACCATTCTGCCTGGGGATAAACCAATCCGGGAATTGATCAAAGATATGTCTCGCCTTTCGTGGAAGGAGAGATTTCTTACCGAGGCTGTCGCGGACAAGAAGCCTGACGAGGAGGACGTTGAGGAGGCTGCCACTGCTGCCGCCACGGCAGCCGAGAATGGAGATCAGGGTGACCAGGGAGAAGAGGAGGAGCGCAACGCGATTGAGGCGGACGAACACAAGAAAGAAGAATCGGCTCGAGCACGGGGGGATGTCACTGCGGAAACAATCCATCACCACCACTACCTGTTATTCCGGGAAGTACGGAGGATGATGGACTACGCCACGCGCAATTTGCACAAGGAATTCGATTACCAAGAGTGGGAGTATTTCCTTAGTCTCATAGCCAGCGAAGGAGGTGAAACAGAGGGAGAGGAAGGGAATGCGAAATGGGAATGGACTGGTTACAAGAGTCCGTTACTAGGACAGAAAACGGAGGTGCAATGGTTGCTGGAGGCGCTAACCGAAGCGCTGGAGAGGGAGTTGAGAAAGGCTAGCCGGGGATATCACTCGCCTGAGCAGAGCGAATCTGAACAATAAGCTGACTACACGTCGATGTCGTGTGACTCGACCGCACGGATGTCTACCTCTGAGTTTGACGGCAGCCTTGGAGGAATTAATTGTGCACGGGTGCACTGCAAGAGTAACTACCGGATGATGGCCACCTGTCCTCAACGTTGGCCGCTGTTTACGCGGGTAGTACAACTACGATCTCACGTCGTTCCCTTGACGACATCTCTAGCAGACGACTGTTTCCGGCCAGCCGACTCTTGAATGAGCAGCCTATTACATGTGCGAACTATGGCATGCTATCTATTACCCGTAGCACCAACGCGTGGCAGAAATGCAGTCGATCGGTCATTCTGCTGTTGGCAAGCAGGATCTGGAGTCGACCACAATCATGAATAGATAGGCCTCACCCGCAAATGTGAAACTGAAGGTAGCACTAATAGACACCCTTTGCAGCGCCAAGGTCTTCATTGGAAGTCCGTAACTGAAGGGGATATCGTCATTTGCCGCTGGCCCGTCCCTCAGATATTGACTCTTTTAGATAAGACGATATAACGAGGGGTAGTGGGGACATGGGTGGCCCCGTGGGGTACTGGGGTCTGGAATGTGGCTATATCAATACGGACAATGTTCCGAATGGTTTCAGAGGTCCACGGACCCCCACAGTACCCAATCTAGCAGAGTTCTTGATTGAGCATCTTCCAGTACTTTCCCGATTAAACAGCTGAGAACTAGAAGAGTAGAAAAGGCGAGACGTGCACTCGGGATATGGCCCTTTTAGATATTTTAGGCAATTACCAGGATGTCCGACGGGAGCTGAGCCGCTAATGCCTAATCTGGGATCTTTCAATGCAGACTTGGCAAAGCATAACGAAAGTGTCGAACGGGTCGCCAAGTCGAACAAGATGGAATATTCCTGCTCGCAACGTAGTCTAAAGAGAGTGAATGACATCAATTGATAGTTTTCTGTCCGAATGTCCGAATATCGGAAAGCTAGATAGCTGCGCGGGTGGCGTCCACCAAGGTTCAGCGGTTCACGCTTCAAGATTCAAGAGTTCAAGATGACGGCAGCTCTTCTTACCATGCAAAGGTAATCTGAATTCTGACGTAGCAAGAGATAAACATTTGAGAGCATCCAATCAGACAATCACAGATACATGGATCTATGCTCAGTCAGAGCAAACAGTCACCAGAATAAGCAAAAGACACTGACTCAACTTGGCAAATTACGACGAGTGTACCCACCGGACTTTCTTGGCTGCAACGCCCCAAGATTCCCCCTTTTCACCAGTCAGCGTTGATCCTTGTCGTATTCAGCAAAAGCACTCTACTGGCGGACTGGCGGAGGCTGTGCAATACCGTGCATTGCAGATTTACAGTTAACACTATGTCTCAGACAAGACTCACTAAAACAACTATATAATTCTGGCCGTCTATCTTATGGCGATCCTTCCTTGGCACTGGCCTAGGGGTATTCTGATCTCTCGCCGGATGGACCAGTCTGGGCAGAATGCTCAGGATTCAGGAAGGAATTAGGCTCCCGTAAGGCCTACTTGTCTAACTTTTCTCCTTTTCTCACTTTCCCATCCTGAACCCCCCTGATAGTATCAACAGATGTCTGGAGATTTTGGGTGTGATCTAGATATTTCACGGTCTCCGCGACTGCGCCTCAGGTATCGCGAGTAGCCAAGCCCAACACGGTCAGCAATCAGCATCCACCCCAGATCATCCGTCAGGCGCCGATTGGAGTCCATGGGAAACGAGGGATGCCTGAACCGACTGCTTGGCGGTCCCCACGGTGAGAATCCAAAGGCCCAAGGAGGCCTGAAACCTTGGTTGATGCCAACAATCTGGGCGAGAATCCTCACCGCGGTTGTTATCGTGCCAAGCAGCGCCAAGAGGAATGCTTGCGATGCATCTGAGGAGATTGGCGCGGAAACTGTACACTCTGACGAGATTGGTCATATTGGATCTTTGTTCAGGAATCAGGATACCTGATACGGCAGATCGGAGGGGCGATCCCGATTCTAGACATCAGATTCTCTGCTCTTCGGCGGCCAGGCTCCAGCAGTGTAACCCTATCCTCCAGCCTCATTCGTGGTACGGTGGTGCACTGTTCCGAGCCACGAGGCAGGTGGTGGCTCGGCCATGTTCCGTTGAGGATATACAGATATTCCTGATGTGACGAGAAAGGATCGTCCTTGAATGCGCAGCATCCCACATCTTCTCAACCCAATCTTGGCTGTGTGGGATGTTTCAAGCCCGTTTGGCACGCTCCGCAGTCGGGAGGATGTATAAGAGGGGGAAGGATTTCCTGAATCCTGCGTAATGGCGATTAAGAATTATTCCTCGAGCCAATAAATAGGTTAGCAACACCACGAACAAGTTCCTTCACAGAGTCAAAAGTGTCCTTATAGATCCATAGAACATGGCCTTTAACGTTCCACCTCAACCGGACGACTCCAAGGACCGACCCGGTCTTTGGTCTGTCGGGCACAGTACCGCTGTCTCACTTCAGCCCGCCGATGAGATTTCCGGCTCGGAGGGTTTCCGCTCGACCCTCGTCCGGCACTTTGCTGCCGACATCAACACCAAATATACCGATCTGCTCCTCATCGTCTGCGGCTTCGTGAGCGGTCTCGTCGATGGCCTGTGCTTCAACGCCTGGGGCAGTTTTGCCAGCATGCAAACCGGTCCGTGACCAAGTTCCTTTTTGAATACCAATCAACCACTGACACACAGCGTGAAGGAAACACCGTCTTCATCGCCCTGGGCGCCAGCGGCCAACCAGTCTACCCAGCCTACCTCTGGGCCAAGTCCCTCGTCGCCGTTGCCGTCTTCATCCTCTCCATGATCGTTTACATTTACTTCTCACGTCTGCTGGGTCCCCGCCGCCGCTCGACCCTCATCCTGTCCTTCAGCGCGCAGACCCTGGCCCTCCTGGCCGCGGCCATCCTCGTCGAAACCGGCACCGTCAGCCGGCGTCCCGAGGACCCTCGCGCCCCTATGCAATGGATGCAGGTTCTCCCCATCTCGCTACTTTCATTCCAGGCCGCAGGTCAGATTGTGGCGTCACGAATCCTGTCCTACGACGAGATCCCGACCGTGGTGCTGACGACTCTGCTGTGCGACTTGCTCGTCGACAAGGACCTGCTGGCGCGCGGGTGGGCATCCAACCCGCGGCGGAACCGCCGCGTGGGCGCCTTCCTGGCGCTCTTCCTGGGTGCCATGACGGCGGGAGGGTTGAGCAAGGCGACGGATATGGCTGCCAGTCTGTGGTTTGCGATGGTGTTGAAGTTGGGAATCGTCGTTGCTTGGTTTGTATGGAAAGCCGAGGGAAGCAGGAGGCAGAGCAAGGGGGAGGTTTGATCTGTTTTCTTTCTTTCTTTCTTTCTTTTTGCAAACGACTTTATGACTACCTGTGACGTTTGGGATGGATTCATTGTCGAGCGAAGCGTACTGTTGACTTTAGCATGCGGGCATCTCCCTTTTCTTTCTGTCTTGGCGTTCAACCTGGTTGGTCCGATCAATAGATTTCCGGCTTTTTGATTGATGCGAAAACGCAGTGACGTTGCTGTACTAGTTGCTCATCTATGATGGAGTAGAGGGGTAGATAGATACTCCCATAGTTAAGCTATTTATCATCTTAGTCAAGCACTTGATACGGAGTATAGCCTCATGGGTGCTAGGGAGAGTCTCCCAGATAATAAGTACTCTTTTAATAACTACTATATGATTTATAGTATCCTATCTTCCCAATACACAGCATAAGGGGGTTATCTGTCCCTGCCCCCTCTTAAATATCTACTTACGCCCCCTCTCTAATGTTCCACTTCCCCAGCTTCTCACGCTGGAACCTAACTCCTAGGTACCTTGGCTACCATACAAAAATGTAGGATACCTAGGTTCCCCCTATGAGGGTGCTGATTAAGTATTGAACCTTTTCAGTTGAATATCTCCTGCTTAGCATACTGCTTTGCTCCTGCAGGCTTACACGGTTGCGCTCGCAACAGCTTATACATATATTTGTTCTTTACATTCCAGCACAGGATACTCTCATCGCCTCGGTCCAACACAGGTAGCTTAACCGAGGCTCGTATTCAGCATAAATGACCCCCCAACTCAATAAAAGACAATCGACTAACTAATCCAAACCATCTACGGAGTTATAAAATGGCACAATCAGTACTCACCACGGCAGAAGACGGCATCACAACCATCACCATCAACCGCCCCACCGCCGCAACGCCGTCGACCCCCAACCGCCAAAGCCCTCTACAACGCCATTCTCGGCTTCGACGCCGACCCGCCCAGAAAATCTGCATCCTAACCGGCGCAGGCGGGACCTTTTGCGCCGGCGCAGACCTCCACGCTGTCGCCGCAGCCGGAACCGGATCCGGATCCTCCCCGTCCACACTGAGCACCACCCAGGAGAACCTCCAACCTGTCCCTGTCTCGTCCAACACAGACGGTCATGTCCAATCTCTAGGGCCAATGGGCCCTACGCGCCTGCACATTTCAAAACCCCTCATTGCAGCGATAGCCGGCCACGCCGTCGCAGGCGGGCTGGAGCTCGCACTGCTGGCTGACCTGCGCATCGTCGAGGAGGATGCCGTTCTGGGTGTCTTCTGTCGGCGGTGGGGCGTCCCGCTTATCGACGGCGGGACGGTGCGGTTGCAGGCGATTGTGGGGTTGGGACGGGCGCTGGATCTGATACTCACGGGTAGGGGAGTTGGTGCGCGCGAGGCGCTGGGGATGGGATTGGTGAGTCGGGTTGTTGGGAGGGGCGGGCGGTAGAGGAGGCGAGGGTGTTGGCGAGGGAGTTGATGCGGTTTCCGGAGCGGTGTCTGGATGTTGATCGGGGGAGCTGCTATTATAGTGCGTATGCCGCGGGGTCGATGGAGGATGCGCTGCGGAGGGAATTTGAGATGGGGTCCAAGGTGTTGGCGACGGAGAGTGTGCGTGGGGCGGCGAGGTTTAGGGATGGCGAGGGGAGGCATGGGAGGTTTGAGAAGTTGTAGCGTAGCTCATGTCTTCTAAGTTATGTTGTTGTATCCAAGCCATCCTGCAGTGCAATAAGACTCGTCCAAATTCGAGTGCCTCGACTTCTAGACTTCGTACACGGCGGACAGTCTAGCCACTAGTCTTTTTTCACTACATGGACCAGACTGTCGGCAATGATGCTATTAGCGTCCATGATGTCTCACTCTCATGCTATCATATTCATAATAATACTAGCGGAGTATGTGAAGATCTCCACCGAAGAAGCTTCGCCATGGGGGGCGGTGTTAGCGTTGGCCCCGGCAGTGGAGCCATGATCAAATTCAACATCAATCGTTGCTGCTATGATAAGCGCCAGTGACGCTTAAATGTAGGAAATCTTAAACAATACTCATTGCTTCAAAGCACAGACTCTGGTACGCAGATACTAATTCTTCAGAATGAAAGTTGATCTGGGAAAAAAAGAAAAAAAGAAATTGCAGATCTATACCCTCTTCTGGCCAATCATACAACAGTTGAAATTCTGCTCAATATCGTTGGCCAGTTGACGGTATCCACAAGGCAAATACTAAAAATAGGCTTATATCAGCCACACGCTAGCCGGAATTGGACAAGTGTTTACTGCGGCGCAAGGATTTGCAATTGGACGCGTAGGCACCAGGCAAGTCAGGCATTTACTATGATCACGAGGAAGGAATAAAAGCTTCATTTGCACTTCGCTTCGATTTTTCCAAATTATTCTCAAAGTGCACAACATCAAAAATGGCACCGTATGCAGCCCTCGCCAGAAGCGTACTCGAGGAACAGGCTTCACAGCCTCATCTCCTCAAGCGAGATCTCTCCGTCAACCACACTCAAGCAGTAACCTTGGGCGTTATGGGGGCGTACGTCGTTGTCATCGCACTGCTCTGGAACCTCCCCTACGTCCGCTGGTCATTATGGCCTTTCAAGGTACCATTTGCCTACCCTCATTTTACCATCTGCTTAACTAAATGACAACAGATGCTGGTCATCGCCTTCCATGAATTCGGCCATGCCATCACCGCATGCTGCACAGGAGGCAGAGTAAAGTCCATCTCATTAGACCCCCACGAAGGCGGCGTCACGCACATGCAGGGCGGTATCAGCGCCATCACCCTGCCAGCAGGATACCTAGGCTCGTCCATTATCGGTGCTCTGCTGATCTTTGCTGGGTTTGACATTGTCGCAAGCAAGGTGGCGAGTATTATCCTGGGGGTGTGCTTCTTGCTTACGCTGTGGTGGGCGCGGAGGGACTGGCTGACTATCGTGACGATTCTGATGGCCGTCGGGTTACTGGTTGCGTGTTGGTTTATCGTTCATGGGGAGGCGTTGCGGTGGGTTGTTGTATGTTTTCCCTCCTGTCCTTATTCTGCTGGCCATGGTGCTAACCGCCGTAGCTATTTATCGGAGTCATGTCAGCGCTTTACAGCGTCTGGGATATTGTACGTCCTTTCGACTCTTCTTGAAAAGCTCAGGCTAACGTGAACAGTGTGACGATCTCATTCTCCGCAAAGTCAATACTTCCGATGCGAGTGTCTTCGCGCAGAGATACGGTGGCTCTTCTCGCTGCTGGGGCGTCATCTGGTCCCTTATTTCCCTGGGGTTCATGGCTGTTGGCATTGTGGCTGCCATCGCGGCGTTTCCCCAGTCGTTCAGCGAGCAGCAGGAGCAATCTAAGCATTTCATTCCGACGCGGTGAACTGTGAGCTTAATGGCTATGAGTGATGATAATGATTGACCTTTTCTTTTTTTGGCTGTCTGTCCGGTGATGTTTGTTTTGCATGTATAGAATTCGTCTTTGTTTACTTGAGACCGCAGCCTAGAGCAACCTGTCTTGCCGAATGCGGAATGTAATATTACCATTAAGTCCACACCCAGTCTAGCATGATATACTACTATTACAACCAATTCTCTCGAATACAGATTCCACTACCTCCCCACTGGAACATGCCTCACACGAAGCTTCACCCACTGTGTCCCCTCCGGCAGCGCATACTCATCTCGATCAAAGTACAACGTCCACGACCTTCTCACTCCACCTTCAGATTCCGAGATCCCCAGCTCCAACGCCTCTTGCTCTCGGGCTTGCTGCTCCGGCAACTTTACAGCCAGCCATCTCTGCCGTTGTTCAAGCGTGACATATCCACTCTCGACATCGAGCAGATCAAACGGTCCACAGATATGGCCCTGTGTATCCCCTTTCCCTCCATAGCGCATCTCATTCGTCTCAGCATCTAGAAACACCCATCGAGCGAGAGGCGGTGTCTCCCCGCCTAAAGTGATCAGTCCGGAGGAATTATCGGGTGGGAAGTCTGGGTGCGTGTAGAAGTGGCCGTCGAAGGGGGTCATTGTTGGAGTTGGGTGTTTCGTTACATACAACTATGAATTATAGTAAGCAATAATTTAAGGTGAGTATGGGCTGAGTACCGTACCTTTCCATCTTCGAGATATACCCGTGCATCGTGCAGTTGGTCTCGCTGTTCCGGCGTTTCTTCGTTCGAGTAACATTCTGCGAGGAGATGGCCCCGTTGGCGCTTGGCTTGTTGGAGGCCGGCTGAAGGGTTCTTAGAGCTCTGGTCCATGTTTATCATTGCTGGGGCTATGGCGCCCATTAGGGCGAGGCCGAGGACCATGATATGGATCTTATGGTGAGGCAGTCAAATGGTGTTGTTGGTTGATTCGGGTGGTTAACCGTATGGGAATGACATCTACTGCCGGCTCACAAAGCTAATAATAAAGTTAACTTTCAAGTGACGGTGATCAATTGACAGGACAATGCGGTTGTCCATGGTGGTTGTGGTTCTTCAGGTACACCTTGCCGCTGATCGACGGAAACGGAAATGGAGGTATCCCCACAACGCAAGATGCAACATAACCCACGGATGATATAGAGAGATTTTCCCGTTGTTGCTCCATTACTTTATCTTATCTTCGCTCGTTGCTGTCGTTGTTTCTACAGGTCTAGACTTCCATATCTCACTCTCAAACCACAGAATGGGCGATCGAAAATGGCAGGATGCTCCAAGGTATGTATCAAGTCAGGACAATATCTGTGCTATAGCTGATAAGACCAAGTACCCCAGCAGAAATCCAAGACGAACCAATGCAAGAAAGCACAGAAAAAACCGTGGTGGTCAAACCAACTGGTAGCGAACCGGCCGCTGAATCAACGACGAAACGGGACGATGGCAAGAGGGAGAGTATCAACATCAAGATCCATCTGAATGTCCATGCCAAGGTAAAATTGGACTTGGACGCTCAGATAGATGGTGATATCATCATTGGGTTATATTGAACTTCCGGGGTTTCGTTGCTGATGTGTCATGGAACTTTGTATGGATATGATGTTCAGAGGGTGCTTCAATGTTGATATTGGAACCTGGGGGTGAAAGAGGCGAGTTGCCTAGGCTTGAGAGATATACACTCATGAATGATTCACTCAGTGCTTTCTATCACGCGTCCAACGCTAGAGCTGGAGACTGTATACGCGTCTCGCTTAGGACCACGCTATTTTCTATCCCATTCACTGATGTTTGTATGCACGTGAGTTGTATAAGGCTCATATCACTCTTCAGCTTTCTTCATGCCTCCTCCCCAGCTCAGTTCACATTGGCAGTCCCAAAATGGAGAGTGAGTGCCGGTGCAAAGGTGCCAATAAGGACTTCCCTGCTGGAAGCGTCATGAGAAAGTTCGAAAAAGCCACTTTCCCAATCGCAGGGCGTCTCTATCGCTTGAAGAAAATCCTCTGGGAGCGTTACAATAGCGATTACCATCAGCGCAGGGCCATGTTCGAAGCAGAGGAATGCGAGACCAAGGATTCTGTCGTCGTCAAGTTCTTCCTGGAGTATGTCTTCTGCCCTCTGTCTTATCCAAGTCTGGTCACTAACTTCATCAACATAGGGCAGACCCATTCATGAGAGAAGAAGAGAGAGGCAAGCGAACTATGAAAAACAATGCCGCTGAGCTTTTCCGCAACGAATGCGAGATCTGGAGAACCTTGTCAGACACCGGCTATACTCCCAAGTACTACGGCAAGAGGGAGATGCATCAGGACTTGACTTTTGAGAACCCCGGCGGATACCTGTGGATACTGGTTCTGGAACACTTTCCGACCTTCAGTCTGGCCGACGCGCCTCAATTCCTGAATGCTGATGAGCTTCCGCGCATCGAGAAACAGTTGCTTGATATGGCTGTGTAAGGGCGGTGGATCTTCCGTGTTGTCTTGAGACAGGCTGACATGTTTATCTGATAGTAAGTTCAACAAGCGCGGTCTCGATTATGTTGGCGTTTCCTTTCTCAAGTTTGACCCGGAGGCGAGGAGAGTGTATGCCATTCCTCTTGACACGAGGTTCTCGACACATAGCTGACAGCGTTAGGTATGCCACGGACATTGAATACTTCAGGGAGACAGAGGTTCGCGATGACCCCGTAGCGGCAAAGAAATCAGCAGCGGATTGGGTCATTGTCGTGATGGGTGCCCTCAGAGCTGGTGTAGAAGAGATCAGAGGTCTTTCGCCGATGGACGAATATATCGACCTTGGGGATATTGGGCACTTTGCGAGTGACGGTGACTGAAACTAGGAGCATGAAGATTGGATCTTTGGAGGATATGATTAGGTTGGAAGCATAGAACTGTTGGATTGGAGGGTGGATGTCATCTTGCATGAGTCGAGGGTTTAATAGGAAAGTGTTAGAATTCTCGATCCGGAAACTGTCAGCATAATTAATTCGACATGCTCTCCTGCTTCTCCTTGTCCGTTCAAAGTCTGCGGATGCATGACTGGCTATGATGAACACTACAGATCGTTTGCATACGCTTCTCAGCGCTCAGAACCACATTTTCCTCTACAAGCCTCATGCAAACTTGTCATCCGGCCGTAATCAAATGCTCAGTTGAGTCACGGTCGTGCAGTTCGCCGAGCCCAACAGGGTCATCAGAAGACAGACTACCGTAAGGGTCTGGGTTCATTGAAATTTCCTGACTTGAACTCTGGGATGGATAGTCTGGAGTTTATACCAATACTCTGCGACATCCCGGCTCGTTGGCAACAGACTATTTCAGCCTTATTATAGTTGATCCACCAAGTTGACTATTTGAGTATGATCTGACAGCGGGTCGGTGGGACTACACGATCAACAAGATTAGCCAAGAGACAAACCTGATTTGGGGCCAGACCCACGGCGATGCGCAATTGTTTCATTATTTTCTCATTCGGTTGTGTTGGAACATAGCCCTCGGCTGGTTTGAAGTACAGATGGTTTGATCTCTATCAATCCTCAAACTGCAACACTCCCTGACGACAAATAACGAGAGAAATTCGGCAAGATCCTTCAATGGAGTGAACGAATATGAGCCACCCTGTTCTAGATCGTGTTCGCCATGCTTTGCATAAAAGAAGACATTCCCGTTCGTCAAGAGGAAGATCCACTATGTATGTTCAGTCACGGAGCAGCTAGAGTGCATACAGCTGATAAAGGTTTTTCTTAGCAACTCCCCCAAACAGAGGAACTCAGTCTGGGAGGGAATACCAGTCAATGTCCTTACTCAGATACTGGTACACTGCTCACTCACAGATATCTATTCTTTGATGCTGTCCTGTCGGGTGCTGTACAAGCGAATCCATCAAGAAGAGTATGCGATATCCCGCGAGTATCTTCATTATCGAAAGCGCCAATATCTGCAGAGCAGCGACTGCTCTCCAGGAGACGACCTGACATTCATCTCTGATCTTTTCCCACCCCAACCACCGCAGTACTCTGCTAGCAGGTCGCACGACGAATTCCCCCAATATTCCTTCGGCTATCTCGCCGACCTAACTCGCTGCTGGGTGACTTGCCTCAGGTTGTCATACTATCTAGCCGAGTATGCTGTTCGGCATCATCTCCAGCACGATTCTGACGCTCAGCCTCTTTGGTCAACCTGCAAGACCGAAAAGGAAGTTATCTACAGCAGAGGCGTTGGCGTGCTTCAATCTCGCTTATTGTATCCCTTGTACGTCGACCAATTGACCCCCATGCCACCCTTTAACCCAGCTTTAACATCTCCAGGGCATACATCGCATTCTTCCTCGAAACCTACGCAGCAGCTCGCGATGCAACAAGGGAAACTGGGAAGGGGAAGCACCATCATCTGCACCATTCGCTCGAAGAGCAACAGTCCATCCTCCAACGGCCCCCATTCACAACGACCGAGGTCCTCCTCTCCACCCACCACTGCATGCATCTCCTCTGCTCTTCTGTGCGTCACCTGATGACCCCCGAATTCCCACACACTTCAACCGGAAGCTGGGTCAGTATTCTCCTCACGACATCCACCCTCGAAAAGATCCTAGATTTTCTCAGCGCGGCAGCGGACGGCCAATCCGCAAAAGCGCAGCACGCGCACGCCAGGAACGTACAAAGCCATCCTCACACGCGCGCTCAGCACGCACATACCGGGAATGTATCGTCCACCTGGACGAAACGGAGGGAGTTCCTGTTGCGGATGCGAAACGACTGGGAGGAATACCTAGCGTCTGTGGGAGGGGACCAAACGGCCGCTGCCGCTGACGAGCAGGCGCTGGCCGCTCCTCCTGATCTAAGGCAGGTATGGTTTGAGGCAGCTGAGAAGGAGATGTATCGACGAGGTGTGATTACGCATCGCCCTGAGGATCCAGTTCACATTCTCCGTGGGTCGTATATAAGGCTACATTGTGAATTCTGTGATGACCAGTATTGAGATGTGAACTTGAGCAGTGTTGCAACAGTCCTTCTATTGACAGAAGGCAGCCGTGGATTATGCAGTAATGGAGGACTATACGTACATGTCGACGCTCAAATCGACTAAGTATTTGCAGACTAGCAACATAATATTGACATCGGCTCATAATAAGCGATCATAGGAAAGTCTAGCCAGAGCACTGTAAATAGAAATAGCTCCATGTTCAAGTGAAGAAAGATATGCAACATGCGTCCGAGCGCGGGGACGACGTGTCGAGCAAGAGGCCAGAGCCCATAATAATACATTAGAAACAAATAAGGGGTATATCTATCCGGCTATCAAAACCCAGAGAAGGAAGAAAATCTGTGATTGTCTCGTTAGCTTCCGCAATGGCATCAAGAAGAGAGAGAAACGCACCATAAGGACACCAAACATCTTGGCGATCAACCATCGGTTACCGGATACCCGGTTCCAGTACTTCATCAACTCGCGCTGGGCGCCTTCGACATTGTCCACCACGTCTTCGGTGTTGGCATCGATCCGTTGAATCATCTCTGACTGCTCACTGACCATCTGAGCCAGTTGGCCGAAGATCCCGCCGAGTTCACTGATGGTGCGTTCGATGGCATCAATGGCTTCGCCTCTGGCCTGAATGTACGTGTTGTTTGTCTGCGCCTCCTCCATCACCAGTAACTGCTGATCCGTCTGGAACGATGGACGTCCAAGTGGCGAGGGATTCGAGGGATCGAGCGTCAATAGATCCGAAGAACCTCCTTGGAAACCTGGTTGTGGCGTCCTCCGTCCCGAGGGGTTGTACAGTGGAGAGTCCGACCGTTGCGGATCCAAGACCTGCGACTTGGACGATACTGAAGAGACAAAGTTTTCTGTCCGAGATCGCGACGCTTGAATATTCTTCGTTCGGACCTCGAGGACTTCTTTGAAGTTCGCACCGACATCCGCCAGCTTTCCTTGGAGCATAACCACGACCTACGTTGCATTAGCGTTGCGCAAGCCGGCCACTCGCAGTCCACTTACATTGTCATTGTGCTCGCCTTCCTGATCCGCTTTTGATCGATTCGTCTTTGGATGTTGCGATAATGTAAGCGCTTGCAGCGAAGCAATTTGCTGGTTCAGCGACGCCAGGTCCTGTTTGATGACGTAGGTCAACTCCGAAATCTCGACAGGTCTATCATCGAAGAGCGTCTTGCGCTTCGCCACTACGTTGAGATCAGCAGATGAAAGAATCCCATCGGCAACCAACTACTCACACTCAGCCAACCGTTGTAGCTTCGCGGTTGTCGCTGTGATACCTCGTCCAATCTCCGCGGCTCTCCTAGCAAACTCCGACCGGCGTTTGCTTTGTCCTTGCCCATCTGTGCCTGCGTGCGCCTGTCTCCGTTGCGAATCCGACAGCAGTGCTTGACGTTGTGAGCCGACTTTGGAAGTCGTGAGGCGTTTCTGGGCCTGCCCGAGGATGGCCTGGAATTCGCCCGTGCGATCCTGAATGGAGGGACCGACCATTTTCAAGGTCGCAGATTCGTAGTCGCCGCTATATTATGCGAGTCGAGGCGGCTGGAAGTTGAGAAATAGGCTAGGATGCACTCCGTAGAGGTCGAGCTAATCGATAAGGAGAAGGCAACAGTTGAGGCGTATCCGGCGTTAGTCAAATAGGGGTAGTAAACAAGTAAACATCGAGTGAGTCGGGATTAGCAGTGGATTAGGAAAGTCTAGGGAGTATCATTTCGTCAACGCCATGAACAGGAGTATTGATCTGGCCAAGAAAGACGTCCGTCCTCTGTCACTCTCTATGGGGGCGGATTCGTGTCATTCCGGATGGGGGAAAGTGTGGCGGTTCTCCACGTGACATAAACGCCACTTGCACAGCCACTAGAGCCACACTTGTTCCCCAGGCCGCATCAGGCCGCAGTTTATTTTAAGTACCAGGGGTACCTCTCTATCATGACCGGTAGAGGGGGAAAAACAACAATCATCGACTGTCGCTGAGGGAGAGACTCAAGTTCTCAAGAAGCTGATCGGCAAACTTACCTTTCACAACTCGCTGTTTTTGATACACTCCTTATCCGACATTGACACGTCGCCGAGGCTGAGCATCAGGTGCTGTCGCAATCCGATCGTACCCACGTCATCTTGTGAAACATACCGCATTTCCTCTCTAGGTAGACTTCGTCGAACTCGATCCACGGTCCAGCACAACCTATCTTGATCTCGACAAAATAGCCTTCATCATCGGGATATCCTTCAGATGTGCCTCCTATGTTGATTTGCTATTGCGCTATCTTTAGTCCCACTTTGTTGATGCTGCCCAACTCTCCATTTCCCTCCCGTGCCTGTAGCAATGGCTCGTCCACTTCAAGTTCCCTACGAACCGGAGTATGAGACGCTGTAAGTTCACTTAAGACGGCATATATTGGGCTCGGCTGACTGATGCTGTCCGGACATACAGCTCATCTCCCAGTACCACTACTCCAGTGGCACCACAAGCCCGCGGTGGAACCCCCATTTCGTTCAAAACAAATGTTAACCGCGCAAAGACCAAGCGTTGGGTCGAGGCGAAGAAATATTCATACGATGGGAATGACTGGGGTGACGATGACTACGAGGAATACGACGATGAGCCGCTACCGATGCCCCAGCCGGCAAGCTTCAGCCAAAGCACCAACGACCTATCCAGAGTAGCTCCTCGGGATCCGTTAAGACCCCCGCTACCCAGCATGGATCGATCACGCTCAATGGATCAGGTGGCAACTCTCGGTGTAGGACCTGCTGGAAGTCGCAGTCAGTCGGCGGACCGCAATGCTGTCGAGGGCTCTGCGGGCAGTGCTCCCTCGAACAAGCCTCTGCCTTTCGTGCGACCTGCCGACATCTACAAACGCATGCAAGAGAGACGCCAACAGTCGCCAGGTACCCCTCGGAATGGCAGCCCCTCCGGTCCGGGCCGTTCCCACACTGAGCCTATTTCTACATCTCAGCCGCCTGCAACCGCGGATCACGACCTTCAATTAGGTCCGGGATCTAATGCGCCGAACGATGTCGATCACGGCAAGGTTGACGACCCAAGTGCCACTCCAAGAACCGCGCCTGGTGCCGCAAGCCTTGAGCTCCCCGATGTCAGGGGAATTTCTGGCTTCGATGCTGACTTTTTGGCTTCGGATTCAAGCGTGCAGAAAGAGCAGAGCTCCGATTCTCAACAAACCCATCAGCTGCAGCACAACCCGTCGCTCGGGTTCCGTTCAGTTGTACACCAAGCATTCGACGTTCCCGACACTCCAAGCACAACTGTTGACAGCGTTGCACGATCCAATAGTGACAGCACGTCGGTCATTAGTCCCATCATAAGTACTCGCGGTCCGAACGAAGAAAAGACGCCAACAATCGTGGAGGAGCCTGGTGAAATCTCCACACCGAGAGATACCAACGATCAGGCCATGGTATTTAAGCCTGGTCATCGGCGAGATCTTAGCCTTCCCAGTCCGGGTAACAGCCCTTCGAGGAAACCGATCATCAATAACAGCGCCGAGGCAACTCCTCCCTCCGTGCTGGCAGAGATGTCATCGGAGACGCCTGCAGACTCCCCGCGAGACAGTTCCTCTTCGTTTCAACAGCCGCTGCCACATAGAGCCTCTGTGCTCCTGCCTCAAACTGGTTCCGACAGGGACCTACCAGCGCCCCTCAACTTTGGCGCCAACCCAGCTGCCGACTCCCCCATCAAAAGTCATGAAGAAATTCCAGTGATTATCCCTTCAAACAGCGCAGAAACTTCACCGCAGGACACCGAGAGCGATCGGTTGAGAAAGGAGATAATTCGCTCCTTGAGCCGGGAAACCACGCCCTCAGCGGAAACAGAGCAGCAAACTCCTAACAGGCCGCAGGCTGCTCGACAAGACACAGAGACCAGCCGGCCAGACAGTCTAATACCCAGTGAATACGAAAGATATTGGAGCGAGCAAGTTGAATCAAGCCCTCAGGATTTACGACCGCCAGCCCCTGTCTACGGTGCTTCTCAGAATGTCTCGCAGCAGGATCTGTACACCAGTTCGCCTGAGAGTGCTCCGGCGCCCACTGCACCTTCTCAGCCTACTTCAGAACCTAAGTTGAAGCGACGGTTCTCGTGGGAATCATCGTCAGAGGAGGAGAAGGAGGAGGTACCTCCAGTGGACTTGCAGGCGGCTTCACCGTCGGCTATCCCGATTCCAGGACAATTCCCTGTGGGCAACGATGCGACTGAGCTAGCGCCAGAGACTGCCCCCAACGAGTCGGAGATGGCAACGGACAGAGGTCACGAAGGTGACGTCCAACAGACGCCTGAGAAGCCTAAACTCACCCTAGTGACTCCTGCTGCCATGGAAAATATCAGCGACTCAAATGAAAGCTACCTGCCTGAAGTCATCAATCGTCAAAGTTTAGAGGAGCGATCCCCATTGCCTGAGCCCAAGATGCCTCCCACGGTTGAGCCGACATTGTTGGGCTTCCGGGACATTATGGGGAAACAATCCTCCGATGAGCGAGTACGAGCTTTCGACCGTACGCGGGACCAGTTCGCGACAATCGATACTGGGTTGAAGAATTGGTTACAGGTGGTGATTCGTGCCCATCCGGAGCACATGGATGTTGTGGAGCAGAGCATAAAGGCTCCCTCTGTCGAGCCTAAAGCGGTCGTATCCAAAGGGAAATTCCCGAAGCTGTCGTCTCTTGGACACTTCACCTCAGCAAATCAAGATGGCCCTCCGTCTGGACCGGGCCACGCACGACGCCCATCTGCGCCGCTTGGTTCGATCATGAATAAACAACAGGTTGAGCAACGCGGGAAGGACCTGTTACATACCGCGGGAGCCCTGGGCGGCCGAGCAGGCGAGGCCGCAAAGGGTCTCTTCGCCAAGGGCAGAAATAAGCTGAAAAGAGGGGAGTCAGAAAAGGTAGATGCTTAATTTCTTGGTTTCGGTTTGGTGGTCATGCATTTATTTATAAGCACGTGAGAGCGGAGGTTGTGGTCTATATACGATTCTCCCTCGCTGCATCCGTCTTCTTTCTCTCTGGTCCTGTCTTGCTTATTCTATTCTTTGATACCATGGTGTAATGAACATATGCAGTCCCCAAATCAGAATGGACATGATTAATGCTTTCCCAACTATTGTCAAATCTATCGCCGATGATTTGTCTGTCACCTCTAATTGCGTGTTGATCAGTAGGGATTCCACCGCGTGCGCGGTTATCGCAGAGAAATCCAGCTTTCAGACTTTCAACCTGCCATAGACCAATATGAAGCTGAGAGTATGGCTCTCAAGCGGAATACTGTGCAGTTTGCGAGTTTACCCATCATCAGACGGACAGGAGCCTTGACCGAGTCGACGCAACTAGCCTGGGACGTAGAGCTGCAGCATGCAGCGGCGAGTGAAAGTAGACGACGAAGTGCTGATGATATCAATATAGCATTTTTACATCGCCAACTGAATACACAGGGACGTATACTTAGAAAGCCATTGCCCAGTGAGATGATACGATGCTCGCATTCCAAGGCGCCGTCGAGTTCTTCTGCGACAAAAGCTCAACTACCAAGCATTTTGAGAAGAAAAACAGTGTCAACGATGACACCGATCTATCGAAAGCCTCTAAAAAGCGACGATAAGCGCCGATTCCCTGTCGATGCAACCGTAGCGACTCTAGCGACAGGCTATTACGTGGACGCGAACTGTGGGAAAGAGGCTGGCCTGACACAAGCAAACGCCAAGCCACAGGAACGAGGTGAATTGTTGACGGCTCCATACCAGAATGCTGCATTTTATTCCGGCCTCAGCGACAAGATCACCAATAAAAATGCAATTGGCCATGGAAAGATGAGTCCTGGTGTTGCAGAAGACGCAGAAGCACCGCCACCTGCGGGCGCTCATCTTCTAGACCATATCTGGCGGGGCTTAGAGCAATCCCCCCCGTCGACCTTGCAACTAGTACAAGGCTCTCTGTTCCACCTCCTCTTCGTCGCATAAGCGTTCCCTCCGTCTCCTCGCTGGGCACTCTAGAGGCGTATTCGGGCCTGCAGCCATCATCCAGGCTGGGACTGGGTGAGTGGAATTCGAATTTGACTTTCCTCTTATATCTTTATTCAAGATGTCCCCTATAATGATTACCTCGCAATGAGCACTTACTCCGAATACGAGCTGAGCTGACCAAGTCCCCAGCACGGCCGTCCCAATCTGCAAGAGCAAGAGCAGAGATTAGTCTTAATCTTATTGGCGTCGGTCAACCCGCAAATCTTAATCCCAGCGACATGCTGAGTCCCGCGAATCAGACGCCTGTTCCTAGTGTTGCTGGCACGGCTACCACTCCGAGTCCTGGCCTCAGCCGTTGGCATGCTCGGAAGAGCCGCGTTGAGGCTGAAATTTTCACTCATTCCAGGGGTGTCAGCGATTCGTCTGCGCACCCTGCTTTTTCTTATGAATCCGGCTCTGTCGCTGGCTCAAGCAGCCCGCGGACAGGTTCAAATGCACAGGTCTCGCAGGATGACCTCTTTGACGCTGACCTGGCTGCAAGAGGATCGCCTCCACGGAAGCTAGCATCTCCCAAGAGCAAACCGCCCATGGAGAAGTTTAGATTGTTCAGACGGAATCGGGGTCCCTCGTTTTCTGATGAGCCTTCGCCCAAAACTGACCGGTCGCGTCGCGGAGCTTTTGATAGGCTGGGTGTAAGTTAAGCCCGTATTCTTGGCTGACTGCATCAAGCTGATATCCCAACTAGGCATGGTTTAGTCGTTCTCAACAGCAGCAGCAACAGCAGCAGCAAAATAAGGCTCAGGCGCATGGACGTGCTCCCGAGTCATCTGTTGCGCAGACAATGGAATGGCTTCGTCCGGTGTCGTCGCATCCAGCACCGGGCCATACACGCTTCTACTCAGACGACCGGACTGGTCGTGGTCGGCGCCGGTCAAACGTGGAGAGTCAAACATCGTTCGATGGACAACATCCACCGCCAGAGGGATACTTCGCGCCCGAATCCTTCTCTCGCTTCAGGCGCTCGCCCCGGGCCTCCAAGAGCAGCCAGCAGTTAGCATCTGCAGCAGCGGGATCTCTATCCCACCAACCTGACAGCCGACTCGCTCCACCGGACAGACTGCCTTCACCCGCAGGCTCCTTTTCATATAGCGGCAGGGTCTCCCCGCAATCACCACCACCACCTGCTCCTCCACCACACCTCCACCTCCACCACCAACAACAACAGCAACAGATGACCCTACCACCAAGCCCCATCATCCCCAACTCTCTCCACAACTCTCTCCGCAATTCTCTCCACAATTCTCTCCACCACCGCACCTCACATCCCCCATCCCCCAAGCTATCCCCCGCACGCCGCCCTCCCGCGGCCGCAGCGTCGACCGCGCCTACACCCAAGACCTCCACATCCGCTCTCGCAGCCCCAATACCTTCCCCCACGCCCGGAAGAACGCAGCTACCCAAGCACCGACACCTCCGACCCAGCCAACAACCTAGGAACCTTCCGCAGCAACCCGCGCACCAGCCGCATCGGGGACCAGGAACTCCCCTGGAAGCTCACGCTGCCGAGCGACTCGGACGAGGAGCACGCCGCCGGCGCCGGCGCGGCCTCGGCCGCGCGCGAGGGTGAGGGAAGTTGGCTGGAGAGTACCACGCAGCGGCTCCTGCAGTCGTCGCGGCTGCCGACCTACGAGGAGGACTCGGAGGTGCACGGGCAGCCGCAGCGGTCTGTTGTTGCGGATGAGAAGGCTGCAGCTGACCAAAATGGGGATCAGAGTCGCGAGCAAGTGCAAGGGCAGAGTCAGCGCCATCCGCACCGCGGTGAGGCGAGGGCGATTAATCCCGACGATGCACCGGTGGAATTGCCGGTGCAGTGGGATGATGACTCGGGCGAGGAGATCACCATGTCGAGTACGGCGTATCCGGGGCAGGAGTGGAAGCCGTTGGGATTCTCGGGGTGGGAATACTAGGATAGAATACCCTTTTTTGGGCTTATGAGTGATGACGATGATTATGGATTGGATTTGGCGGGAGTTTTATGGTCGGTATGGGATGATATATAATTCGGATTCTTGATACGGTGCGTTTGTCTACAAGTAGGATAAAAAAGAAAAGAAATGAGACTTCACAACTCTATCATGTATGTTCATGTTCGTCTAATCGTATAATACAACCGAAAGGAGGGGAGAGGATCTCCGGACAGAAATCTAGCCCTCGAAAATGCTCTGGTTCAAATCCACCCCCATATCCTTGGCCATATCCTTCATTTGCTTCTCGATATCATCCTCCATGCCGCCGCCCAGGTGCAGGAACTGCCGCACCTTGGTAAAGTAGAAGAAGACATCGCTGGTGAAGAGCACAACACGGAAGAGGAGATGGCGCCCGAGGTTCGCGAATTTCTCGGACCAGGGCAGATCGGGCGACTCGACGAGCGCGCGGGACGCCCACATGCCCGTGATCTTGACGCGGTTGACGGGGGAGCCGAGGAACTGGTTGTTCCCCTGGACGATACGCAGGTTGCGGCCGATGAAGATGAGTTCCTGGGGCCATTTGTGCTCGTCCGCGAGAATCTCGCGGATGGCCTTGCGGGCGGCCTGCTGCATCTCGTAGTGGAGCTGGGCGCGCTCGACCTTACTGAGCCCCTCGAGGTGCTGGCGCGTGGAGAGGTCGCCGCCGCGGTAGGGGCGCATCATTGTGAAGGAGGCGAACATGTCCGAGTTGCGGATGCCCCAGCCCTCGGCGATCTCGCTGAGGGTGCGGTTATCAAAGGCCAGCAGGGCCTTCCAGAAGCGCGCGTACTGGTGGCGGAAGTTGGGGTCCATGTGGATGTAGAGGCCGTGGTCGATGAGGACCAGCTCCGCCTGGCCCGAGGGCTTACGCCGGATGAAGATGTTACCTGGATGCGGGTCGCAGTGCACCCAGCCCCAAAGGAACATCTGTGCGGAGAAGAGGTCGACCATGGTCGTCATCACGTCCTTCAGCGACAGACCTAGGCCGCCTTTGCCGTTCCAGCCGCGCCAGTGGTTGCGCTCCGGCTTGATCTTGGCCAGATTGGGATTCCTGGCGACCTTGGCCAGCGGATCTTCGGTCTTGGGAGCATCTAACGGTGTTCCCTGGCATCCGGGGCTGCCTTCCCGCCAACCGCCGAGCCACGGACGTGTGATGGACTCTCTGTCCCAAAGGCGGATTCCTTCGATCCACTCAGCGGTCATAACCCGCCTCGAGCTGAGCTCGCGGTAGACTTTGGGAATGTAGACTCGGCCTCGCAGACGCGACTCGCCGGCCACCAACTTAGCCATGGTTTCCGAATTGGTTGCTTCATTCTCAAAGTCCGTCTCCAGGAACAGTCGCTCGCTTATGTATGGTACCAAACTGTAGAAGGGGATATCGAACGTGCGGGAATAGACCCAGGTGACCACTCTGGTCTCGTTAGCGTCCGTTCAATGAAGGACAATGCGATGAACTTACTTGAAAGCCCACAGATCCCATTTGATCTGCTGAGCAATCTCCCTTTTCTGAACCTTGATGGCAATCTCTCGCCCATCCGCTAATCGCGCCCAGTGGACCTGCGCGACACTCGCGCTCGCCCTAGCCTTGCGCTCCAACACGCCCTTGGTCGGATCCCCTGTGAAAGACACTCCAAAAACCTCCTCCGCCGACTTCCCAAAGTCTTCCCGGATCACCTTCTCCACGTCCTTCCAGTCATTCTGCGGCGCGTCGTCAAACATCCGGGCAAACATCTTCTGGAACTCCGGGGGCAGAATGGCAGACTGCATGGCAATCGCCTGTCCGATTTTCAGATACAGGCCGCCATTATGCCGGAGCAGATCGAACAGTCGTTCAGCGTTGCGGGCATGCAAGGCTGTGATGGATTCAGCGAACGGTGGGTTCGGACGGAAATTGATTTTGTAGTCTAGTGCGACAAGGAGCCCAAGCGAGAACGTCCGAGCGGTCCGCGTCAGTGAGGATGCGTAGAACTGAGTGTCGATGGCGTAGATCACTCCGGTGGCTATGGAGAGGTAGGCGAGACGGCGGAGCCATTTGCGAGTGCGGGTGTAGGTTTTTGCGGGGATGGGCTTGCCTAATGAACTAGGAGAAGGGGGCACAAATGGTTTGAATTCGCCTGGATGAACGAAACGACGAGAAGGAGGCTGTAATAAGGTCGCAGGTAAGCATCGATGGCCACGAGACACGATGGGGTTCGGCCGCATCAAGCGGGAAACACACGTCGTTCGCGACGCCATTGGGATGAAGGACACAGAGGACAGCAACATCAAGACATCCAGTATTTCATGGTGTGTTGATGGAAGACATCAACGGGGGTGTCGAAGAGATGGAAGTCTGTAGTCAGCAGTCACTTCCATCATGGTAAGAAGAAGAAAAAAGTAAGCTCGATCGACCGATGCTGACAACTGCTGACAAGACAGCAGTCAGGAACATTTCCTGGCGGTCAGCCGTGGCTTTCGTCATCGGAGAGGAGGCTCATTCAGCTCTTAATGTTAACAGAATTACCGACCTCAAATATGAACTTATGACTGTCATTACAGGTGTACGTAGGATTAAAAGGACCCTGAGACTATAATTCATCATTGTCATAACTCCCCTCATCCAATTGCCCTTGTACACTCTCCGTGTTCCCCGTATTCCCCGTATTCCCCAAATCCCGACAAACAGCCGCGTACTCTCTCATATTATTCGGAATCGTTTCCTCCCACAACTGATCATCCTTGAGATATGCGTATTGCTCTTGACACAGCGCTTCAGACACCATGGGCAACAGCGCCGGTAGATTCGTAATAGCCGACCGCACAAAGGTCTTCTTGAAGCAATTGCCAAACGCCGCCAGCGTCTCCGGGTCGGAACAGATATGTTTGCCCTCAAGCATCGGACCGCACCGCTGTTTGATGATCTTCGCTGCATCGTCGCCCAATCGCACCATCGCTTCTTCCTGTCGCGGTACATCCAACCGCTTCATCACGCTGCGGACGGCCGGTAGGAAGGTGTTGTTGCGCGTCCACAGGTCCCAGTGTGGGACGGTCGGCTGGCAGCCCTTGTCGCAGATTTCGCGCTGGAATCTCTCGTACAAGTCGCCTGGTCGGCTGACGAGTGCGGCGACGACTTTGAAGCATGTTGGGGCGAGTTTGGCGGTTGCGGTGGATGCGCTGAGCAGGAGGAGGAGTACGGGGAGGAGGAGGAAGCGCATTGTAGGTAGGTTCATCCACTGCGATGCACGGAATCAAGTCGGATGGACTGGAAGAAATCAGAAAGGGAGATGAATGGTGGGAGATATCGACTTACCAGTGACCGTGGTCATATTGATTGAATCTTGCTTTGAGCCTTGAGCCAAAGATTGGAGATTGATCGTCGCTACGGATTTCCCCGCAGTTTGGGGTTCCATCGTCAACAACTACCGAGGTGCTGTTGCGAATTGAAGCTTTTCAGCCAGAGATAATCCCATTTTTAGAATATCCATGAGCCACTTCGTGGTCAGTTGCTCATCACATACCAACAGCTTCACTGAGCTCCCAAATTCTGCAGCTTTTCTTGCCTGCGGACTCTACTGGCAGTACCAGCAGGCTCACGAGACAAGGCACTGGGGTCACCTCTGTGTCCCTGCGCACTTTCCCTTCACTGAATTGCAGAGATTGTGGCATGGCAATTGGTTTCTCTCCTCTCCAGAAGTAAGTCAAAGCAAGCAGAACCTATAGATGTCGGGAAATGCTGACTCCGACTCCATAAAGCAGAATACTCTACCCTTTTTCTTAACTAAGAAGAACCAGGTTACAGCCTTTCGCCTTCGCCGAAGGATTTCGCTCAGGTTTGCTAGTATAACTCATCATAGAGTATGCGCAATAATGGAAACTTGACCCAGGCCCAAAGCCTCATAACAAAGCCAGCTGGCTACGAACCCCTGCGTTCCATGTGGGCAAAGTCTACAAGATTCGGATCGCACTGAGACTCGCGGGAACTTCTTGAAACTGCAGTAGAGAGAACGACATTGCTGCCGAGTTTATGGTAGGCTCAACAGAGACCTTGCGTTCTTACTCCTGCTCTTGCTCGCCAGCTGCAGACTGCGTTGGTGGGTCCGGTGTTGGTGGATTCCCTCGGTGTCTTGAGCTTCAGCACTTGTCCAAATAAAAGCCCTTGGTCCGCTCATCATGATGGACGGCCGCTTGCTCAGCACGATGCTGAAGCTGTCAGGGGTAAAAAATGAATTAGAGACTTTTCCTGGATATTCATGTAGGCCTACGAGCATCAAGGTCAAGAAGCGGGTACTGTCTATGACCATTCGATGCACGCAATCCAGGACGAGGCTAGAAATAGATTGTGAAGAGAGTTGAGGGTATAGGACATTAAATTGAGCTCTTGAAACTATGTTGGCTGAAGTATGGTGGAATTGTAGGGATTTTGTAGGTGGGTCATAAGCCGACCTCAGTATGAGGTAATAAGCACAAATATATATCTGTAGAGGTGAACCAAACAAGTATTTACATCGAACATTTGCCATTGAATTACAAGTAGACAAAGCAAAAAAAAAGTCTCTCCTCAAATACCAAGTAGTCTAGAGTGACATTATCAACGAGGCCTCGTGCAGCCCAAGGCATAGCCCTCCACCTGCTGCAGCCTGCGCCTGCATGGCCCCTCTGTCATTACCCCTCCACGCAACAAGATCTTCCTCATCGACGTATCGTCCAATATAAGCAAGATGCCCAGCTCTAACCTCGTCGAGATTGACTCTCTCGAAGCACTCGTCATCATCGACAACGAGCTCGACCCCTTGTCGCCCGCCGCGCCAGACACCGTCCACGTCTCCGGCCTGATGGGTAGCCTTGCCACGGGGTCTCCTCATGACCTCAAGGACAGGGGTGATGCTCAGAAGGAGCTGAGAATGGAAGACATCTGCTGCTCCGCGCACGGTTTGTCAATACTAGTGGTAAGCCGGCTGTGCCTAACACAAAGTTCCAGAGCGACGCTGACTCTTCGCAGACTGCGACGAAAGGTGACGTGAGCCATTCAGTGCTCTTCGATGCTGGCCCGGAGGAAGATGCTTGGGAGAGGAACGCGAAGCGGCTACGGGCGGATCTTGCCTCTGTAGAGGTTATCCAGTTGTCGCATTGGCATAGGGATCACTCGGGTTTGTTCGAAAGGCAGTTGCGGCTCGTTGGATAGCGGTTGACGATGCTCAGGTGGTCTTCTGCGCGCGATTCGCTTGATCAACGAGGCCAAGCAGGGCAAGGGCCGTGCCGGGGGCCTGTCGGTAGATTTGCACCCTTCGCGCCCCGACTATCGAGGGATGGCTATCGGTCAGAAGCTCATATCCCTCCAAGCTGATCCCACGTTCGAGGAGATCGAAGCAGCTGGGGCGGAGGTCGACAAACATGGCGAGGCGCATACTATTCTCGATGATTTCTTTTTCGTATCTGGTGAAATCCCTCGGCAAACTGCCTACGAGAACGGACTGAAAGGAGGGATGCGCTTCAGCCACGAGGACAACGATTGGTTTTCCGACGAGCTCATTGCTGATGAACGATTCCTGATGTGTAATCTGAAAGGCATGTTGGTCATGTACAAGCGTGCTTCATTCATCTGTTGTACATATGCTGACTGCACCAGGGAAAGGAATCGTCATGTTCACGGGCTGCAGCCATGCTGGAGTGGTCAACGCGGCCAAGCATGCGGTTGAATGCCTGGATGGTTCTGTTCCTCTTCATGCGGTTGTGGGAGGCTTCCATCTAGCCACTAGTGAGGAACAGCAGACGGAGAGCACGATCAAAGATCTGAAGAAGCTCGATCCGGCTGTGCTTCTGCCGGGGCACTGCACGGGTTGGCGGGCCAAATTCGCCATCGAGAGGCTTATGCCTGGGACTCTGGTGCCTTGTACAGTGGGCATCAAGGTCACATTTTGAGCAGAGCGGAAGTATATTCATTAGATGGCGATGGCCGTCATGAACCTCTGCTACAAGGCGGACATGTATCAGCTAGCATTCAACGCAGTCAGCAGATTTCCTCTATCCCCTGAGGCTGACAAGCGAGGGACTCGAAACTGTACCAGCAAGAGCAACTGCTTCTAGGATTCTCTGGCCTAGTGACAGCTCCATCTACACGACTGCAATGCGTATCCATAAACTGTCGTGTCTGAGGATATTAAATGCTGAGTGCCACTGTTGAAGTTGCTTCCTGCTATTATCACCAGAATATATCGTGTCATGCATACATAGAGTCATTGAGCAGCGACAGTGTCTATGACATATGCTGATAGAAGGGTTAAATATATATTTCTATCCATCTACTGCACTAAGATATATCTCTGAACATGGACCAATATATACACCGCTAAATAGGAATTTATAGTGTTGCATCTTGTGGTCCGCAACCCAATGGAAATAGCTAGTATATCACCACTATACATTTCTCTTGGATATACAACCCATACATACTACCTGTATGATACCCTATTAAATGCCTCTTAACATAGCGACTACACTAACTTCCATGAACTCAGAGAACTCTATGGTCAATCAAGCCCATACTACAGTAGTATAGCGCATACATAGAGCATACAACTTCAGGCCTATCCTTGAGTCTGATCACATATTAATGTGATTACATTCATTTCCACTCTCACAACTATATTTTTACCTTGCATACCTCTCACCACCGCCAAGATCCCTTCCCTCAGCTCCAAGACAAGCATTACACCGAGTGGGAGAGAATGCTAACTGACAAGTCGATGACCATCTGCAGTCTACACTGTGTAACTCCTTGATCACAACAAGTCAACTCTCCGAATTCACCCGCAGTGCCAACCTCGCCTATTGACACTGCAACCCGAGTGTCGCCCGTCCGCCCCGTGCCAAGGGGATTGTCATACCTAGCTTGTCGATGCGCACCACACCTGCCACCTCAATTATCTATCTACGGGGTAGACCAGTTGCATCAAGGGAGCGCGCCAAGACTCCAACGAAGCACAGCCGCGTACGCGCGAAAATGAAATGAACCCATACGGGTGGCCCCCGTGATACCTCGCCAGACACGCAGACAGGTCTGATTGCCCCAAGGGGGAATTGGAGGGCTTGCCAAGACGATAGAAGAAGGGAGGGAATGCAGTGCAGGGCTTGGCGGGGGTGATGGAAGGGATATGGTTGGTTGGGAGGGTAGAGGTACTACAGGATGAGGGATACTTTTCTGGGAGTGAGACGACATGCTGTCTGTATGCAGGATGTGCGCATATCGCTGGACAGAGTTAAGGAGGCAGTGCTACTGCCAAGAGGTGGGATCGTTCTTGTGCTACTGCATGGCATTGTCTGTCCTCATGATTTGAGTTTGCGAGGAAAGGACCAAAAACGAGGAATAAGTTTCGCGGTGGTATCACTAGATAGATGGACAGCTGAGACTACAGAGTACTCCGTACTCCATACCCCATATTATTAGATTCTGCTACTCCGTATGGGGGGGAAGAGTGAGATGCCAAGCATGTTCCTTGCTGCAGGATGCACATCAGGGGATTCAGGTATGCTTGGCAGAAATAAAACTATTGGCTTGGTCGATGATCTGTTGATCGTGCCCCTATTTTCGGTTTGTTGAATCATAGTCGATTCAATAGATGATACTGATTCCTGTCACGTTTTGCGATGGCATGACGATCTCGCGGATTTGAGGACATATTGAGTCAGGCACCGGAGAACAGAATTGCCAAATACAGCTCACAAGTGACATCATGAAAGCACGGCTCATTTGAAACGAGGCTGACTGAGCTGTGAGTCTGAGACTCTCCCGAGATCATTAAGATGATCTGCATCTAGGATCGAATCATGCGAGTCCGTCTCCCGGTATCGTTTTCAGGGGCTTCTTGGCCTTTTGCGATGCAGTCGCTGCCCTCACGCACTGTCAAACCATCGTTGTTTGGATAGATCCTGCCTGCCGAGTACTGCAGTTGATGTATAGTATGGTTTTCTTGGCCATGTAAGCCACCATCAGCAATCTATATCTAGAATGAGGGATGCAGTGTTGGCGGCGGGATGAAGCGGTCACAGTACTCTCTACTCTGTAAATCTCCTCCAATTACCCCATCCTCTTACATCATATCAGAGCATGATAGTTAACACTGATGCAACTGCAAGTCAGCATCGGACAATTATCGTTTCGAAGGTACTCCGTATAGCGATCGACACCCGCAAGGCAATAGTCAATGCGCCCCATGTCAGACGCACCTGTCGATCACCTTTTTTGGGAAGCTGTAAACAGACGGCCAGAAATACCTCCTTTGTCACCTTGTCATCCGAGGCATTGTGTGGTGACTGTTGCAGCTGTCTCAGTTTCATGTTCTAGGCCTCGGCATACAGGCTTTAGCTTTATCTTTGAATGTAATGAGCATGTTATATGTAAGGGAGACACGAAGTGCATCATAATTTAGGAATGCTGATGACTAACCATTAATGCCAAGTTATGCAGGTTTCTTGAGCACAATCCAGCTTGTTTTTCTACGGTACCAGAGGTGCATTTTCGGTTTCCACTTCCCAGTACGGATAAGGTAGCACGCACGTAGTATGGCCATATTCCCGCGCTCTGCTCGTGACCGACAACTGTGTCTGAAAGGGCCACAAAAGACCCTCAGTAAAAATTCAATCAAACCCCATCGTCAAATCTCCATAGAATCCAACGGAAGAACGGTTCGCCTCACTCAGGGATTCAGTTGCGTAGTGCCAAACCAATCATTTATCCCGCAATTGACTATGTTTGACGTGCCGATTCCCGCGGTGCCGTGTAGGCCGATACCTTCAATTCCTACCGATGTCAGAGTCGCCATGCCGAAATGACATGGGAAAACTCTCGGGCGATATTCTTCACCTTGATTATCATTTTGGAGGATGATGATGCCGATTGTTTGTTGATAGTTGCCAGTCCTTTTTTTTTGCTTGTTGAAGCTGTACTTTCTCCTGCTGTAACACCCGCCATTGACTTAAGTCCCCCAATTATGTAAACCTCCAGACCGGTCATCATTTTAAGTCTAATGCGATGGAGCATGTCTCTCTTCTCCATACTCCATACTCCATATCGTTTACAAAGTCTACAGACCGAGATAGGTGCTTGCCACCGCTAGTGCTTGTGCTTAGTGCTTCTACCCCGAGGGGATATCTCCAGAATTCTCCGTAGTGCGTAGTCGTAGAGTATCCCGACTCGGACTCGGGGCAGACTGCAGTTGAAAGTCGGGTCTCATCCGAGAGTGCATTCACCTTGCCAATCGTCGTGCCAGTGCCAGTTGCCTCATTTGCTTCTGGCATTGATACTTTGCGGTGGACGTCATGCACTTGAACGTGGCACCGTAGAATCCAGGGCAAACGTGTCTAGTTGGTATTCCGCGGCTGGCGTGGGATTCCTCCCGTGTCCTGCCACGACGCTGCAGGAGACCTGAGAATGTCAATTGCCTGTCTGGGAGAAGGGTGAAGCGAGCTGCAGGTGCGGTTGCAGCGCGATTGACTACTGACGATGGGGGTGCAGTCCACTACTCCGTACTCCGCAGGTCTACCTAATACGAGAACGACGGGACGACTACGGAATGCGGATTATGGAGTATGGCTCAATTCTAGCTGGTATTTGGTAGTTGCCCGTCTTGGGGCCAAGATGAGGATTGTCTTGTCCTCTTTACTGTGTAGTCGTTGCGGTGTTATGCTGTTGCGGAATGACATACCCCGGGAAAGATGCCGTGCTGATTTACTCCATACTCCATACTATGTGTAATGCAATCAAATCACCCAGCCATCTCCCACTCCACGACTGCAGAAAATCCCTCACCAGGATCCTCGATGAGACAGCTTGGCGCGCAAACCAGGCCGATCGTCCCGGTGGGGCGCTTCGATAATACCACTACGATAAATGGTGCTAACCGCTAGAGTATTAGTCAATGAATCGTCGACTGATTACTCCGTCCGTACCTGGCTGCAATTTAGCACCGGTGAGTGGGAGATGCCCACTTGCCGTTTTGGAAGCTAGTACGGCCAGTCCGACTGGCACTATGGAGTCGACTACTGTAGGTACGAGGACACAGAGCGAAGCCAAGAACACAGGCGCCAAATGAATCAGTCGGTCTAGCTGGTTAGTCTCGGTTTTCGCGGGATGAGCGTCGGTTCATCTTATTTATCCTTTGGCTGGGGCCAGTAGCGAGGCGGGGATTCGTCTCCTCTGCGAAGTAATCAGGGTAATTTGCTTGCTATTGTCATTTCTTATTTGTCAGAGCTTCGGCGTCTGTTTGCGCTTGCTCGCCGCTCAGTCAATATGCTTTTGGGATTACTGGTTAACTGGTTTGATGAGTAGACGATCATGAGTCAATTTCCTTATTTTTAGACAACTATAGATTCGAGATATGAGTGAACGGAGTATTGACACCTGAAGCTTAGCAGATTGGTCCCCCTGGTCACTTGCCTGAATCGGCAAAATACATCGCCAGCGTAACCCTATGCACACCGAGCCTAACCGAAACGGGAATTTCTTTCCTCGCTTCAAATATTACTCCGTGTCCGTATCTCCTCCGTAGTCCGTAGGTGTTCTAAACTCCTCAGTGCCTATCGGTAACTAAGCTTAGCCGCGCATAAGCAGAAGAACGAATTTGCAGTCGAGACGAATCACTCTTGAGTATTCAGTTTTTTGAGTCGGATGCTATAGCCGTCACCGATAGTACTGCTGTATCGGTCATCGGCCGCGCCAGGAATAATTCCCTTGTAAATTGCTTCTTATGATTGTCGGTGACCGATAGACACGGGATACTACAGAGCACAGAAACATATGACGTAGAGGTCGTATTGTGTGAATCAAAGCGTGCAAATCTATCGCCAGAAAATGGCGGCGGCGTCGACTGTCGGTATCGGCGTCGGTGTTGTAGTGAAATTTGCCGATCAACCGAGCAATGGTACCGTACGGAGTACTCCATACCATGATCTCATCACTGTCATCAGTGGTGAGACTGAGACAACATGATAATCAGATTCGGCTCATCGCTGCAACTGCACCTCAATTTGCAGTGAAAACTGGAATTCTTCGCTACCGTCGGGTAGTAAGAATTGCTCGATGCGACGATGCAGCTAGGTAAAGAAGGATGGAGTCAAGGACCCAATGACGACTTGTTACTCGTGGGTGTTCAATTCTGAACCATGGCACCACCCACCCACAGAAGGTTTCTAGAAAACGTCGAGAAAACGCCGGCTGCAGGCGAGCGGATTTCGTTCGCTGCCGCTGCATCCACATCCCAATGCAGGCAGATTCTGTCCTGTCCGTCTTGGGTAGTTCGGCGGACTCTGGGCTGCAGATTGTAGTCCTATCAGATACCACGAGCACTTTAGGAAGTGGCAAGATGCCAGCCCGGTAGCCAGTTGGTGATTGCCCTGCAGGGTGACATGTGCTGCTGAACTGGTATGGTAACCTGCACGGTCGGACTTACGCAGTACGTAGTGATGCTGACCTAACCTAACTGCAAAAGGTCAAGGACGAGGCATTTTCAAGCTGTACGAATACGGCCCCATACATGAACATGATTATCGCTAAGGCAGACTCCGTAGTAATCAACAAAGGTAATCTACCATAAATGATCATGCTGATGCAGTTAAAATGTCTATTTGTATTTTGATGATGGGGCACGAAGCACAAAGGACAACCGTGCGACCGGGCCGGCATCGGACTCGGCTGCAGATGTGTATCACCAGAGTTTTAAGGCGGAATAAATTACCTAAACCATGGATCAGTCAATATGGTTGTTAGAGATATCAGTATCAGATTCGAGAGTATGGACGCGGGACTGTACGTTGTGCGGATGAATAAATTAATACCTTAAGTTTCAAGTCTGCCGGTCGGGCGACATGAAAGCACTCGAACTCGGCACAGGAGTATCAGGGTGCAGGCCAAATTCTTACTCAGATAGCCCCAGGTACGGCATCAGAACCACACATTATCAAACTGCTCGTTCCACGGCTCAATGTGGAGAGTTACTATTCAAGACGCTTCCACGCCGCTTCGAGCCTTTGTAGCTTGCGGTGTTGTCTGGATAACTCCACTTCCAGCTCCATACAATTGCGTTGTAGCGTCCTATGAGAGTGGACGAGAGTCAGCCCTGTACCATTGTTTCGTAAGCCTAGCTACACACTACTCTAGTCTGCTATATGATAATCTGATAGACATCATATTCAATACCATATATATTAATGAGGCAACGTCGCTATGACCATGACGACGGTTTCGCTTCACGAGCAAAAATAAGATGGCTGGGATGGGCCGGCAACCATCCGCCGATGATGGCATCCTGAGTGATCGCCCGACCATTACCTCCTGTTCTCTTGGCTGACGTGGGTGCATTACTCTGCCGTGCGCGCTCTTACTGTCCTAGGTAAGGAAAGGCCGATACTGATGAGAATCCCCCAGAAAGTTGATCGAAAAAGGTGCAGTAGCAGGATTAGGTTTGCAGGTCACTGGCCGTGGCTGATTTGTTTGTTTAGGGGGCTGTTGCGCACGGGGCTACCTCAGGATGGAGCGTCGACAAGCTGACTGAGGACGACCATTTTCATCCGTTTGCCTTGGATTGTTGGATCATTCTCTTGTGAAAGGCCTGGACAGTGAGAATTTGGCTTCTCACCGCTATCCATGCAGTAACAAGAAAAGAGCCTTTGGTGATTCCCAAATCGACGCAATAAACAACTTTCCTGGTTCTTCGGAGCAGAAGTGTCTCATGCAACCCAGACCTCCAGCTAGCTAATAATAATCTCACTAATTAATATCGCTCATAAGCCTAACCTCTTCAATCGTAGTTCCACTAACTCAAGACTGACGAGCCCGAGCTCCTCCGTCCAGAACTTGACTATTTCACCTCGAACATTATGATTCATTAATATTGCTTCGTGCCAGCCGCGGAAAGCGCCGGCCAAACCAAACTGGGTAAGATGTTTCATCAGAGGCTAGGGAACGACGGGATCGCTTTTTCATTTCGGAGTATTGCCGTGTAGATAGTTGTTATCGTTGCTCTTTGGTTGTATCTGCTACTGCATGCGATTGAATCCAGCTAGATACTCCGTAATATTGAATATGCTTACCTTCGCCATCCCAAGTAGGCTCACCGTGCGAACTTTAGACCGTCAGAGCTACTACGGAGGAGTAGCGATGAGGGATATCCCCACGGCAATTGACTTTGAGACTGGAGTATGCCAGCCGTGAGCCGTCGGGAGTCAGGATTCAGGGGTATCCCAGAGTCGGGAAGCTGAAGACCCAGAGTTAATCGGCTTTGACCTTCGAAGCGAATAGAACCGTGCCAGCTCAACGACCATCGTAATCTGCAACTGGACTTGAAATGTACGAGGAGATGGCCACGCGATTGTCTTGTGTCATCTGTCATGGTCGGCCAGCTGCCTATTGCTTTTTCGACTGCATCAGACCCTTGAAAACCTGGGGCTGGGGTTGGGGCAGCGGAAAAGAAAACCTAACGAACCATCTAGCCTTTTGAATCCCCTCATTTTTCTACAAGGCAAACAATAGGTAGCAATCGAACCAAACTCTGGTAGGCGAAGAACAAGGTATTATTTTAAGCATAGAAAAGGTTATTTTCGTTCGCGATGACCCATCCCGCATCGTGACCTGGAAATAGGCATCTATATTTGAACGACAGGAGCCACCGGACAGCCAGTGACAGCTCTCCAGACTCCGCACTCCAGCCTTCTCCGGATTCCTGGAGACTGGAGACTGGAGATAGTGACCGTTCAGTGCTCATAAAAAACTGGGGATACTAAGGTAGATACTTGGCGATACTGAAATCCAACCACAACCGTTGGCTGAACTGCTGCCATCACCTAGGATGAGACAAGCCTTATGCGCGATGAAGCTTGATGAGGTTTGGGCTTCACTACGATCATGGAATTTCCATGTTCGACATCGCGTGGAGCGGTAATGGGAAGCAGAGACAAGATTTACAGGCCAGAAGAAAAAGAAAAAGTCTCCGAATTACGAGAGAGCAGATGCACGGTGTCAGCCGATGTTGAAAGTTAGACGTGGAGGTGACAAGATCATGGCAATGGCATATGCATGCATGGAATCCTCCCAGTCAGTGTCACCCCTGGGAGGCAACTGGTTTGCCGTCGCCGTTCTGACATGAGTTTGGAGATCATAGTCAAGATTTTTTCTTTTCCTTTTTGTTTGCCGTATCCTGACCAACTTACGGTGTAGATACTTCATGGAGAAAATTCGGATTCTGTCGAGTGGTGGCTGGGGTCTATATCGTTATGATGACGGCAAACTCGGTGCCTCAGCTTAATCGTGGACGGTCGGAATGACCATGAGCGAGCAATCAGAATGAGCAAACTACCGGATAGAGAGGTGAGGAGTAGAAGTACACCGTCCTTCAGAGCGATATCCGCCACCACCAACATCATCCATCGAGGATATCTGGCAGGGATCTTTAGCAACCCTTGTCTCTAGTCTCCGGGCACGGTACAGAAGTACAAAGTGTCTACATGTGCTCTGCATCCTTTCCAAGATTCTATGTGGCCCATGCCAGCGTCAACTTGTCAAGCGAAAGTTTGCCAGCCCCCTCAGCCAAGGGAAAAAAGTGTGGCAGACGTTGC